CTCATATATCTATTATTTCAGGCAACCTGTTTGAGGAGTATATTCAAGCAAAGGGAAAACTGTTCATACTAAACTGAACAACTATGTTTCCCAATTCAACCAGCTTAATATATGAAACAATCTTCCGAAATAGAACAAAAATTAGTTACTACCTTACAGTATGACGGGTGATTTCAGAGATTGGAAATACAGAAAAAGGATAAAAGGAATCATCAAATTAACATTGAACATCACATGGTCAACATAGCCTTCAGGAAGGGGGGTTAAACCTTTAAGTAACTGCCAACACAGAGATATGTCTAGCCTTTTTGTTATTTTGATAGTAAAATGCAAATGTTGAAATTAAAATAGCAATACTTAAATATGTAAGTTATGTAAAATATTCAAAGTCAATGAACATGACTGAAGGTACAGGTCCAAAGAATTTCCATGGAAATGAGATGTGCCAATGCTAATACAACTGCATACCAAATATCATTGACCTACCACTAATTTATCACAAACTGATATGTGTTAACTACCGGTAAGCAAAAGTATAAAGGTCAATAGACCATGACTGAGGGGGCTGAGTCATATTATCTCCATGGAAATGAGATGTGCCAATGCTAATACAACGGCATACCAAATATCATTGACCTACCATTAGTGGTTCCCTATAAACTGACCTAATCACAAACTAATACATGTAAACTGTAGACGCCACTGCCACCGCTACCACAGGGAACAGCATACATAGGTCTCGCTTTTTGACTCTGTCAAAGCAAAACAAAAACCTAAGAGGTGGTGTTGTGTTAATCATCACTGATGACAATATCTTACACATAATAAAAGTACACCAGATTAGAACAGACCTTCTCATCATCTGATCAATGGCAACCTTGCCATCCAACACATGACCTAATTATTATTACTCCCACAGGATTTGTATACTTATCAATTATGCAGGTCTAATAATATTGTGTTGTAGTATTCCATGTCAAATGATCATAAATATTATGATATTAATTACCAACAGCCAGAACTAATTAGGATGTGTAAAGCAACAGATAGCTGCCAGAAATCATGTGTAGAAGGAAACAGCAGGTGGTGTGGTATTTACAAGAAGCATACCCTGGCATTCTATTCTAAACTAAAGGTGTGAATAAAAAACTTGTTTTCTGTCTTGTATACTACACATGACATTTACAATCATTATATTCTTGGATAAAATTAAATATAGAAATTATTAAGGAACTAAGGTTCCAAGGCCCTCAGACAAAGTTGACCTTAGATAAATTGGCTATTATATTACCTCCCTTTTTGGTAACAAATGTTGAGGTATTCATACATCTTTGGTTTTCAAATATTTAGGTTTGAACATTCCTGTTGAAGATAAATCCAGAAAAACTATTGGCACCCACAAATTTATAATGTGATATTTTCATTCTCTTCTCTAATTCTTTTCATTCTTGTATTCTGGCATACATTCAGGGCACACACAAAAAAAAAAACCCTTTCTAACTGCTCGATTTGGTATATATCTATTTTTAAATGAGACTTGACTTTCACTGTTAATTCATTTGCGACTTTATTGGTCACCAAAGTTTGCTACTTTTTTATATCTGTCAGCAAATGACAATGATGCTTAAAACTTTATAATTCTTACTTCATGAAAAAGAATTTGCTTTTTATTATTCTGAATGTAAACCAGGAAGCAATTACTTTTATGGAAAATTAAGTTCATGTTTCTTTAGTACATTTAAATATGCCTGCCCTCCATTTGACATTCAAAAATTTATCCTTTTGCATAAAAAATGACCTCTAAATGAATAATATCTTTATAAAATCATATCCGTTTTTTCTGAACTACTTGAATGGTATGATATATGTTTGAACTACTTCCATACCAGGTATGATCATAAAATTCATTAAACTTATCTGAATCACTGTGAAACATGAAAAATGAGAAAGGAAGCAACTGTTTTATGGCCATTTGAAAAACAGAAACAAAAAACTGCTTCGCTGAGCGCAGCTGGATACGCCCGCAGAGGTCCAACCCTGAACAGTTGGGGCAAAAATGGACACAATATTCAAGCTTGATACAGGTCTGAATTTGGATTGTAATTAAATATTTGACATATTATAGGTTTCTGAATAAAGGTAGTCAAAGAACTTGAAATTGGTTATATGAATTGAATTTATATTCAATTAAAGATTTCTTGCTGTTGTGCATTACACTGTGCTGTTGCGCAATGTAACTTAGTAAATCTGTTGTCAGACTATAAACAAACAATAATTTCTCAATGTTATATCAGAAATTTATAAAAGACTAAAGGGAGGTTATCTTAATAGATATAAATCAGTCATCAAAGTTTAAAGAAAACTGCTCTAAGCACTTTAAGGATATTGTCCAAAAACTTGAAAATCCCTTTTTTTATGAATAAAATCTTATAACTCGGAAACGTAAAATCTTAAATTAAAACAAATCAAAAGGGAGCTTACAACAATAGATATAAACAATTTACCAAAGTTTCATAAAAAATGCTGAAAGCATTTTTGAGTTATTGTCCGAAAACTGGAAAATCACCCTTTATGTAATGAATAAAACCCCATAAATCGGAAACGTATTGTCTAAAATTTAAAAAAATCAAAAGGGAGCTAATGTCGATAGAAATAAACAATTCACCAAAGTTTCATGCAAATTGGTGAAATTGTTTTTGAGTTATTGTCCAAAAACTGGAAAATCCCCCCTATTTTAATGAATAAAACCCCACAACTCAGAAATGTAAAATCTAAAATTTATAAAATTCTAAATAGAGCTTACATCAATACTGAATAGATATAAACAATTCACCAATGTTTCATTTTTGAGTTATTGTCCCAAAACTGGAAAATCCCCCTTTTTGTAATGAATAAAACCCCATAAATCGGAAACATATGATCTAAAATTTATAAAAATCAAAAGGGAGCTCATGTTGATAGAAATAAACAATTCACCAAAGTTTCTTGCAAATTGGTGAATTTTTTTTTGAGTTATTGTCCACAAACTGGAAAATCCCCCCTTTTTTAATGAATAAAACCCCAAAACTCGGAAACGGTAAATCCGAAATTTATAAAAAACGAAAGGGAGCTCACGTCAATAGATATAAACAATTCACCAAAGTTTCATGCATATTGGTTAAAGCGTTTTTGAGATAATGTCCGACATGTTGACGACGGATGGACGGACAGACGGTCAACGGTATACCATAATACGTCCCGTAAACTGGCGTATAAAAACTACGATTTTTTGTTGTAATCTTAGTTGAAACAATGACATACAAAATTTCTTTCAATCCTTGAGAACTGAAAGGTCAGTTTATTTCATTCATGCAATAGGATGTTGCTTTCAATGAATCACAATTTTGTTTGTCAATGCAATTTTCAATGTTAAAATTGGTTAACTCTCTCAACCAGGGTTTCCCCTAAATATTGGGGAGATGAATCTGTATTGGGGTCAAATTTTCAACAATTCTGATATCATATAAAGAACTAACTTTGTAATTCCCAAGGCATTATGAATTCTTATGAATTCTAATTGATATTCAATTCAGTAAAAAAAAAAGTTTTTATCAAAGGGCGATCTGTTGCTGTAACACTGAAAACTTTCAAAAGTGTACTATTAGTTAATTAATCTTGGTGTAATCAGGGGTGTACAGAATTTCACAGTGGTCTCAAAGATTCATACACCCTGCAGATTGTATGAATTTTTAACACCAGTGTAAAATTTTGCACACCCCCTGATTACCAATATAACAAATTTATATCTATCAAAGCTTTCCTTTACTCAGTTTTATACCCAGGTGAAAAATTGAAAAAGTAATATAAACAACTCCAACCACAGCAGAAAAGGTCAAAATTTCTGCAAAACATTGCTTTGGACTTCATGGATTCTGTGAAAAATCATAGATTGCGCATGACTTTTCGCGAATCTACATAATGTACATGCATATATAATGATTATGCATAAAAGAAAAGAATAAATTATTTGAGAAAACTAGATAGCTTGGCAATATATTTCATACTTTGTTTTGATATAAGACATTAAAAATTCCCTCCATTCATAATTCTGACATCATATAAAACAACAGTGAGCACATTTCAAGATTCCAATTTACACCAACAAGTGGTATATTCTGGATACTTATAACTATTTGATTAATTTCATGCAGAACTGTTTTATGTTTTCAACAAGATGAGTTTCTGGAGAAACAGTTCACAAAGAATCAATATTTGCATAGATATATTTATATAAATCTATTGGTATAATAGCTATAGCAACTCTGTAGAAACATTGGCATGATTAAAAAGTTGATCAGATTTTTTACAGGATGGTTGTGAACAGATTTTTGTCTAAATCGTAGTTAATGCCACTTTAATTTATGGAATTTACAGGAAATTTTAAAATATAAAGAATTGGGAATTATATTTAATAATTTTAAAAGAATTATACATTATGAGCCTATCAACACTCTTATAATATTAATGCATAAATAAAAACACTGGAATTCTGCCCATATCAGTAAGCCTCATTCAAAATATTTCATTTCCATTTTAGGTCCACTTTTTTCCTGTTCTGCCATTTTTATAAAAAATTCTCTTATTCAACTTACCCAACAAACAATTGTACCTTTACATTCTTAAAAAAAGATTAAATCGTAAAACAGCATAACCATGTGTTACATGTATTAATTTAATCCTGATCTTAATCAGGTTTCTGAATGAAAACTTTTAAATATGTCAACTATGTTGACATTCTGAACATATGTGATGTTGAAATTATGCATCCAAAAATAAAATCGATTTAGCCAAACGACCAGGACAATTTTATACAGGTTGATTTATAAGTTCTACAATTTGATAGAAGTTTTGCAAATAAATCTCACCAATATCAACAATGAAGTTGAAAGAACTATTAACAAAATTAAGTCTGTGCAGCCAAGATCACCCCCAAATGAAAGAATACAAATTATGTAACTCACCATACTGTGTAATTGGCTGCATTAAGCTCAGCTGCGTCTTTGGTAAGGTCTAATGCCCTATCACTTATCTCTTTCTTGGCAACAATGGCACGGAAATAATCATAAACATCCCGGACTAGAAGAAAACAAAAAGATGTTAAACCAGATTGCATCAGTTATTGTGTATATTCATAACCCAAAATATATCTAATAAAAGTGCAAATATGGAATGTAAACTGTTAACACAGAGATATGTCTCGCCTATTTGATGTTGAAATTAAAATAGCAATACTTTAACATGTAAGTTATGCAAAAATTCAAAGTCAATGAACCATGACTGAAGGCACAGGGCTAATCAATCTCCATGGAAATGAGATGTGCCTATGCTAATACAACTGCAAACCAAATACTATTGACTTTTCAAAAGTCGTTCCCTTTAAACAAACCTAAACACAAACATTAACTTGTATGAAACCATAATTACGGGGTGGGGCGGGGTGGGGTTATATAATCTCCATGGAAATGAAACTTGCAAATGCCAATACATTTGCATACCGAATATCATTGACTTAACATAAGTGGTTCATCTTAAACTGACCTAATCACTAACTAATACATGAAATCTAAGCAAAAGTTTCAAAGTCAATAGACCATGAATGAGGGGGCGGCGACCAAAAAATCTCCATGGAAATGAGATATGCTAATGCTTATACAACTGCATACCAAATATCATTGACCTACCACTAGTGGTTCCTCATAAACTGACCTAATCACAAACTAACACATGTAAACTAAGCAAAGTTTCAAAGTCAATATACCTTGAATGAGGGGGCGGGGCCAAATAATCTCCTTGGTAATGAGATGTGCCAATGCTAATACAACAGCATACCAAATATCATTGACCTACCACTAGTGGTTCACCATGAACTAGACCTAATCACAAACTAATACATTGTTGACGCCGCTACTGCCGGAAACAGCATACCTGTGTCTTGCTTTTTGACTCTGTCAAGGCGAGACAAATAACTGGTTGCATTGAAGGCTTCTTGTACAATTTAGAATGATGTATAAAACATCTTAAAGGAGCATAAGCTGTCAAATTTGTGTCCACTGATTTGACTCAAATTCTCATATTTAACATATAACACAATAATTTAATTTTGGATGTAACCCGTCTTCTGATTGGCTGAAAGTGTTTTGTCTATCAGCTCATAGACATAATTTTGTCATGTGACTGTGAGGTCACCAACGTGTTTTTCAAAATTTACTCCTTAAAAATGGTATTTAAAATTAAGTTATAAGGAATGACTGTAATATTTTTTCTGTCTATTAGAAATAACCTAAAAAATGTGGTGCACTACATTTTTTATGTTATATCTTAGACAGAAAAAATATTACAGTCATTCTTTAAATAGAGCCTTATCCAAATGAAAAAAAGTCAAAAGAAAAAGATTAACAATGCAAGGACTCATTGTAGTGTATCAGCATTTCATGCATATTTTAGACTTGACATGCTTGATGCCCTGTAATTAACCATCCAGATGACCTTAGAACATAATACAGAATGGAAGCCTGGAATGTGTCAAGGAGACAGCAACCCGTTCGAAGAGCAGAAATCAGCCCAAGGCCACCCAATAGGTTTTCAACACAGCAAGAAAATCCCCCACCTAGGAGGTTGAATTATTGACTTGTAAGCACTGAAACGTCTCGCCTGCTTTACTGACCATTGATTTTATGTTGAAAGTCTGAACAATAAATTTTTTAAAAGTATCACATAAACTTAACATTTTTAAAGATCCATGACAATGAGGTCAAGGTCAGATAAATCCTGTCAGAAAGACATACAAATTACAATGATTCCATACACCAAATATAGTTGACCTCTTGTATATGGTAATTGCAAAACAGAGCAAAACACAAAACCTTAACATTGGCCAATGAACCGTGAAAATGAAGGTAAGGTCAGATGAAAGATTGGAAGACTGACTTGTATAACTTACAATCCTTCTGTACACCACGTATTGTTGACCTTCTGCTAAGTATCTGAGAAACGGACCAAATCACGTAACTAACTTTTTCACTGATCCATGAAATGAGGTCAAGGTCAGGTGAACCCTGTCTGACGGACATGTAGACATTACAAGGAACCCATATACCAAACAAAGTTATCCTATTAGTTTACTCATAGTAAGTGAGAAATTCACATTACACAAATATAATAATTTTTTTCAAGCAGTCGCTGAAATCATGAAAATGAGGTCAAGGACAATTTGCATATAACAAACAGAAACTTCATAACATAAGGTATCTGCATACAAGGCAACAAGGTTTGAAGCATCCAGGTTTTCTACCTTGTCCTTCTGAAATTTCAAGCTTTATACAATAGTTTAGACCGCTGCTGCCAGATTATAATCCCTATGTCTCGCAGATTTGTCCAGTCTGTTCTCGCTTGGTCTGTTTGCCCTAACTTTTAATAAAAAAAATACATGATTGTGGGTAAAAGGATCCTGATTCATTATAAGCTCACTCACAAAGTTCTCGAAAAGTGGTGGTCACGAAAATTTGGCAAAGGACAGAACAATTTGGGTATTTAGCAATAGATATAAATTATAGCAATGACCAGCAGTTTTCCCACTCTTACTCCTGGCGAGGTAAGGGAGATACTTGTGAAGATTAGGATTTATCAAAAATGTTTCATAAAAAGAGTAGAGGAATCCGAAAGCAGAGTATATATCATAAGTGGGAGTGCTCCGATATATAACGGATGAAAATACCTGTACAGAACAGAGGCATACACCCCAGTAGCATTTTTTTTTTGTCTATTCTGAACAAACACAAAGGACGAGGAAGTATGTAAACATTTCCAAGGGGCACATGTTACCCCCCTCTTTTTCTAAGCAAATAATTTCTCAACTGTACAATGTCATGCTTACATTTGTCCGAATATGCTATCTGAACAATCGGGTGTGGTCCGTCGTCCTGTGGCACAGGCGAAACATCCTTCCATTCTTCTCTCTCTCTGTATGCAACCCAAGGTCCATCGCCACACTCTGATCCACTGTCCGACATGGCGGTAAAAGGAAAGTGAAATTAATAACAACGTTGTTGCTAGAGGGCGCTACAAGATTGATTACCGTCTTTGTACTACTGTACATATGAAATTCCTAGCATAGATCTTAACTATACTAACTTAGGAGTTGTATCCTGTTTATTTTAAACAAATTATGAGTAGTTAAAATATAGTGAGAACTATGTCTATATCTTTTGCAAAAAAATTAATACATTCATGAATTTAAAACACACACAACTTACATAAAAGAAAATATATAAAGCTAGTTAACAGTGACAAGTTTATTGTTTTCTGTTTAGTATTAAATTTATAATTAAGATCCATTTATTACATCGGTGATCCGTTTATTTGGCAATCGCCAATGGCAGTCAGCAGGGTTTAAGAACATTTGTACATTAAAATGTAACACACACAGAAACGAACTATAATATAACAATTAATGGCCATTTTCCTGACTTGGTACCTTGGATAAAAACCGCAATTTTTATACGTGTGCATGCAAAACAAATTTCTTGGTAGAGGGGTCTATATATGTATAGATTATAACATGCCCTTTTCCATATTGGCCCTGGTATCATCCCGAGACTTCCATATCGACCCGATATTGAAGTTCTACAGAAAAGAGAAAAAAGGTCAATTATAACAATTAATTAATGAAACAAAATAGGTAAACTCTTAAAAATTTTATCACAAAATTGTTATCAATTGTCGTTAAGGATAAATATTTGTTACGAATACGTTGGGTTTTACATATGTAATAACCTCAAAATTGCCCTGGGCAAAAAAGAGTATATTGGTTATTGTGCCCTGATTCCAAATGACGTGACGTTATTGCATCCTTAACGACAATTGATAACAATTTTGTGATAAAATTTTTAAGAGTTTACCTATTTTGTTTCATTAAATTGTTATAATTGAACTTTTTTCTCTTTTCTGTATAACTTCAATAGGTGATAAATAGATTATAACATGTCTTTTCTCTAATTTTTGTGCTATTTTCATATTTCTTGATCGGTGTGAGAAAAATATTTCTCCTCACTAGTGAAATATCTGTTCTCGGCAAATGATTAGTCGAAATTTGATTATGACGTCAAAATGTTTTGTTTTCTTCCGTATTTTCCTGTTGTGACGTCATGAAAAAAGGCGACCATGCCTGATAACGTCGCATAAAAAGAACACAAGTTTCTGAAAATCTTTCAAAAACGAAGGATAAAAATCATCAGAGAAACAGATTCCGACACCATAACTCGTGTATTACGATATTACTCTACTCTCGACAGTTAAATTTTATTTATTTAAAAAGCTCGGCAAGCCTCGCGCTTTAAATAATAAAATTTAACTGTCTCGAGTGGAGAAATATCGTAATACACTTGTTGCAGTCACGGTAGGAATCTATATTTCCATATTGGCCCTGGTATCATCCCTCGATCCATATCGGCCCTCGACTAAAGCCTCGGGCCGATATGGAAGTCTCGGGATGATGCCAGGGCCAATATGGAAAAGGGCATGTTATAATCTATACATATATTATGTATGTATAGATTATAACATGCCCTTTTCCATATTGGCCCTGGTATCATCCTGAGACTCCCATATCGGCCTCGAGGCTTTAGCCGAGGGCCGATATGGGTCGAGGGATGATACCAGGGCCAATATGGAAAAGACATGTTATAATCTATTTATCACATATTTAAGTTCTGCAGAAAAGAGAAAAAAGTTCAATTATAACAATTTAATGAAATATAACAGGTAAAATCTTAGAAATTTTATCACAAAAGTTTTATCACATTTTCAAATTAAGATTTAATCATTTACTCTACATAGAAATTTATTGTCACATTTCCACTTATTTTGGAATATGGCAATACACAATTGCGTAATTCTCCGGCACTTTTTAACCACTCCTTTAGAATTTTAATGTCACTTTCAGTTTTTTTCCTTGTGTTAGCGTTTTTCATTTGCTCTACAAAGTCTGCCGTATCGCTTTCCTCCACTGCAATGAAACGAGCACCGTCATTGTTCGCCATTGTCGTTAAGGACGCAATGACGTCACGTCATTTGGAATCAGGGCACAATAACCAATAACCTCTTTTTTGCCCCGGGCAATATTGAGGTTATTACATATGCAAAACCCAACGTATTCGTAACAAATATGTGATAAATATATATAAAGAAAGAAAGCAATATAATAAAAACAAATTATCACATATTTGTTACGAAAACATTGGGTTTTGCATCTGTAATAACCGCACAATTGTCCTACTCATATTGCAGCCCGGGGCAAAACAGTGGTTATTGGTTATTGTGCCCCGGTTCCAAATGCGTCCTTAACGACAATGGCGAACAATGACGGTGTTTGTATTGAAAATTAAGAGAATAATGCTACAATGGCCAATAGTAACAATGTCCAACCAACTATTATCGATTTAGGCCAAGTTATGCCAAATTCTCGCTTTTGTGTATTACCATATTCAAAAATAAGGGGAAAGTTACGGTACAATAAATTTGTATGCAGTAAATATTAAAAATTAATGGAAAATGTGATAAATATTTATAGATTTTACCTGTTGGGTTTTGCATATGTAATATGTTAATTTAAAAATAGCTATAATTGAACGTTTTTCTCTTTTCTGTAGAACTTAAATATGTGAAAAATAGATTATAACATGTCTTTTCCATATTGGCCCTGGTATCATCCCTCGATATGGGCCGGAGTTTTAGTTTTAATGAGATTGTCCCACTTTCTCACTTTAAGGATGAATATTACTTAATATCAGCCGAATTCTGACACACTTGCTTGTTTGTGCAATCTTCTGTGGATGTCAAAACTTGGATTCAATAACCTGTTTGAAATTAGCCTTATTAATGTAAGAACGGTGGTGACGGTCTGTTTTACATTTTATACAAAGTCACGGCTGATCGGACTGCGAATGTTTATTGAATTCATTATCCGGCGATCAGATAGTGATTTACAAGGACCCCACTGCGGGAAATAAGTTTCATTAACTTTTGTGGGTCGTCCTGAGGTATTAGGCTGGTGTGAAAATCTAGTCTATTTAATAATATTACAGTATAGTTAAATATTAAAACAATGAAAATTTCCATAATTTTATCCGTTTTAAATTATAATTTTTAGTGCTCATTACTGTAAAACATTCTAATGTCTGTAACTGTAAGATCCTATCCATGTCTAGCGCTATATTTGTATGTCATTTCACTTTATTGTGTCTGTCAGTTTCATGCTTTTTATCTTGAATAAATATTATTTTATCATCATTATAATAATTATTCCACCTTTCTCTTTTAGTTGTCCCATTTGATGTCAACCCTCCGTGCCGACAAAACTTACTAAATTGATAAACTGTTTTGATAAAAATTTTATCGTCCTAAATTATATTCTAATATTTGATACTGGACGTAAGAAAACAGCTGCAAGTTACTTCTAACAGCTTTCAGGGAGATTGAATTTTGTTCTTAATTTAAGCAACAAAAAAAGTCTAGGTTGATTTTTAAAATTTTTTTGTTGAATTCTTTATTATTTTTTTTAACCTAAAGTCTGCCAATAAGTCAACTTGGACCATCTTTTCAAAGTCAACTCTGAACGTCAATTCCAATTATAACAAAGTATAAACATTGAGTTTGGGCTATTTATATGATAAAATGTAATATTTGTTTCTTAAAATCTCATTTCATTTTACCTACAGTATGATGATTAAAATAATTTAAATTAACGATTAATACTGTAAATTTAACTAGTCTAATCACAGACATATGTCTCTGGTCTAATCATGGTCTAATTAAATGAGAAATAAAGTGAAAAATACAATTACACAAACTCATTACAGAAATCATATTATATGTCTCTGCAGAAATTAATCATAACCATGCAAAAACTATGAACATGATGCATGTCAATACAAATTGTCCAGAGTTTATAAGTTGTGATCTTGAATTGTCTATAGACGTCTCTTCATGGACGGTCCAAGTTGTCTTTTTCGTCATTTATAGTAAAAACTCTCCCTTTATTCTTTGCATTATAGACGACTTCTCTTCAGATACATTTTCGCCCTCGAAGACACTCATTAAATCATTCAAATAGTCAAAACTCATTTGTACTTTGTCTGGGTTGGCATTACAGACGGTCCGATTTGACTTATACACCTTATCGCTATTCCCGCTTGACCCGAGAATCTGTCCCGCTCGAACTTTTGACGTCATACAACAATCACTTTTCCATTGTGGCGTCAGACATTTTCTATTATGACGTCAAAATTTTACGGGAACTTGTGTGATGTCCAGTAATGGCGGACAAATAGCGATAAGGTGTATTGACGGTCCGAGTTGTCATCTCGGGGTCTTCATAGTCGGTCCTCACACGTCAGTGCTTTGATTATAATAGCTACCGTAATAAAGAATTCGTAGGATTATTTTTATTATTTATTATTATTATTGTTTTGGGGGTAGCTTTTCTGCGGTATGGAACTTGCGCCCTACTTAACTTAGCGTAGGATTCATAGGCGAACACTTATAAAGGGAAAGACGGTAAAGGGTGGTACTTTGTGTATTGTAAAATGATCAGTGATTTGTTGAAGGATAGATAATTGGCCAATCAATAAAGCTGTATTATAAACCTGAAATCAGGACTGGTACCGGAATTAGAACAAGTTCGCAACAAGGAGACAAAGCAGTCCGATAAATTTACTCTTATATATCTCTGGGGAAACACACTTACAAACACATTGATATCCAGACAAAGAGAAAAATCCTCTAACAAACGAAAACAGAATCATGGTAATTTGAGTCCTTACTTTTAACTGTGGACTCGCTTGATATAATCATTGTAATCATGTACAGTAACTGTAAGTTGTAACAACCTATCCCTGATTTTTTTCCTGAACTGAAAGATCTCCATTATTGTTTGATTAACTAGGGAAGCAAGACAACTCTCCTCACACCCAATCGCCCCTCAACAAATCGCCCCACTCTTTTAGAAAATCGCCCCACACTGGTTTACCAACTCGCCCCACTTATGAAAAAGGGTTAAATCATGTTAAATTTACTCCTGCCAACTCGCCCCACTCGCTGCTGGATAACTCGGACTAAACCAAAATCGGCCTATCACAAAATCGGACTATAACAAACTCGGCCTACCACTATTTATATGCAGAAAAAATTGAACAAACTCGGACTACGATTAGTAGATTGAGTTGTTAACGTTTTTTTTGTCTGACTTTTTAATGAAACGGGATTATCTTTTGTGTGGTTATCTCAAACATGTATTAGTGACATTTGGTTAAAGAATACAATCAGAACATCACTCCAAGATCAGTTTCAACAAACATGGTTTTCAAATATGCAAGCATGTTCGAAGACATTAAATTATCGAATTTTTAAGGATACTTTTGGGTTTGAGAACTATTTTGATATTTTAGAATTTCGTGATATTTATACTTTATGCAAATTTAGAACCATCAACCATAAATTACCCATTGAGATAGGGAGATGGACAAATATTCAGAGAGATAGAAGAAATTGTAAATTATGTAACTCTAAAGATCTTGGAGATGAGTATCATTATATTATGATGTGCACAGAGATGTCAGTAAAAAGAAATGAATGTATTGATAAAAAATATGTAAATCGTCCAAATATAATTATGTTTAAGAAAATTATGAATTTAAATATAAAATCTAAATTGAGAAAGCTGTGTACTTTCATTAGATTTATAAATTGCCATGTGTGCCCTCCTGGCTAAATACTATCAGTACACGTACAATTGTAAATAGTGTACATATTTTCTCTGTGTATTCATGTATTTATGTCTGTATTATTGATGTCATGTAGTGTCTGTATACCATTGTAATTGCAAAGGTTTGACAGAATAAAGATATATATATACTTTTAAAAAAAACCTTTATATATAAAAAATTATATACGAATTTATGAGAAAATGATAAATATTTTTGAAAAAACAATATAAAGAAATGTATTAAAATAAATTTAGATCCATCATTGAAATATGTGTTATATGAGTTGAATTTGATATTTTTGAATGAGGATAATTAACTTCTATTTGAAATATTATTGTGATTTTCTCGTTTGTTATGTTTATTGACAAAAGATGTTTTAATGATTGGCGTGTGTCCATGTTTGTATTGTGTTTAATCTTGGTGTTCATTATTAGTATACAAACAAAGAGAAATTTGATTGACAGTGAATAGCTTCTTTACAATTTCATTTATCTGTAATTCTTTATTAATGGAAAAGTAACTATATTTAAATTGTCACATCAAACAGATACAATGTTTTTAGAAAGACAAGCCGACGCAAACATTTATTATACATATTTCATTTATTATACATATTTCTCAAAATAGATGTGGAGTAAAATTGAAAAAAAACAACAGATATTTCTTTTTCTCACAAACCACTGGGATTCAACCAATAAAAGTATGATCAGAAACATATAATACACTACACTGTCTTATAATTACATAAGAATTGTAATAAAAAAAAAAAAAGAACATGAAAACGTCAGTTATACCATAGATATCTATGGTTATACACAAGCTGCTACTTCGAAGAAATTGTAATATTTAGTTAATTACAATTTCATGTAATTACAGGTAGTTTTGTTCTCACTTTGGGTGATTAAATAGGTGTCAACAGTACATGTGCCAGTTGTTAGTTTAAATTCAGTTGATTAAAAAGTTGTCAACGATACATATGGCATGATGTCATATTCCCAGTTCAATCATATAAGATATGCATATGATAAATTATTTTGAGAGGGACATATATACGAATAATAATACAGAAAAGACAGATAAGTGGTAGATTTTCATTATTAAATGAATTTATTCTTTTCTTTTTATACATATCTTGTTAACGTAATTTATATGACTCGCTTCTAAAATGTTCAAAATGATTATTTAAATAATTGTAAATCATAATTAATTAATTGCAAATTAAGTATTGATAATTAATTTCCAATAAAGAAAACAACATCCAACATCATACTTATATTCTTCTAGTAGTCCGAGTTCGGTATAGTCTGATTTTGTGAGGCCGATTATGTTATAGGCCGAGTTTGTTATAGTCTGATTTTGTTATAGGCCGAGATATCAGGGATTCGCCCCACTTATGAAAATGGGTAAAATCCCAATGAATATATATTATACGTCTGCCAACTCGCCCCACTTAAATGGAAACTTAACTTCTGTACACAGAATTAAAAAGTCACTTGTGATACAAATAAAAATCGAAAATTCAAACTATGATTATTATTGAAATTAAATGATCTTTCACTTCTTAAAATATAATGTAGATACATTATTTATTATTATGTAATTTACATATTTATTGGAGAATAACTTTATTCTTGCTGCAAGCTTAGTTATTTGCAAAATAATTGCAAAGAAACCTGTTAATTGTATCATAATCCGATATATTATCATAACAATTTAAGGATTCCAATTTAACAGCAATTTGTTTTTATAGCAATTAACTGATTGGTTACATTTGTCTTGAATTAAGAATAATTAAACACTAATGAGCAATCAGTGAAAGACAAATGTTACTTTCAAATAAATATCAAAGAGATTGTCCATTCATTCATTAACAATAAGGGTGTGTCATGTTTTTGTCCGTTATGTCTGCAAAACATGGATCACCAGCTCTTTCTACCAGATTACTGCATGGTGTGTGTTCAACCAACCTACTAGGAAAAACAACGACATAGAAGGCTGGGACAGGCACCTCAACTAAAAGAACAACGATGAAAAGCCAGCCTTCTACGACCTCATCCAGAAACTTCATGAAGAGTCACAACTCCTACCAATCCTATCCTATTCAATATATGGGAGCAGTACATTGCCGGCATGACAAATTTCATTGGGATTTTTCTATTTTTCATAAGTGGGGCGAGTTGGCAGACCTATATTCAGGGTGATTTTAACCCTTTTCCTAAGTGGGGTGAGTTGTCAGACCCATATTCAACGAGATTTTAAACTTTTTCATGAGTGGGGCGAGTTGGTAAACAAGAGTGGGGCGATTTGGTGTGGGGCGATTTGCCAGTGAGGCGAGTTGTCATGGACTCATTAACTAGTAGCTTTGAATAGTTAATATGAAAGTAACAGCTTAATTTTTAATGACTATTGTTTCAGAAAAAGGGTGAAGGTTTGGTACCATTAAAACGTTTAAACCCGCTGCATTTGTTTGCACCTGTCCTAAGTCAGGAATCTGATGTTCAGTAGTTGTTGTTTGTTGATGTGTTTCATAAGTGTTTCTTGTTTCTTGTTATACGACCGCAAAAATTAAAAAAAATTTGGTCGTATATTGGTATGACGTTGGCGTCGTCGTCGGCGTCGTCCGAAGACACATTGGTTTTCGCACTCTAACTTTAGTTTAAGTGAATGGATCTCCATGAAATTTTACCATAAGGTTCAATACCACGAAAGGATGGTTGGGATTGATTTTGGGGGTTATGGTACCAACAGTTAAGGAATTAGGGGCCAAAAAGGGGCCAAAAATAAGCATTTTTGTAACTTCCAGACAATAACTTGTATGTAAGTGTATGGATCTCTCTGACATTGTACCACAAGGTTCCATATCACAAAGGGAAGACTGTAATTGATTTTGGGGGTAATTGACTCAAAATTTTAGGAATTAGGGGCCAAAAAAGGGGCAAAAAACAAGCATTTTTCTAGTTTCATGACAATAACTTGTGTGTAAGTGTTTGGATATTTCTGAAATTGTACTACAAGGTTCCATATCACAAAGGGAAAGCTGGAATTGAGTTTGGGGGTAATTGCCCGAAAAGTTTAGAAATTGGGGGCCAAAAAGGGGCCAAAAATAAGCATTTTTCTAGTTTCCAGACAATAACTTGTGTTCAAGTGTATGGATCACTCTGAAATTGTACTGCAAGGTACCATACCACAAAGGGAAGGCTGGGATTGAGTTTGGGGGTGATGAATCATAAGGGGGTTCAAAAAATTTGGGGGGGGGGGGGGGGGGGGTTTCTTTTTTTCCTTTTTTTTTTCTTTTAAAATTTTCCATTTTAAGTTGGTTATTTCTGATTAATATTTAAAAGCAAATAATAATGATATGGTAGGAGATACACACCAAACAGGATGTGTAAATTATTATATAATAAGTATTGTGCAATAGCAAGAAATTTTCAATTGCACAGTATTGCACAATAGCAAGAAATCTTCAATTGCACAGTATTGCGCAATAGCAAGAAATCTTCAATTGCACAGTATTGCACAATAGCAAGAAATATCCAATAGCACAATATTGCGCAATAGCAAGAAATTGTCAATTGTACAGTATTGCACAATAGCAAGAAATATTCAATTGCACAGTATTGTGCAAAAGAAGATACTTCGTATAAATTGCTTATTTCTTGATCAATTTCAATGGGGTTTTATTCTTGAATTCTTGGGGTTCTTTAATATGCTGAATCTAACCGTGTATTAAGTTTTTGGATTTTGGGCCCCGTTTTTAAATTGGTCCACATTGAGGTCCAAAGGGTCCAAAATTTAACTTTGTTTGATTTCATCAAAAATTGAATTATTGGGGTTCTTTGATATGCCGAATCTAACCGTGTATTTAGATTCTTAATTTTTGGTTCCGTTTTCAAATTGGTCTACATTAAGGTCCAAAGGGTCCAAAATTAAACTTAGTTTGATTTTAACAAAAATTGAATTTTTAGGGTTTTTTGATATGCTGAATCTAAACATGTATTTAGATTTTTGATTATGGGCCCAGTTTTCAAGTTGGTCCAAATCGGGGTCCAAAATTAAATTTTGTTTGATTTCAACAAAAATTGAATATATGGGGTTCTTTGATATGCTGAATCTAACCATGTATTTAGATTTTTTATTTTTGGGCCCCGTTATCAACTTTGTCCACATTGAGGTCAAAAGGGTCCAAAATTAAACTTTGTTTGATTTCATCAAAAATTGAATTCTTGGGGTTCTTTGATATGCTGAATCTAACCATGTATTTAGATTTTGGATATTGGACCATAATAGGTGAATGTCCAATTTAAAATTTTTAAGTTCTTAGACCACATTCATTCTGTGTCAGAAACCTATGCTGTGTCAAATATTTAATCACAATCCAAATTCAGAGCTGTATCAAGCTTGAATGTTGTGTCCATACTTGCCCCAACTGTTCAGGGTTCGACCTCTGCGGTCGTATCAAGCTGCGCCCTGCGGAGCATTTTATTTTTTATATAGATTAGACCGTTGGTTTTTGTCGAGCCTGCGACTTTTGTCGCAGAAAGCTCTACATAGGGATAGTGATCCTGCGGCGGCGGCGTTAGCTAACTTCTTAAAAGCTTTATATTTTAGAGGGTGGAAGACCTGGATGCTTCATACTTTGTATATGGATGCCTCATGTTACTAAGTTTCCGTCAGTCACATGTCTAATGTCCTTGACCTCATTTTCATGGTTCAGTGACTACTTGAAAAAAAAGTTAACATTTTTTGTAATGTTAAATTCTCTCTTATTATAAGTAGTAGGATAACTATATTTGGTATGTGCGTACCTTGCAAGGTCCTCATGCCAGTCAGACAGTTTTCACTTGACCTCAACCTTATTTCATAGATCAGTGAGCAAGGTTAAGTTTTGGTGGTCAAGTCCATATCTCAGATACTATAAGCAATAGGTCTAGTATATTCGGTGTATGGAAGGACTGTAAGGTGTACATGTCCAACTGGCAGGTGTCATCTGACTTTGACCTCATTTTATGGTTCAGTGGTTAAAGTAAAGTTTTTGTGTTTTGGTCTGTTTTTCTTATACTGTATGCAATAGGTCTACTATATTTGGTGTATGGAATGATTGTAAGGTGTACATGTGTAGCTGGCAGGTGTCATCTGACCTTGACCTCGTTTTCATGGTTCAGTGGTCAAAGTTAAGTTTTTGAGTTTTGGTCTTTTTTCTAATACTATATGCAATAGGTCAACTATATTTGGTGTATGGAAATATTTCATGATCTATATGTCAGTCGCGCAGGTTTTATATGACCTTGACCTCATTTTCACGGTTCATTGCTCAGTGTTAAGTTTTTTGTGTATTGGTCTGTTTTTCTTAAACTATAAGCAATAGGTCAACTATATTTGTTATAAGGAAGAATTGTTAATTGTACATGTCTGCCTGGCATGGTTCATCTGACCTTGACCTCATTTTCATGGTTCATTGGTCAATGTTTAGTTTTCTTGGTTAATGTTAAGTTTATGTGACAGTTGTAATAAAGCTTTATATTTAGGACTATCAACATAATATCAATGATTAGTAAAGAAGGCGAGACATTTCAGCGTGTGCACTCTTGTTCCCGTTTGAATGATTTTACACTAGTAATTTTTGGGGCCCTTTATAGCTTACTGTTTGGTGTGAGCCAAGGCTCCGTGTTGAAGACCGTACTGTGACCTATAATGGTTTACTTTTATAAATTTTGACTTGGATGGAGAGTTGTCTTATTGGCACTCATACCACATCTTCTTATATCTAAGCTTTGGAATTAGTAAAAACACTCACTGAATGTACAAATTGTAAAAGTAGACAGCAAATTTAATTTCATTGCTTGGCTCAGCCACTCTTTAATCTCAATTAGCTTTAACCATTTTTGTTGTCTAATACAAAAAATGTTTTATGAATTTTCACATTATTTCAACACTTATTATTCATATTATATCATGACATGATTCTAAACAACAACAAAAATTGATAAGAAGTGCGAATGTGAATATGGGCAAACAGAGCAAGGGCGTACAGAGTTCCTAACCAATATTCTGGCGTTATGTTATCATTTAGCACTTTCAAATATATGACTTAGTTTGGATATAAATTTACTGTGTCAAAAAAAAGTTATTTGGATTTTAGAGGAAATATTTCAATGTGCTATTGATATAAAGTAATGCTAAAATAATGGTCAGAAACGTTTTTGATTACCTGATTGTTTATGAGATTGAACGATTGGAAAAGGTTTGTGTTCATAAGGATCAATCTGGCAACTTATGCCTTTCCTGGAAAAGTCGATAACCAAAAGTTACTACTTTTGACCTGGACAAATACACTTTTCAACCTTTTTGTTATAAAAATAAATAATTTTTTTCACTGTAAATTAATTTGTGCTATTCTATCTCAAAGAAGCTATTATTACGTACCCATTAGGTTGACTGGTACCCAATTTATGTAACTATTGATATCATTAAACAATCACTTTTTCTGGTGCCCAACATTTTTATGCCCCCGCCGTAGAGGAGGATTAAGTTTTACCCTTGTCTGTACGTCCGTACGTCTGTACGTCTGTACAATGTATGTACATCCGTACATCCCAAAATTGGTTTCCGTTCTCTAACTTTAGTTTGCCTCAACCAAATGTTATACAACTTATACACAATGCTTATTACCACTAAACACAGATCAAGTTTGAATTATGGTGGCATCACTTTTACTGTTCTAGAGTTATGCCCCTTTGCAAATGGAAAATTGCTGAAATATTTGTTTCCGTTTTCTAACTTTAGTTTGCCTCAACTAAATGTTACAAAACTTATAAACAATGCTTATTACCACAAAACTCAGATCAAGTACAAATTTGGGTAGCGTCACTTTTACAGTTCATGAGTTATGTCCCTTTATAACGTTATATGCAAGCAGGGGCATTATCTGTGTACCATGGACACATTCCCCATTTATTTGTAGCTTTCATGGCTATTGTTCTTACCTTTTTATACGACCGCAAAAAAATTTTGCGGTCGTATATTGGTATGACACTGGCGTCGTCGTCGTCGTCCGAAGACACATTGGTTTTCGCACTCTAACTTTTAATTTAAATGGATCTCAATGAAATTTTACCATAAGGTTCAATACCACAAAAGGAAGTTTGGGATTGATTTTGGGGGTTATGGTACCAACAGTTAAGGAATTAGGGTCCAAAAATAAGCATTTTTGTAACTTCCAGACATAACTTGTGTGTTAGTGTATGGATCTCTCTAATATTGTACCACAAGGTTCCATATCACAAACAAAATTTTAGGAATTAGGGGCCAAAAAGGGGCAAAAAACAAGCATTTTTCTAGTTTCAGGACAATAACTTGTGTGTAAGTGTATGGATCTTTATGAAATTGTATTACAAGGTTCCATATCACAAAGGGAAAGCTGGGTTTGAGTTTGGGGGTAATTGCCCTAAACGTTTAGGAATTTGGGGCCAAAAAGTGGCAAAAAAACAAGCATTTTTCTAGATTCCAGACAATAACTTGTGTTCAAGTGTATGGATCTCTCTGAAATTGTACTGCAAGGTACCATACCACAAAGGGAAGGCTGTTATTGAGTTTTGGGGTGATGAATCATAAGGGGGTTAAAAAAAATTGGGGGGGGGGGGATTTTTTTTTCTTTAAAATTTTCCATTTTAAATTGGTTATTTCTGATTTATATATTAAAGCAAATAATAATGATATGGTTTGAATAGGTAAATTAAAATTTTTTAAGTTCTTAGACCACATTCATTCTGTGTCAGAAACCTATGCTGTGTCAAATATTTAATCACAATCCAAATTCAGAGCTGTATCAAGCTTGAATGTTGTGTCCATACTTGCCCCAACTGTTCAGGGTTCGACCTCTGCGGTCGTATCAAGCTGTGCCGCAGCGGAGCATTTTATTTAAATTAGTATTTTTTTTCAGTTATTCTTATTTCAATTTATGGTATGATGCAAATATATCATGTATATGTTTAATAGCTATTAATACCACAATCAATGAATAATAACTGGTAGATATATCATTGTACATGTACATGCTGCTATAAACAGTTGAAAAATCCAGATTGAAAAGTCGACAGGACCATACATGTATATTTTGGGCTTTTTCAAACTGTCCTATTTGTTGATGTCATTATTTTTTAGTTAATTTGTTGATTTTACAACAAAGTAGATCTTTTAAAAAGGATACCCACTACAAGAATGAAGAGATTTTGGTTCAGGTTCCTGGTCAAATATGAGTGCCAACATTTTTGGTAGATCTTCTGTAAGCTACAATGTAAGGAGCATGCCCATACTATAACACTTTCAGAAAATTGTCAGACAATAAAATTCTTCTTGTAGCATTTTATCCGAATTTTATACATTTTAAAATCAGTACACTAGACTTCCAGCTACATGTAAAACTGTATAGTGGTCATATTCATTTTCCTATAGGCATTAGTTTAAAAATCTATAGACTTTTTAAATGTAAATCTTTAATAGACTTATGTGACACTTGTTTTCTGCTTTATCTTTTGCTTCCGTATACTTTCTTTAAATCATCTAACATAAACTACAAATTTCAAATACTACAGGAAATTAAAATTACTACATTTTAATTGCACTATAACTGCAATTGTTTTTGTCAAGCAATACACTGCACTAGTTGCAATCCCCCCCCCCCCCCCAAAAAAAATGAAATCACATTATAGTGTTTTCTAGCTTTTAAAAAGGGCAGGGTAATTGTTTTCTTAGACGCTAGGGCACTCTTAGTAAAACCTTTATCTTTAAGACTTTCAACTTAAAATTAATGGTCAGTAAAGCAGGCGTGACATTACAGTGTGTGCATTCTTGTTTAGATGACACCAGTAAGAAAGTTGTCATAAATTCACAAGCACTCTGTCGTCATGACTGGTCAAATAGTTAAAGTGGTCAAACTTAAAATGAAAATATAAACAAACAGCTGATTGTTTACAATAACATTATGTTCATCCAATGCATCGTAAAATGATAACTCAAAACGATTGCCTAGTTCCCTTTTAAATTGTTTACATTTTGAATTGGTAGAGGTACAAATTTTGATGATGTCCTTATTAGATTCAAAATTTTGATTTCTTCCAAAGGGAAATAACTGGAAATGATCTGGCTAAAAGATGAATCGCAGAACCAATCATAAATTTGACAGGGCGATTTAAAATACGATGGAATAGGGACATGGCTCTAATTTTTTTTCCAAAAAAGGGCAGGGTGTCAAGAAAAAAAGGCAGGGCTCCATACCACGCCAAAACATCTACATTAACCCAGCACAAACACTACATTAACCCAGCACAAACACTTTTGTCTCCAACACTTAAAACTGGACAGGGATATGTTCAATCTTTTTAAATTTAATAAGTCAAACTTAGTGAAATGAAGGCTCTAAATTGAAAATCAGTTGTTCTAATAAGGTGGGATACACCTGTATATAGTATTTGGGGATGAAATAAAAAAGGGCAATAGAAAATTCTTCAATTTTTACAGGATTGTACATTTTGACTGTTTTCATAGCATATATAGGTAAGCTGTAATACAAGAAATAGTAATGCAGATTTCATTCATGTTTGTAAATTATAATTACAGCTATAATGAGTACCTTCACCAAAATACCAAAATGATGGAAAAAAGAGTAAAACTGAAAACTGTCAATACTCATATAACTTGTACTTTGTGTCGGGGATATCTTATTGAAGCAACAACAATAACAGAATGTTTACATACATGTAAGTATGGTATAGTAGTTTGAAGTATTGTTCTATTATATTGGAATGTAAACAAAGAAAATATTCTGGAAACAAATTGTAATTCTAAGAAGTAGGCTATAACTTTAAATGACACTTTCTATGTTTTAACGTATCTACACCACATTTGATCATAATTATTTGCTTTCTTAATTGAGAACATCAAAGAGTATGAAGAATTTTGTTCATATATTGATGTATTGATAATATTGCAATTAACTTTCTAAATACTGTTTTTGAATTTTTCAAAATAATGTGGCCGGTTACCAAAGTCATGACATTTTTGTCGAGCCTTCGACTTTTGTCAAAAAAGCGAGACATAGCAATCCTACATTCTGTCAGCGTCGTCGTTGGTGGCGTCCACAAATATTCACTCTGTGGTTAAAGTTTTTGAAATTTTAATAACTTTCTTAAACTATCCTGGATTTCTACCAAACTTGGACAGAAGCTTGTTTATGATCATAAGATAGTATCCAGAAGTAAATTTAAAAAAAAAATCCTTTATTTCTGTATTTTACTTATAAATGGACTTAGTTTTTCTGCCAGGAAACATTACATTCACTCTGTGGTTAAAGTTTTAAAATTTTTTAATAACTTTCTTAAACTATCCTGGATTTGTACCAAACATGGACAGGAGTTTGTTTATGATCAAAAGCTAGTATCTAGAAGGAAATTTTTATTAAAATTTTGTACTTGTTTATCCATATTTTACTTATAAATGGACTTAGTTTTTCTTCCAGTTAACATAACATACAGTCTGCAGTTAAATTTTTTAAAACATTCATTAGATTCATAAACTATCCTGGATTTTTACCAAACTTGGACAGAAGCTTCTTACAATAAAAAAATTGTATCGAGGGGAATATTTGTATTAAATTTTTTCCTCATCTCATTTTTGTTGAGCCTGCGATTAACAGCAAAAGTAGGCGAGACACTGGGTTCCGCGGAACCCTTACAAATTTTTTTGTAACTCAATCCTGGTCTTTTTCTCTAAGACAGTAATCACATTACAATGTATGAGTTTTGTGCAGACTCCTTAAAGTATTCAAACCCCTACTGAAACCGAGTGAAACATTATAATTACACAGACACTCCTAAACAAATGAATGTTTGGGTATACAGTATATAATTTTGTTAATGTATTCTTGTCAATTGCAGGCATGTCCAGTAATGGATTTTTATTGGGTAAAAAACTTCAAATCGTAAAATTTTTACCAATAAGAATGGCAAAATTATATTATTTTGAATTTATATCAAGGTAATAATATGTGTATTTCAGTCTGCAAGACATGTCTGGTGAAATATTTACATGAACACAACAAATGTCCTAAGTGTGGAATATTGATACATCAAAGTCATCCATTAAATTATATCAGGTAATGTTACATTTTTAAACATATAAGTTTATAATACCTTTGGGAATAAAAGACAAACTAAAAAGTCATCTGTAGTTGTACATGTATCTCATACTCATATAGAAGCTATACATGTACTGTGCTACCATTTCTTATTTTAGAGGTGTATTCCAAATCAATCAGAATCTCATTAATTGGGTATACAATGTATTGGTACTGTTGATCAGTACATTATTTATTTAGATATCATTTAAAAGAAAATGTAAAGAGATGGTTTGTGATTACCATAGAGGCAACCATCTTTTAAGACACAGTGTGTAAAAGTTTTAAACATGACATCTTTATTTCGCCATATGTTTGCACAATCAATTTTATCTATCTGAAATCAGTGCTTTGTATTCAGTCTAGAAATTGACTAGTTTATACATTTTCATGTGTTATAGACTGATAACATCTATCTACAAAGTAAGTAATTGCATAGTATATGTGATTGAGAAGCTATTTAAGATCAATACGAGAAAAATGATATATGATTTTGTTAGATTTCTTTGATTTTTTTCAACTGAGATGATGTATTTTAAGAAGATTGCATTTTTATTTTCAGTCATGACCGTACCATGCAAGATATTGTGTACAAGCTGGTACCTAAATTACAAGAAAGTATGTAGATGTTTTACCTATAAACAAATAATTTGTGATTTCATCTAAGAAAATTTTACATTTAGAGAATATCTCTAAATCTTTGCAAATTTCCTAGGAGTGATCCTCATTTTATCCCAACTAAATGGTATCTTTGGCGACAATGATCCCAGAGGGGTGCCCTCTGAACCCAACTAGAAATAGCGTTTTCGTCTTATTCTTTGGAAAACTTTGTCAAGTCAATCTGTACCAGCTTGACAGGAAAAATGTGTAGAGAGTAAAATTTTTGAATAAGTCTTTTTCTCAGTTAAATGGAAAACATACAAACATTTCTGAATATCTTATGATCAATTTTTACTGTAAACTATGCCTTTAAAAGAGCCAATTGCCAATAGTAGAATTTATTGATTGTGAGCAGGTGTAGAGGTCAAGCTTTTTCCTCAGGCTTTTGTAATTGTAGAAACAATACTTTATCTTTTCACTTAAGAATTGTGTCTTTTGTTGTCTGAAGTTTCTGGTTGTTGTTTGAAATCGACTTGTTCATTTCACTTCGGCCTATCACCACACTGTTTTTCGTTAGTGGCATGTTTGATTATGTTGCATAAATAAATATATGAATTTCATCTAATGGGAGGTCGTGGGTTTGAACCCCAGCCAGGTCAAACCAAAGACTTTAAAATTGGTACTTGCTTCTCCGTTAAGTAAGCTGCATTAAGGAGTAAGAGCAAAACTGGTTAGTTCGGAGTCAGAATAATGTTTCCGGTAAGGTGACATGTCTTCCTGTGGACTGTTACCTTGTGAACTAGCAGGTTAAAATTCTGGATCAGCTTGTTGGTCTAGTACAAAGCAGGGCTAAATTTCATATTGCATTAACATGTTCTCATCCTGAATATGCATATTAATTTGCCGCTGGACATTGAGCAGCCATCCATCATCATCATCATTTAATAGAATACTATAAAAATTGTCTGTTACCCAAAACATGAATTTACCAAAGTCTATTGGTTTTCACCAGCAATGCGGTTTTCTGAATCTATTGAAACTGAATACCATGGAATTTTCATGATGGAAATGGACAAACAAACAAAAATTATATTTTATGTCAGGCAATTAAAAAGTATATATAGGTTTTCAATGTTGAACAAACATTAATTGCACAGAGCTAATATCTATTCATACATTTGCATTGATTTATTTCCACAGAAGAAGCAAAACGTAAAGAAAAGTTTTACAAAGCAAGAGGAATAAAACCAGAACCAACAGGTGAGCTAATCATTGCTTACTTTTTGGGTGATTTATAAAAGTATTGCCAATTATTTATCATATGTAAATTTTAAAATTTTAAAACATGATATTTGTTGTCATTTCAAAAAAAAATAAAAGTTTTAATATCATGTAATGTAACTTTATATGTTAAATTGAGTACAGATAAACATGTCAAAAAAAATGACTCAGCAATGAGTTATGAGATAGTGTATAGCCTAATGACATAATTTGGTCAAACATGGTCACTTGTTTCCATGTGATACAACCCATTTAAAAGATAAGACACCCAAAGTATATTTTTAACTCCTTTTAATAAAGAGAAACAAAGGAGATCAAGAGATCCATAGTTCTGAATTAAAAATATTTTTAACATTTGGTTAAGTACTGTAACAAGGGCAGTAATCAGCCTTTGATGTCAACAGTTATGTTCAGATATAAAAATTCAATAGATAATATGTTTTTACCTATATCATTGTAGAAGAACCTATTCTAACGGAAGCGGAAATTAAAAAAGAACCAGTTGAAAAAGAGGAAAACCATGATTACCATAGAAATGATGAACAAGTGAATGTATGTTTAGAAGGACAGGATCTAGACATGAAATGTCTACGCAGGAAATTCTTACGATTATCCTCCCAAGCAACAGTTAGCCATCTAAAGAAATTCATTGCACTCAAATTATTTGATGATATTAAAAGGTTTACAGATGTAAGTAGTTGACAAAATTGTAACAAAATACAAAAGTCATTTCATTTTAGCCTAATATTTGGTTAGCACAGCATGATGATATTTAAGAGAGTTTTATTTTATTCGTACAAATAATTGTTCCCAGTTTTGTAACCAATCTTTTACTTTTGTATTGAGGAAAGAGAACTCATTAGCCTCTATATGAAATTTGAGCAGTTAGAATAACCAGCTGAGATTAAATTATATATTGTGGATATGATTCTTAATAAGAAATTCATGTCGCTAGAGTACAATGTATAGGTGCCTTATATATGTTAAGTGCTGAAACAATTGGTATTTTTTTTAATACCCAAGTAGTATTTAAATAGAATTACTCATAAAAAAATGGCTATAAAGAATTTATGCTAGATATAAAGAGCTTTTTCACAAATTTTGGAAAAGTTTTTTATTGAGGTAGTTTCATTTCTATTTGAAATTTAGTACTTAACTTTAATATAAAAATAAGGAGACAATGTATGATTGCCAATGAGAAAACTATTTACCTAAGTTTGAATAAAATGGATATAAGCAATTATAGGCAACCATACAGCCTTCAACAATGAGAAAACCCATACCGTATAGTCCGCTTTAAAAGACCTGACTTGAAAAATATGAAACAATTCAATTGAGAAAACTAAATGCCAAATTTATAACAATACAATTTACGAAAAACAATTATGACAGACATGAACCAAGGACAACCACTGAACTACAGGCTCCTGACTTGGAACAGGCACATAAAAAATGTTCATTATGATTTGAACCTTTTAAAACACATGCCAAATTAGAGTGTTTACCCAAATTTAATGGTTCACTGAACATGGAAATGTGATAGTTCTAGTGGGCCATTCCCCCATATGCTTGTTTTTAATATATATCTGTTTATAAATATGAAAGTGAAAGTAGTTGTTTTTCATTAAATATTATGTTGTTCAATTTCAGATAGAGATTTTGTGTAATGATGAACTGTTAGGGAAATATCATACACTTAAATTTGTAGCAATAACAAGAAAAAGACAAAAGGTAAGAAAGTGAAATTCCTGGGTTAAAAAAACTACTTTTTATACAACCGCAAAAAATCGTATATTGGTTTGACGTTGGCGTCGGCTTCGTCATTGTCGTCGTCGTCCGAAGACACATTGGTTTTCACACTCTAACTTTAGTTTAAGTGAATGGATCTCTTTGAAATTTTACCATAAGGTTAAATACCACAAAAGGAAGGTTTGGATTGATTTTGGGGGTTATGGTACCAACAGTTAAGGAATTAGGGGCCAAAAAGGGGCAAAAAATAAGCATTTTCTAGTTTCCAGACAATAACTGTGGAACGGTGTATGGATCTCTCTGAAATTATACTACAAGTTTCCATACCACAAAGGGATGGTTAGGATTTGCTTTGGGGGGTTATGGCTCAAACTGTTTAGGAATTAGGAGCAAAAAAGGGGAAAAACAAGGTTGTCCTGGTTAATGGACAAATACTTTAGTACAAAACATAATTTAAAGCAGTGTAAGGGAGATAAATCAAATACATCATTGAAATTACCTCCCTTACACTGCTTTTAAATTATGTATAAAGTAATGGTTAATGAACAATTAAGATAATTTAAAACAGTGTAAGGGAGATAAAACAACTACAACGTTTTGGTTACTTCCCTTACACTGCTTTTAAATTATGTTTAAAGAAATGCATACTTATAAAGGAAGACCAGTAAAAATATCTGCAAATGTTGCATCTTTTTCTTTTACACTATATTTTAAATTCTATTATAAAATAGATTAAGTTAGCACTATGGTAAATTTAAATGGGTAATTATGGTTGCAAACTCCATTGGAAATTTGAATTGAGATTATGACCATATCTTGAGGGAAAGAATTTTTTTGGGGAAAAAAGGGGGGGTTAAAAAAGAAATTGTGGGGGGGGTCAATTTTTTCTCATTTCAGATTTCAGAAATTAAAAAGAATTATTCTTCAAATATTATTTTTTTTAATTTCAAATATTGAAAAATTTCAAGAAGTAATCTTTAATTCCACAGTATGGCGCATTAGATTTGTAAAATCTTTGACCACATTTATTTTTTTGTTATGCTGAATGTAACCCTGTATTTAGATTTTTAATTTTGGGTCCAGTTTTCAAATTGGTCTACATTAAGGTCCAAAGGGTCCAAAATTAAACTTTGTTTGATTTTAACAAAAATTGAATATATGGGGTTCTTTGATATGCTGAATCTAAACATGTGTTTTGATTTTTGATTTTTGGCCCAGTTTTCAAGTTGGTCCAAATTGGGGTCCAAAATTAAACTTTGTTTGATTTCAACAAAAATTGAATATATGGGGTTCTTTGATATGCCAAATCTAACCGTGTTTTTAGATTTTTATTTTTGGGTCCCGTTTTTTAAATTGGTCTACATTAAGGTCCAAAGGGTCCAAAATTAAACTTAGTTTGATTTTAACAAAAATTGAATTCTTGGGGTTCTTTGATATGCTGAATCTAAACATGTGTTTAGATTTTTTATTATGGGCCCAGTTTTCAAGTTGGTCCAAGTTGGGGTCCAAAATTAAACTTTTTTTTATTTCAACAAAAATTGAATATATGGGTTCTTTGATATGCTGAATCTAACCATGTATTTAGATTTTTTATTTGTGGGCCCTGCTATCAAATTGGTTCATATTGAGGTCAAAAGGGTCCAAAATTAAACTTTGTTTGATTTTATCAAAAATTGAATTATTGGGGTTCTTTGATATTCCAAATCTAACCGTGTATTTAGATTTTTAATTTTGGTCCAGTTTTTTAAATTGGTCTTCATTAAGGTCCAAAGGGTCCAAAATTAAACTTAGTTTGATTTTAACAAAAATTGAATTCTTGGGGTTCTTTGATATGCTAAATCTAAACATGTGTTTAGATTTTTGATTATGGGCCCAGTTTTCAAGTTTGTCCAAGTTGGGGTCCAAAATTAAACTTTGTTTGATTTCAACAAAAATTGAATATATGGGGTTCTTTGATATGCTGAATCTAACCATGTATTTTGATATTGGACATTTGATTATAATAGGTAAATTAAAAAAAATCAAGTTCGTAGACCACATTCTTTCTGTGTCAGAAACCTATGCTGTGTCAAATATTTAATCACAATCCAAATTCAGAGCTGTATCAAGCTTGAATGTTGTGTCCATACTTGCCCCAACTGTTCAGGGTTCAACCTCTGTGGTCGTATCAAGCTGCGCCCAGCGAAGCATTTTATTCATTTTTGATTTTATAGTTGATCCTAATTTTATCAAATGATTACTAAGTTCACAGGATGATTCAATATCATTATAAAATAATAACTTGTTGAAAAATGTTAAAATGCAACAGTATTAGTTGATTTAATTGCCAAATTATAAGTTTTGCACAATTCTTGTTCAAACTTTAATGTGTAAGATGTAATAGTGTAAAGAGATTTGTATTATCAGTTATATTTAACATATCAAAAGGAGATAATCGAACTCCACACCTGAAGGGAGATAAATTGATACTTATGCTGGTAGAGATAGATATTAATTCTCATTTTACTATTGGGTATGAATGTTTATGGGTAAATTCATCCAAAATACCTTATTTTTATTTCAACTTTTATGTTTTGGTAAAGAAGGTCAACTGTCCGTTTTGTATATTTTTGATCCTGCAAAATATCTTTTAAAACATTTTCTTGAAACATACATGTATTGCTTTACGAAAGATAATGGGGAAAATGCAATGCAATTTGATCAACAAATTACACCGATACATCTGCAATTTAAGGAAACATACAAATCTAATAGATATCCCAAGTATAAATCAATTATGGTACTTAATTTATTTTATTTTTACCTAGGATGGACCACTTGTTCTACATTACAGACCAAAAACTATTGAGTACTGATGAGAAGACTTTTAAGTGGTTAGTTTACTGTTCTTCATAGACAAATACATATGTATACAGGACCTGTAGGACATCTGTAGATACCAAATGTCCTGTTCTTTATAGACAAATACATGTGTATAAAGGACCTGAAGGACATCTGTAGATACCAAAGCATTCATTGTGTGTGAAATAAATAGAACTTTGGTAATTCATTTTGGATATAAAGGAGGACTCTGTTCAAATATATATTTTATAAAAGGATTGCAGATAACAGAAGTAATTTTGACAATACATTGATTGACGAGATCAGCCAAGCATATAAGTGATATGAGTTTGCTTTCTTGGAGTTGTCCCATGTTTAAATAGACTTGCTCTAATTTATTGTTTTTGTATTTATGCAACTTATATTTATTGTATTAACATGTTTTATGATATTTTCTTTTTGCAAAACAAGTGATATTGATAAAAAGTTTATATCTTTGGATTAAAAATTATTTATTTGAAAAACTAGTAGAAAAATACAGCTATTGCATATATTTCACCTGATCCGCCATGGCTGAAATGACATTCTGTTAAAAAAAATTTAGATAACAGTGTTTCTTGAGAAATTTTGATTCACATCCTTGCCAAAACTTGTAGCATTAGGGTTAGCCAAGTGTTTCAATATAATCTTCAATCTCAATGGGGAAAATTGGAAACTGTTATTGATCTCTAATAAACTAATAAATAGCAAAATTTAAGAATATTACAAAACTTGACTTTTTACAATGAGAAATGACTTTGAGATTAACATTTCTTTGATAGAACATATCTTGATTATGAAGTTATAATGCTTAAATTATGCCTTTTCAATTGAAAGTTACTGTCTATTAATTTTTGTGGTCAAAAATAGTTATTAGAAATCCAGGTAAATAATTTATTATTTTAAGGTTTATAATACTTATATTCTGTCTTTAAAACACATTATCCTTTTGAATAAATATAATATACAATCAAATGTTAAAATTAAGAGACAAAACTTTGCTTGTGTAGTTCTAAATGCCTCAATTTACTATATTGTTTTTTTCTTTCACCTGATTTCAATTCTTTTCACATATTATATATACTTAACAATGTTGTTATTAAACGAAAGCAAGAAGGAAAAAAAACCATACATATCAAAGTATTGCAGAATTTTAGTCTTAAGCATAATGGTTAGGCCAAAACGAAAATATTTGTAATCAGGGTTTCCCTACTTAATTTATTTTTTATGCCTAAAATTGCCTACCCTAAAGTTTTAATTGACACTTTTGGTAGAGAATAGTGACAAAATAACAGATTGTCTCTACATGAAAATTAGACAAAATAAAAGAAATTTTTACCTCCTTACCCTGTTTTTTCTAAACAATAGAGTCCTCGACACACATATTTATGCCCCCATTTGGTGGCATCGCTTTAACCGTTCTAGAGTTATGCCCCTTTACAAACGGAAAAATTGCTGAATTTTTTGTTTCCGTCCCTATCTTTAGTTTGCCTCAACCAAATGTTCTTAAACTTGAACACAATGCTTATTACCACAAAACACAGATCAAGTTTGAATTTTGGTGGCGTCACTTTAATTGTTCTGGAGTTATGCTCCTTTACAAATGGAAAAATTGCTGAATTTTTTCGTTTCCGTTCTCTAACTTAAGTTTGCCTCAACCACATGTTATGAAACTTATACACAATACTTATTACCACAAAATTCAGATCAAGTACAAATTTTGGTAGCGTCACTTTTACCGTTCTTCAGTTATGTCCCTTTATAACTTTATATGATATGCAAGCGGGGGCATCATCTGTGTCCCATGGACACATTCCACATTTTTTTTTGTTTGGCCTTAATCTATGAAGTAGTTTAGAGTGAATCATTTGAAAAGAAAGCATATATGTATTAATGGTGCTTGTTCCATGAGGTTACATGTTATTTTGTGTATAATTATCCTTTGTATATTAGTTTTCTATTGTTTTGGCTAAGTTCAGGGATGGTTTTAATCTGTGTTTTAGCAGATATCGACTGTTGTCATCTGTGTTTTACCAGATATCGACTGTTGTTAGTATAAATTTATTTAATTTAGTACAACTAATTTATACACAGAGATTTGCTTACTGTACAGTCCTTTCTGCTTTTTAGCTCACCTGGCCCAAAGGGCCAAGTGAGCTTTTCTCATCACTTGGCGTCCCTCGTCCCTCGTCCTGCGTCCGTCGTCCGTCGTCCGTAAACTTTTACAAAAATCTTCTCCTCTGAAACTACTGGGCCAAATTTGACCAAACTTGTCCACCATCATCAATAGGGTATCTAGTTTAAAAAATATGTCCGGTGACCCGGCCAACTAACCAAGATGGCCGCCATGGCTAAAAATAGAACATAGGGGTAAAATGTAGATTTTGGCTTATATCTCTGAAACCAAAGCATTTAGAGCAAATCTGACATGGGGTAAAATTGTTTATCAGGTCAAGATCTATCTGCCCTGAAATTTTCAGATGAATCTGAAAACCGGTTGTTGGGTTGCTGCCCCTGAATTGGTAATTTTAAGGAAATTTTGCCGTTTTTGGTTATTGTCTTGAATATTATTATAGAAAGAGATAAACTGTAAACAGCAATAATGTTCAGCAAAGTAAGATCTACAAATAAGTCAACAGGCCCAAAATGGTCAGTTGACCCCTTAAGGAGTTATTGCCCTTTATAGTCAATTTTTAACCATTTTTCGTATATTTTTGTAATCTTTTACAAAAATCTTCTCCTCTGAAACTACTAAGACAAATTTAACCAAACTTGTCCACAATCATCATTAGGGTATCTAGTTTAAAAAATGTGTCCGATGACCCGCCCGCGAACCAAGATGGCCGACATGGCTAAAAAATAGTTCATAGGGTAAAATGCAGTTTTTGGCTCATATCTCTGAAACCAAAGCGTTTAGAGCAAATCTGACAGAATAAAATTGTTCATTAGGTCAAGATCTATCTGCCCTGAAATTTTCAGACCAATCAGGCAACACGTTGTTGGGTTGATGCCCCTGAATTGGTAATTTTAGGAAAATTTTGCAGCTTTTGGTTATTATCTTGAATATTATTATAGATAGAGATAAACTGTAAACAGCAATAATGTACAGCAAAGTAGATCTACAAATAAGTCAACATGACCAAAATTGTCAATTGACCCCTTAAGGAGTTATTGCCCTTTATAGTCAATTTTTTATAATTTTCATAAATTTTTGTAAATTTTTACAAAATATTTTCCACTGTAACTACTGGGCCAAGATCATTATAGATAGAGATAATTGTAAGCAGCAAGAATGTTCAGTAAAGTAAGATCTACAAACACATCACCATCACCAAAACACAATTTTGTCATGAATCCATCTGTGTCCTTTGTTTAATATGCACATACTGACCAAGGTGAGCGACACAGGCTCTTTAGAGCCTCTAGTTCTTTCTATGAGCTGAATCATCCCTTAAATTTAAGTGAAGTTTAAAAATATTTATTTATATCTAATTCTAGGAACTCTGAACACCTCAAAAAGCCTTATTTATACTTTATTAAAGTATTTTCAATTATCAATGAATTAATTACACATATAGATTCAGATTTAACTTTCAAGGTTAAAGTTGTTAGAATAGCAATCTCTCCAGTAAAAAAATTTCTTTTTCTTTGGAATTTAGAAAAGAACATAAATCATAAGATTTATATCAGCTCATGAAATTATGTTATAGAAAACTGGAATTAAAATTTGTAATTTAATGAATTAAAGAACCTTTGTGAGCACACTCACATACCCCACGCCTCATAACTCCTACAAAAGTAAATTGATAAAAATTTCTTGTGGATATGCACATCTTCATATTATGTCCTTAATATCTACAAAGTTCCATAAAATTCTGTTATGTGGTTTCAGAGGTGTTGCGATGGCAATCTGATGCAGTAGTATATTTAGGCCAAAATTTTAAGTTCAAAGTGGCTGAAACCCTAGAAAAAAAATTGAATCACAATTTCCTGTTGATATGCACATCTACATAGTTTGTCCTCATTAACAACAAAGTTTCATGAAATTCTGTTGTGTGGCTTCAGAGGAGTTGCAATGGCAATCTGTTGCAGTAATATATTAAGGCAAAAATTCTAAGTTCAAAGGGGCAAAGAAAGAGAACCATTTTTAACATAACCATGCTAAAAAAAAATATGGGCCCTTGTTAATTTCCAAGTATTGCAGTTTCATTTAATTTCAGAACTCACATGTTTCATTGCCAAAAATAGCTTTTCATTAGTTTCATTGATATTTACATTTTGTTTATTTGTTGTACTTGCAGTTGTACGATACATGGCTGTGCTATGCATTTATTGTAAAACCCAGTCATGCAAGTTTCATGTGCAGAATCATTGATATTTTATATTCAAATTATTAAAAATTGTTAATTCTTTTTAGACTTATTTCATCCTGTAGACAAATTTTAGATAGATTTTGCTCATTAGTTCTTTATACTGTAGACAAACTCATTTATTTTCACGATTTTCTTACTTGGTTGGCGTATTCATACAAGAGGAGTTTTACATATTTGTGACAATTTATATTCTCATTATATTTCTACATGCAAAAGTCATGACGATAAATCACTCACAAAGAATTAGTTGGTTTACAGTATTCCAAAGAAAACAGCAAAACTGACTGGTTGATAACAATGTTTTAATAACAAATGAAATCTAGTCTTATCCTGAAATGCTTAAAGTTGGCATTGTCATCAAAAGAAAGGATATGGTGTAACAAATCATGACACAAAATCACAATATGCATATGAAAAAAACAAAAGTAAAGGAGCAGCCCTTTTATTGCTGTTCTTCATCTCAAAGTTACAGTTAGGCCTTCATCATAGAGCAAAATCAATTACCTCAATGCAAGTATAAGACAGCCCCTAGCACTGATTTGAGTAGATTTCTTTGCTAGATGTCAATCTACTACATCTGTGCATCAAATAACACATTTTAATTTTTCAGATGTGTTTGTTGCTTTTTATTGTAGTTTTTGTTTGTTTTCAATATAGGTGTTGTGTTCATCTTTGTTGGTGTCTAGATAATAGGTCCATAACTTGCGTATAGGAAACTTTCAGGGGCTCCTTTTATGGATGTTCATTTGATGACTTTTGTTCCTCAATGCTCTTCAAATTTGTACTTGTTTGGCTTTCAAACTTTTTTTATCTGAGTGTCACTGATGAGTCTTATGTAGACGAAATGCGCGTCTGGCTTATAAAGTTATAAGCCTGGTACCTTTGATAACTATTTACACCACTGGGTCGATGCCACTGCTGGTGGACGTTTCGTCCCCCAGGGTATCACCAGCCCAGTAGTCAGCGTTTCAGTGTTGACATGAATATCAATTAATTATAAAATTACTGTTTGCAAAAGTATGAATTATTCGAAATACTAAGGATTTTCTTATCTCAGACATAGATTACCTTAGCCGTATTTGGCACAACTTTTTGGAATTTTTGGTCCTCAATGCTCTTCAAATTTGTACTTTTTTGGCTTTCAAACTTTTTTGATCTGAGTGTCACTGATGAGTCTTATGTAGACGAAATGTGCGTCTGGCATATAAAATTATAAGCCTGGTACCTTTGATAACTATTTACAGCTGAAATCAGTTTAACTCTTTTCAAGTTTTGAAATTAACAAATTGGTTGATGGAATCCATGTTATGCATTGAGTCAGTATGGTTTGTCACAAATAGTGTTACATTATCTGATTATACTGTGGATTCAGTATTATTCGTGGGATACTGATTATCATGGATTTCTTTGGTACAGTTGAACCATAATTTAAATGTTCAAGTAATTACATATTTCCTTTAGGCTTATATGCAGATTTTGGAGAAACCACTTAAATCAAATATCCACAAAATGTAAGTTTTTCTCAATCCATGAAAATAAACTAATCCACAGTAGTTTATTATGCTAGTCTTTATCTCAGGCGGTAAGAAATTCAGCAACATTTTAAATTGAGAAATCCAATATAATTACGTCTGAACTTTAATTTGACCTATAAAGCTATTACTTTTATTTGACATACATGATAAAAAGCTTCAGCTAGTGGCAATTTGGAGTTAAATAAAAATAAACATTGAATGTGTGAGTTTAAAAGAAAGCACATTTAGAATAACTTCATTTTCCATACAGACAATTTCAATGATATGTTTTATGTTCATATTTTTGTCTCGCCTTGACGGGAGTAAAAAAGCGAGACATAGGTATGCTGTTACCAGCTGCAGCGGCGGCCTCAACAATGTATTAGTTTGTGATTAAATCTAGTTTATGGTGAACCACTAGTGATAGGTCAATGATATTTGGTATGCAGTTGTATTAGCATTGGCACATCTCATTTACATGGATATTATTTGGCCCTTCCCCCTCAGTCATGGTCCATTGACTTTGAAACTTTTGCTTAGTTTACATGTATTAGTTTGTGATTAGGTCAGTTTATGGGGAACCACTTGTGGTAGGTCAATGATATTTGGTATGCAATTATATAAGCATTTGCATATCTCATTTCCATGGAGATCATTTGGCTCTGCCCCCTCAGTCATGGTCCATTGACCTCGAAACTTTTGCTTTAATAGTTTACATGTATTAGTATGTGATTAGGTCAGTTCAAGGGGAACCATTAGTGGTAGGCCAATGTTAATTGGTATGCAGTTGTATTAGCATTAGCATATCTGGCCCCGGCCCTCAGTCATGGTCTATTGATTTTGAAACTTTTGCTTAGTTTACATGTATTAGTTTGTGATTAGATCAGTTTAAGATTAACCGCCAATTTTAAGTCAATGATATTTGGTATGCAAATTTATTGGCATTTGCATATCTCCTTTCCATGGAGATTATATAGCCCCACCCCCTCATCATGGTTCATTGACTTTAAAACTTTTACATAGTTTACAAGTTAATGTTTGTGTTTAGTTTTGTTTAAAGGGAATGACTTATGATAAGTCAATGGTACTTGGTATACAGTTGTATTAGCATTGGCACATCTCATTTCCATGGAGATTGGTACTTGGTATACAGTTGTATTAGCATTGGCACATCTCATTTCCATGGAGATTGTTTAGCCATGTTACCTTCAGTCATGGTTCATTGACTTGGAATATTTGCACAACTTACATGTTAAAGTGTTGCTATTTTAATTTCAACATTTGCATTATCAAAATTACAAAAAGGGGAGACATATCTCTGTGTTAACAGTTTATTAGTATTACAACTGTAAATTTATTTATTTTCATGGGCATCAAATATTGCATATTCACTAGTGAAGGTTTACGATCCAGTCTCCTCTTCTTCATCCTTGGCAAATCAAGTCAGAATTTCAGATCCATGAAGTAATGATTTCCATTGGTCACAGTTGTAACTGGCTACATCCAATCAAGTACCTTTAAGATTACATGGAATGTATAAAATGTAATACAATTTCCTCGTACAGATAGAGCCAGCGTCTTTACTTCCAAACATAGGACAATATAAAGTGGCACTATTTAAAGTTATTAATTAACTAATTGAAGTTCTTGGGTATGTTCCTCATGCAAATTTTGGAATGACAACAAATATATGCAGTTTCTGCTTCACGAAATTTGTTTACACTGGACACAGCCATTTTGACACCTAAATTAAAATGCTGTCAGTGGTCACGAATGATGTAGTTGGAAAGGGTGTGGCTTCTATCTGTTGCAAGATGGCACTAGGCTGTATTCACAAATTCAGTTTTGATCTGCCAAGAGTGAAGAGGAGGGGGCCGAATAGTAACCCTTGGCTATCGAAGATACAAATATTGTGGATTGAGGACAAAATTTTTTATTTCATGGTTTTGTCAAATTCTGGAAGGAAATTTGTAGTTTGTTGAATACTTTATTTTGTGATTTACTTATACCAAAGAAATTTACAAAAATTAGTAACCCACAGAAAAAAAATGTAACCAGTGTAGAAGTAGAAGAATGAGTATTTTTGACTATGACCTTTGACCTATAATTACTTTTACAAATTGTGACTTGGATGGAGAGTTGTCTCATTGGCACTCATACCACATCTTCTTATATCTATTGTCCATATGTATGTATCTGCAGTTGTAAAATCATCAAAATGCAATCCAGCGTTGTCAACTGACATTACCAGACTTGCTAGAGAGACTTATACTGAAGACCAATAATTCACTGGTTGTCAGGAAAAAACAGAATATTTATTATTGTGATTTTTGAAGCATGGCCAAATTTTGAGATTATTTATTGCAATTTCAGGAAAATTTGCATACATATATAAGTATGGAATAAAGAATGCGAATTGTTATCTTTGCGACATTCACACAGTCACATTATTCGCAATAATAAAATATTAAAAGCCTCACAATAATTTGATTACGTTCAATATCAACTCTCAAGTCTTTGATCTCATTGACATATCATTGTGTTGCATGTAAAAGCATTCATCTTGGGAAGTTTTTCAGTTTCTGACTATAAGTTGGTCACCATATAAACAAAAATGGAAAATGTAACAGTTTTTAATCAACAATCAAGCATTAACTACAACAACAAATAAAACTACATTGTAATTCATAAAACAGTTATATGAGGACCAGCCTCTAGCCAGTCATGTCACAATAATAGTAATCGCTGTGCTTATTCAAGAGGCTTTACCCTTTAATAATTAAAATGGGCCAGCCCAAGGGACTTTTTAAATTGAGGTTATTGTCACTTCTTCAAACTGGTAAGATGACGAAAAATTGTAAGGTTGCTGTTAGTATAAAGCAGGCAAAGTTTATTTTTCCATCTATCGCTAATTTCAATAACTGACTTTCTTGTTACATTATTAGTTAGGAAAATCCAACACCTAGTTACCAGTTATACATGAGTAAAAAAGTTAAACTTTGATATTAAAACTTTAATCATAACGACATTTATTAATTAATTTACTCAACACATTGTTTCAATGGTTTTTTAACTACTTGTTTGTGTTTTGAAAAGAAATCTGAAGATGTATGTTGCAGGAGAGGAAATTCTGTGAAAAATGTTGAGCCATGATTAGGAGGGGAGATAAACTTGGTCAAGCTTTACATCACCATTAGATATCATTGTTTTGCTGTAACATTATCTCCCTTCCACATGATGGTTGTTATTTGCTCAATGTCCAGTGGGAAATATATAATGCATGTTTAGGACAAACTTGAAATTTACTGTTTCACAAAATCACAAAATGTCATTATTTCAGAAGTTTTCATATTGAAGTCAATTTTTTTTTCAAAACTTTTAATGAAACAGAAATTAAATAGTAAGATTTTTTTCATTGCACCTCATCTCCTTTATATTAACAACTTTTCTCTAACAATGAGCCGTAACTTTTCCACAATTGAAAAATTGTTTGATATCATGAAAGGGCAATAACTCTTGCATAAGTACAGTAACGATACAATTACTATTTAATATGCTACCTATAAGCATCGCATAGCTTTAAGTTTCAGAACTCTGAAACATAAATGCAATACATGTAGTATGTAAAAAAAATTGAAATTGAAATTACATGTAGTATAAATATTACATAGTCTTTATGAAATTAAATAAATCCACTGAAAACATTCTATTGGAACTTTTGAAACCTCAGATAGTTATATTCAAAAGAGGAGACCAGTCAAACATTTGAAAGAATACAAGAAAAAATATAATTTAAGATGAGTTCAGATGATAAAAAAATTCTTTTTAACAAAATTTCAAACTTTTGTAAGTTTGTTTAATATGTTTATTTTCCAGTCTTGTTGAGCACTACATAACTCCTAAAAAATATTCCTCCATATCTAGCACCAAGCCGTCCTGCAGCTCTACTAGGATACATCTAATGTAAAACAACTGAATTCATCCAGGTTTGAAGCAGTAAAAAAGAAACATAGGTGATCCCTGAAATAAAGAAATATATATAAATATACTGATAAGAGAACTTAACAATCAAATAATTAGAGACAATCAAGAGAAATTGTTCAGTACATTTAATGAAAATTTACTGATTAAACTGCACAGTTTAGTAAAAATTGAAATATATTTGACAAAAAGAAAAGAAATATTCAAAAATTAAACCGGTGATTATTAATATGTTCAACATAGGAATACCATAATTTCTGACAAGAAAAAAGATATTGCTACAGAAAGAATCACTGATGACATATTTTTAAATTGTAAGCTAAATTGCCTAAAATTGTATTTACTCTATTATAACAAAGAATCCCTATCTCTCTTACGCTGGTATAAGAGAAGTAACTCTATAATTAAAATAACAATGAATACCTTTGGGCTCCAGTACATTAGATATACTTGTTTAAGGGACCATTCTTTTGTCAGTTCATGTCCATGGCATATTAGTGTTAACTGAAAATGATAAAATACATCAAATTACCATTACTGATGGCATGTTCTTACGGATGTCATCTTATCCAATTACACAAAAACAAAGATCTTGTAATGCAATGAGCAAAATTATACATAATGTTTTTTTTCTTTCAAAATGACTTTTTAAACAGATAACCAATTTCAGGGGACAGATAATAATTATCTGATTTAATATTCCACCTTTAAGTTGACAGTTAGGTCTCTATAGTAAATATGTATTGTCTAAACCATCCTGTACAGAAGGAGGTATATTTCGTGACCAAATCAGTCATTCAATTTTCCCTAACAGTACTATTCATTGAAACACAAATAATAGACACTTGACCAAGATGCATCCCTTTGATATTTAAATTACATCGTATAAAAATGCGTTAAGAAAATTTGATCACACCACCTAACCAGTTTCTGTTCATTGTCAATTCCTTCACTCCATTACCTGCACTTTCTTCATAAATAAATTTTCACTGTAAGACTTTAATTTTGAAATCTTTTGAAATTTTGAAATTTTTGGAGAAGATTGTAAAACTTGTGTCTGATCCATTTGTCATTTTGAACAATAAAATATGTTTAAACTTAAAGCCAAATACATCAACCAGAGGAAAATATATCATGTATATGTGGCCCAAAAAAACGCTTGGTCCTGAGTCATAAAAAAGCAAAGCATCAATGTAAAAATTATATCAGGAAATACATAAAATAATACCTCTACTTCTGATGGTATATCTAATCTTTTCATCAGTAGTTTAATAACATCATCAACTTGTAGTCTGTTTGAACACCTAATGAATTTTTCCTGCAGAGATGGTACCTTGCTGTGACTTCCTCTTACTGGCATTGAATGGACGCTGGAAAATAATAATTACCTTTTGTACCAATTTTATAATTATTAATGTACCTTAAAAATCAGACAATAATATTTACTGCTGGTACCAAATACACTTCTGACTAACCCTTCCTAATTTTTATATCTCAAAATTAATGTTTCATGAACTATCATATGCATTTATCATTCAAATACACATTTTGTCAAGTGAGTGCAGTAAACTAGTTCGAAAGGCTTCATACTGTATAGAGCAGTGGATATTGTATAATATTATTAATTCGTATATTTTAACAAATTTGATTCGTTTAGGGATAGTCACATGTTAAACTATATTTTCGAAGGTAGAGAGAAAACGGCGGATAGCAAAAAGCATATTGCACAGCAAAAAGCATATTGCACGGTTATTTTTAGAATATCTAAAACCGATATACTTTGTGACGTCATGTAATGAATTTCAAGATATAGTTCAACGTTTTGAAACAAATGACATCTGTGATCGATTATTTGACAATTTTTTTTTCAAATACATAAGATGTCAAACAAACAAAAAAAAGTAAATGAAATAACAACTAATATGTTGTTATTGTCAAGGAGACAATATAATATCTAAAAAATTCCAACAAAATCAAATGACGATTTTGATACAAATATGGTCGAAAATTAATAATATAACAAATATAGCCTTTGTATGAGGTCAATACAGGATATATCGACCCAAAGAAGTATATCGACCTCGGACTTCGTCCTCAGTCAATATACTTCTTTCAGGTCAATATATCCTTGTATCGACCTCATACAAAGGCTATATTTGTATAATATCATGTCTGATATTTGATTTATCAGATTGTATTTGTGTGTTTTTCATGATAGAAACAATTTTTTCCCCTTGTTTTACCAGCAAAACTAACCATGACTTGATCAGTGTGTGTCAAACTTTTCAACATCTGTGATAAGTCCGGTTAAATTAATTTTTTTCTTCAAAATGAGTCTTAAAGTGAAGTTTTAATGTTGTGTGGTGTAATTTTGCATACATCATGTGTATAATATGTTGGAGTATATATTTCCAAATTGATACAGTATTCTAGGGATGAAACATTTGCATATCCTGCTCCAGATCATTGCCTTAATCTGCTGTCAGAAAAAACTAACATTCAACTGATTTAAACAGTGATTTACTGTAAATTCAGAAATTATTGCATGCATTTATTACTACAATTTTCAAAGAATGGAAATAAATGCGATATTAATTATTGCGATTTCAGGAAAAGTTGCATACAGATATCAGAATGCGAGTTCATATTATTGCGATACTCACCCAGTTGCATTATTCGCAACAATAAAAACCTCGGAATAATTTTTGAATTTACAGAATTGGAAAATTTGATCAATCTATATCATTTTATTCTATCTTACTGATATCTTTCTAAACAAATGCTGATCTTTTCATCATACTTGTACATATGTCTATCATCACTGGCTTGTATACATGTTAGTTTTGGCTCAGGTATTTTCTCCACCACACCTTTACATTAAAACAAATACTTTTTATTATTCTCATTTCATGTTGACGACAGTCTGATTCACATACATAAAGGACTATAAAGTCTACATATAAATGGATGATATAATAATTTTACTTTTGACTCTCATAGATTGAGGTCAGAATTATTTTAGTTTTTCATGTAGAAAGTATGTTCAATATTTAGAGAACAGAAATATACTACTGAGAATTAAATTTGTAATTGAAATACATGTATTAAACATTGTTAAAAAAATTGCTTTTGGGCAACCAACAGCAGACACCCCTAAGTCATCCAAAGCTCATTATATAAAGGAACCAATCAAATATCCTGTTTGAATTAATAAGTGTTATAACATGTGTACCATCAGATAAATATAGATTCTACCACTGCATCGAGTGTGATATGATATTTATCCACTCGAGACAGTTAAATTTTCAAATTTAAAATTTAACTGTCGAGAGTGGATAAATATCGTATTACACGAGATTTGGTGGTGGAATCTGTTTCTCTAATGATTTTCAAACAAAACGCAGGCAAATTTATTCCTTCTTTTCGAATGATCTGCAAAAAGATGTGTTCTTTCTATGTGACGTCATCAGGCATGGTCGACTTTTTTCATGCCGTCACAATAGGAAATTCAGAGGAAAGCAAGAAAATTCGACTTCATAATCGGATTTTAACCAATGAAGAACTGAGATCAAACGAACCACATGTTGATTAAATTTTTTTTATACAATGGGTGCAGAAAGGGATAAATTGACGAAGAATTAGAGAAATGAAGTTAACCAATTTACAGTATAAAATTATTTCATAAGTCTCTAGCCCCAGATTATTCTTTTTATGTAAAAAAAAATCCACAATTTTATTTTCAGACTGATAATTTTGATTTTGACAAAATACTATAATCTCAGGATATTTTGACAGAATTTCTTTTCAAATATTTTTTTTCAAATTTTAGGTCAAAATTATCTGTTGAGTAGATAGTATATATGAGCTGTAAGTGATTGTTTATCAATATCTAAAACATTTACCCTGTATCATTTGATTTTCTCAATAATTTCAATCACTGATCCATTTGATTGGAAAACTTGAGTTACTTCATAATAATAATGAGTGAAAGTAATACAATTTATTTGAAAAATTCAGTTTACACTATAAAAAGAAAAATCATGTTTATGTATATACCTAATTTGCATCACAAGAACTTTCAGAATAGGACTTTAATTGGTAAAAATATCATTTCGGTAAGTATATTACAAAATGTTTTAACAGGCTGTTATATGCTTAATCCACACAAAAAAAAAATTACCATTTAGGCATAAGAAATGAGGCAGATGATTACCTCCCCTTTTAATAAGGCAAGAAAAATACTGCACAGGACTACAAGGTATAAATCAATGTAATGTGTATTGTAATAAAAAAAACTGATTTAACCCTGAGTAAAACAGGTTTATCCCTGAGTAAAACTGGTATAACCCTGAATAAAACTGATTTCCCCTGAGTAAAACTGGTACATATATAACCCTGAATAAAACTGGTTTACCCCTGAGTAAAACTGGTTTATCCCTGAGTAAAACTGGTTTAACCCTGAGTAGAAAAGGTTTATCCCTGAGTAACTGGTATAACCCTGAATAAAACAGGTTTTACCCTGGGTAAACTGGTTTATCCCTGAATAAAATTGGTTTAACACTGAGTAAAGCTGGTTTAACCCTGAGTAACTGGTATAACCCTGAATAAAACTGGTTTAACCCTGAGTAAAACTGGATAATCCCTAAGTAAAACGGGTTTAACACTGAGTAAAGCTTATTTAATCATGAGTAAAACTGGCTTATCCCCGCTACATTTGTGCCTGTACAAAGTCAGGCTATCTGAACCATGTGTTGTTCCTTGTTGTTTATTTTTCTGAGGAGTATAGTGTTGGTTGTTAATGTGTTCTGTTATACTGTGGTGTATTTTTTATGAAACTTGTTATCCATTTTATGTATTATATAAATTAACACACTTTTTATAAGAATTGTTAATTACCTTTCTTTAATTTAGAAAATCCTCTAGAATTGTAAAACTCTTCTCTCCTTTTTTCCTCATCTACAAATAAATGACATTTTTTTAATAAAATTTCTTAACAGTCATCAATGATATCAGTTTCTTGCTATTTATAAATACATATACATAAACATGTATTCTTAGCTGTGGTCATTAAAAGGATGAAATAACCCTTAAACAAGTGAGAAAAATATGACAGAACAGTCTGCAATGAAAACCAATGTTAAGTGTGAATAAAAAGAAATGTGGGCTTAATGCAAATGAGACATTAATAACAGAAGTTCACCAAAAAATATAACACCTTGAACTAGCCTGAAGTCAACAAACAATCTTCAACAATAGATAAGCACCATTGTGTGAACGTCCAATGGAAAGCTATTCTCTTTCCAAACTATACAATACACATGTAAATTATCATATTAAGACATGTCTTTACAAATGATTTATTTAAAGCAGTTGTTGGAAGAGCTCCCTTTTCATGTATTAAACGGGATATACATGCAACTTTGCTTAAATGCTCTCACTTACTCTTGACTAAATGAAGCATAATCAACAGTTATGGAAACTTTTGTGGATTTTTGTCTCATTGGCAATCACACCATATCTCCTTATTTTTAAATTGTAAATGTAAAATGTTCTTTTTTTTATAACTGAGATTGAAGTTGTCCCTTAAAATGGTCCCCAAATTCATTTTAGCCAGTAGGCCATTTTGATCTGATCCTTTCTTGACTGTAAAAACTGCTGTAAGGCAATCAAAACAGCCAGCCATTGAGACTCATACCAAGTGATTTTGTTCCAAAATATATAAATTAAGTGTGAATTGGACAGGGTTTCTATTAACTGACAACCCATTGATAGAAATGTAGAGCATCAATTGTATGAAATTGAAGTCATTTTCATCATTTTTCATCTAAAAAATTAGCAGAGATTACTTTCATTTTTAAAAAGCACCTTTTTCAGCTTTCAAACTTCTGTGAAATATAGTGCAAGATCCTACACCATGGCTAAAACAAAAATGATAAAAAGATAGTTGACAGTCCGCAAAACACTCTACACGGAAACAAAAGATTGAGCCACATAAACTCCACCAAGAAATGGGGATGAACTCATGTGTGCTCTGGAAGTAATCTGTGTTTAAATTAGATTTGAAAGATAATTGCTTACTCTCAAACAATGCTGGTACAATTTTATAGACAATATCTTGCATGGTACGATCGGCTCTCAGATGAAGTTGTGGCTGAGTTTCGTGTATTTTCACACCACACTGAGGACATGACTTGCTGGTTTGTAAGTATTTCACTATACAACTTTTGCAAACTGCAAACAAAAATCATTCAATGAAAAATTGAAAAAATTATAACATGTATAAGTTGTTTTCAAGCAGTATTTAATATACTAGAAAGTCAAGAGATTGAATAAAATTGTAATATAAAAACAGACAAATTAATGATTCTGAAACCTTTGTTTGAATATTCAATTAACATGAATATAAGGAAAACTTGCCAAAAAGGCATATGGCAAAAAGCTGTTTTTTTATTTTACTTAAAATCTTACATAAAATCATTTAAACGGTTCCAAAAGAATACCCTTCATAAATTTAGCTTTGAAATTGTCTTACATTTCATATTGCACTTATTATTGTTTGCCAACTCATACATATAAAAATAAGAAGATGTGGTATGATTGCCAATGAGACAACTCTCCACCATAGACCAAATGATATAGAAGTTAACAAACTTAAGGTCAATGTATGGCCTTCAACAAAGAGTAAAACCCAAACCACTAACTTATTTATCAGCTGATCTCAAGCTTGCTTTCAGAAATTTTGAGTACTCTTAGTTGCAGTCTATTTCTTGTGATTTGTTGTGTCCTATGAACTGACCTTTTAAGTTAATTTCAATTCATTTGATAAGGCTAGGAGAGTTGAACACTCAAAAACCTGTTAAATCTTGGCACATTCCTAACCTGTCTGTCACATGTCATAATGTTGACATATGGTGTGGGTTTTGCTAAAAAAAATTAAGGCTGTGCAGTGCCCTAAAGTTGTTAACATTCTGCAATCTCTAGCGGACAGTTGTCTCACTGGCAATCAAACCACATCTCCTTATTTTTATTATATAAGGATGCTGGTTGTTTATTTTTGATTATCAAACTTGGTTAATCAAGAACCTGCCATATGATAAGAGTATATTTTTTTTTCATTGTTGAAATTTATAAGATAGCATCTTACATGTATGGAGACATTCTGTTGTGGTTGTAGCATCAATGAAATAACCATAACACAATGAACAGGTGATATGTGAATTCAATTGTGAAATCCTGATATTGAGCAGCTGAAAAATATAAGACAATATAATAAATGTATTATCACAAAGGATTAAATCATATATGAAATTGTCATTTTTTAACAACAAATAAAAGGTAAATAAAAAGTTTAAAGATAAAGAAACTAAAGGCTCAAATGATTATCTGTAAAATTTTGTGGAAAATTAAACATGGGCTTGAAGATTTTATGCATTTATAACCATATATGTTAGTCTACTAAATGCAATAATGCCTAATGGAACCTTAACCATAAAATAATTTAGAATTTTGGGGGCATTCTTTTAATACTGCTGAAAAATATATAAGCTAACATTTGTGGGACAAAAACACAGAACAAAAATTTGGAAAGCATTTAGAAAAAAAATTAGGTAAGGTTCCCATCGCTATTCTCACATGGTTGCTCTATGAATAATTGTGTAAAATTATATCAATCAATAATTGAGAACTGGCTGTAAAATTGGATACTGAAGGTACTCCATTAGTCTCCTTCAACTTCACCACATGTGGCAAACTTTAAATTGGATATTTAAAAGGTTCCTGTAACCCAATCTTCCCTGTAATTAGGTTAAAGTTTATACTAGATCTATAAATACTTGATATACAATTACATGCAAAAAATCATCTCAATATCTATCACAAATGCTAGAAACAAAACCGAAATTTTCTTATTCCAATGTTTTTTCCAATGTTTTGTCGATACTGGGTCATCTGGAACAAAATACACCTTTTTGTTTAATTTTAGTACCTGAAATAAGTCATCAGACCAAACCAAAAAAATAGATTTGTTTAGGGTTTCCTCTTTTAGAAAAAAAGGGTAGGAAGGTCATGTACGCATAGTTAGGAAGTTTTAATATTTTTTTTGCTTTTTTTTGAGTTGAGTAAATGGGAACTGCTTGAAACTTTGAAACAATTCATTATCAAAATTGTCAATAAAACCTAAGTGTAGGCATTTTAAGGCATAAAAAATAGGGTAGGTAGTGAAACCATAATCACATGTATATTCTATTTCACCTCACAGAAAACCCAAATGTACAAAGTGTATGCACAATACCAATGATATCCATAAGGAGTTATGGACAGCTAAAAATGAAGCAAGAAACAACATTAGATCAACATGTGGGTTAATCATTACACACTATCAGACTATAATTGACAATTATATACCAAAGCTTCATAAATCAGCTAAAATCAACTTATTCTGACTTCTAAACTTTAGAAAAAGTTATTTTCTGAACATTTGCTGAAGTCTTGCATATAAATTCATCACTACAATCTAGTAAGGATCTTATAACACTACAGACTTGCTTTTATCTCTTTTTATAAAAGTGGTCATACTGTATTAACATGACTGATGAATTGAATAAAATTGTTCATAGATCTTTTTTGCTAAAATGAGACTTAATGTTCATAACCTTCATTGACTTTGAAAATATGAAAAGGAGAAACAGAAAACTTCCAAGAAATGTAAATTTTGTAATAATAATATTAATAAAAATGAATACCATGTTTTAAGGCATTTTGAAGTAATGGAATACAAAAAGTACAAAACAAAGTACATTTTTAAAAGTAATTAAAAAAGATTTGGTTTGCTAGGCCTGGAAGTTTTTTTGCCTTTTTTTTTTTCTTTGGTGTACAAAATTTCATGTACATTTGTAGTTATATATTTAGGCTATAAATCAAATGACAGGTTTCTTTATGTTGTAAATTCTGGTATGAATTTAACAGTATAAAAAAAATGACATTGACTATCAATGCAAGTCCTCAAAAAGTTATAAGTCATCTGAAAACAATTTCTTGACATAGTTTATATTTTTTTTTATTATATTATGTACTTGCATATTTCACTTTAGTCATTGTATGCTATAGTCCAAAAAATTATGAGGTCTTGAAAGGCTTTTTTAGTGACGCCTTCAGACTACATACATGACATAGGAAGGCATCACAACAAAAATTAAAATAGCCTTCTAAGACGTCATAATTATTTGTACTATGTGTGATATTACTTTTATTATGTTTATATTTGATACCATATGTATATATCATGACACAATTATACAACACAATAAATGAAACAAAATATTAATATCGGTGAACAGGTAAGCGAAGAGACCCCGTATTCCTCTAGGTTCAACCCTAAATAAGGCCTAAACTGTACTGTAAATGAGGGTCATAGAAACACCTGTTCTTTTATAACAATAGATGAATAACATGAATTTCCAAATATATTGGACAGAATAACATAATATTACAGAAAGAAAATCAATAAAATGAAAAAAACAAAACAGAATTTAATATATACTAATGAACTCAAAATTGTTAACTTTTTTTTTCTAAATTTTTCAGTTTCCCACATTTGCACAGAAATCTCTTTCTTTCTTCCAGTCTCATTTGTCACAAGACTATGAGTAAAATATAGTAAGAAGCATCAAATTGTTTCTCGCAAATTTGTTGTTTTTGATTACTGAAAGAATTAAACTTCCAGTTAAACAATTAAAATAAACTCCTTACATTTTAAAATTAGTCGGGAGCTTATTCAACATAAAATTTTATAGCAACAAAATGTGTTCTTTTGGCGAATTCATCTGATCAATAAGACAGATTTTAGTATCTGATAAGAATAACCAGCCGACTTAATTGGTATCCTTCTTCGTCGTTTTAAAGATATAAATTATAACAATTTTATTTTAAAAATTCTTTGATATAAGAAAAAACGTTATCTTTTCTTTGTTTATAATGAAAATGACGTCACAACTAAAATCCCTAAGAACAGGACCAACATCGGATTTCTGTTTCTTTTTCAACAGATTCTGAAGTTAAAGTATGCTCGAGTTAATGAAATAATTTATGCAGAATTCGTCCCCTTTCACAGGTAACACCACAAATGCCAACATCCAACTCCTTAGAAAAAATTTGTTAGTAAATAAAATATCTGATCTATCAGTATCTGTGTACATCAAAATGTTGACATTAAAAATTCTTTATCTGTGAACATGGAGTATCTTTGAAATACTGAATGATATTTCATTGTGTATATTTGCTAATTGCACATGGTGGCATACAGTATCTACTTTTATGGTGTTGTATTAATGTTATGACCTAGAAAATTTAAGTAAAATGAAAGTGAAACTGAACCTCTTCTTCCAAATCCATTTCTGGTAATTCCCTTTATACGCAGTTTCGCATAAGTTTTGAAAAGCGTGTTTTGAGTATTTATCATTATTTATTCAAATATTTTCTACAATTTTATCTTTAAATAGAAAGAAAAACTAATAATGAAGAACACTCATAAACGGGTTATGTAAATTTTAAGCAAATATACGAAAATAAAGATGCTGACTACTTATTGTCTAGATCAGCTGATTGTTTACAAAAATGAAACATAGTTGACATTAAAGTTGCTGCTTAAGTACATCGAAGAAGAGTAAACACCCTGAAACGAATGATAAAATGAAAGGGTTTATTGTTGCAAATAGAATAAATGATATTTATTTTATGGATGTTGATGACGAATTTGCGATACATGTCAATAAACAAGCAAAAGAACAAGGACTGATCAATGAGGTAAAATGACATGTTCAAATAATGTGAGATTATTGTATAGCGTCAGGACCGGATAATTTTTTTTCCACCAATCCTCAATCTTAATGCCTGTTGTCACATCTTTTTCAAAGACTGTATAAAATTTTATTCATTTTCAGTACGAAATTGCTTAAATAGGTATCCACTTACGAGGGTAGGAATGCCCTTTACCGTCCAGCGTCACATGGAAACGGTCAATTTCGCCTACCGTTAGCGTCAAATTGGTTAAAATTTTATCGTGATTCGTCGTAGGTCTCAAATAATAATCCGTTACCATTATTTTTGGAAAGAATTTAACGTGATTCGTAAAAATCAGTTGATTTTTTTATCGTCATAAAAAAATGCACATTTTATCGTCATGCACCAAATATTACCGTTAACATCATTTGGCAAGATTTTTTATCATTATTCTTTATGAAGGTATCCCCATTACGACCCTCACTTAAGGGAACAGTCGAAATTTTGAAGGTGTTCTTTATTTATTTGTTAACTAAAAATTAAAATGTATTAAATTTGGAACATTTACATGTTATGCATTAAGTATGCCAGGGCTTGCGGTCATAAAACTTTCCAGTATGATTATTGTACTCAGACTCAAGTATTAACCAATCAAAATACTGGATTTGGTGTTTCGAGCACAATTCCTACACCAAGTACTGAATAAAGTTTTATGACCGCAAGACCAGGAGTGAATTTCTTCTGTGCTTCTACATTGTGAATTAGCAAACCTGTTAACTCCATTATTAAACAGCAGATTTATATATATAAACTGTAAAAATTCCCAGCATAATTTCTGGTAAAAAAGTAACTGAATTACGGAAAGGTATCTGAATTTGATTCTATTTTTATGAATTTTATATATGACATCATTTTCAATGTAAGCAAAAAAACGCTATCTTCAGGTAGCGTTATATATTTCTCATTTTCAAGTATAGTTTAGTTAAAAACATAATAATTAATACCAAAAAACAACAGATATAACAATTTGGCTTATAACTGTTCTTTGTACAGATACAAATATCTGCCTGATTGATCTGAGGTGAGTTTCCCCATAGAACTCATTTTGTTTGCTATAAAATCATATGTTGAATAAGCTTTAGACTCATTTTATTACGTACTCAAAGAGAATAAATTCAAAATGTTATCCTCATTATTCTTTTTGGTAATCAATTATATAAATTTGCAGGAAATCGTATGACTTTCAAAATCAAATGGCAGCGTCCATCAACAGAAGAGGAACAGGTTAATACGCAAGCTCAAGTGTTAAAAACAGCTAGGAAAAAAAATTAACTATTTTGAGTTCATTAGTATATTGATTTTTCATTTTATTGTCGAGCCTGCCACTTTTAGCAGAAAGCTCGACATAGGGATAGTGATCCGGCGGCAGCAGCTGCGACATTAACTAACTTCTTAAAAGCTTAATATTTTAGAAGGTAGAAGACCTGGATGCTTCATACTTTGTATATAGATGCCTTATGCTATTAAGTTTCTGTCTGTCATATGTCCATTGTCCTTGACCTCATTTTCATGGTTCAGTGACTACTTGAAAAGAAAGTTAAGATTTTTTGTTATGTTAATTTCTCTCTTATTATGAGTAATAGGATAACTATATTTGGTATGTGCGTACCTTGCAAGGTCCTCATGCCTGTCAGACAGTTTTCACTTGACCTCGACCTCATTTCATGGATCAGTGAACAAGGTTAAGTTTTCGTGGTCAAGTCCATATCTCAGATACTATAAGCAATAGATCTACTATGTTTGGTGTATGTAATGATTGTAAGGTGTACATGTCCAACTGGCAGGTGTCATCTGACCTTGACCTCATTTTCATGGTTTATTGCTCAATGTTAAAGTTTTTGTGTTTTGGTCTGTTTTTCTAATACTGTATGCAATAGGTCAACTATATTTGGTGTATGGAAATATTTATGATGTACATGTCAGTCTGGCAGGTTTTATTTGACCTTGACCTCATTTTCACAGTTCATTGCTCAATGTTAAGTTTTTTGGTTTTGGTCTGTTTTTCTAATACTGTATGCAATAGGTCAACTATATTTGGTGTATGGAAATATTTATGATGTACATGTCAGTCTGGCAGGTTTTATTTGACCTTAGCCTCATTTTCACAGTTCATTGCTCAATGTTAAGTTTTTGTGTTTTGGTCTGTTTTTCTTAAATTTTAAGCAATAAGTCAACTATATGGAATGATTGTAAGGTGTATATGTCTGTCTGGCAGGTATCATCTGACCTTCACCTCATTTTCATGGTTCATTGGTCAATGTTCAGTTTTCCTGGTTAACTTTGTTTCTGAGATACTATAAGCAATATGTCAACTATATTTGATGCATGGAATGATTTTAAGGTGTACATGTCTGTCTGGCACGGTTCATCTGACCTTGACTTCATTTTCATGGTTCATTGGTCAATAGAGAATTTCCATGGTGTTGTCTGTTTCTTAGGTCATCTATATTCTGTGTATGGAATGATTGTATTAAAGGTGTACATGTATTTCCCCCTTGGTTTAACTGACCTTGACCTCATTTTTCTTGGATCATAAATGTTAAAGTGATACTTGTAGTAAAACTTTATATGTAGGACTATCAACATAAAATCAATGGTCAGTATAGTAGTGCACTCTTGTTGATTTTCTGACTGTTATTGGGGGCTTTGTCCCCATACTAGGGTTTGAATTTTAAGCCGATGCCAGGGAGATGGGAGAGTTGCAGATACAGGGTTACATTATCTTATCTAGGTTAGGAAGTTCATGAGAAAGTAAATGCATCAGGAGTTGAAATTTTTTATGTAACCCCAGTTGTTAACTTGATGTCAGGGTAAATTAGAACATCTACATCTAGAAAGTAAGAGTAAGATCACATGTCTTTGGTGCTGCTTTAACACAATGAATATATTATTCCTTCACATGTGTGAAAAAGAATAGACATTTATTTTTGAACATTCACATAGATAGTGCATTTAAGTACATGTATTACAAAGCATGCTGAACAAAGCTATTAAGTTTTAAAAAAATCTAATAATGTTTATATACAAGGTATACAGGACATTCTTTTGTTTTTATTTGTCATGACATGCAGGTCTGATTATCTGCATTGCTTACACGAAAGCCAGTCTTAAATGCAATTTAAGCGAGACTTTGGCCTCAAGGTTAAGGAATCTCAGTTTCTGATGCATCTTACATCAAAAGGATATCAGACATTGTCAGATATCATGAATAATATAGGCCAACAGAAAAACTACAACTGCTGGAAGAAACAAACCAATGAAAATAAAAGTTTTGATAGAATCATATTGAGAAAATGGCAGATTGAGATATACGTATACCAAAATTCAAATTTAAAGAATAGAATACATCTAATAAAAATTTTGATACAATACATTTGGACTTTATTCATCTTTGCTGATATAAAATCAGAAACTGAACCAGAGACCCTTATATACCATAAAACTGCATGTACAACAACACTGATCATACATGTACACATTATAATGTAAAAAAATTTGCATTACTTTTATAAAATGTTTATGGTTATGATACTATACTGAAATATATTTCTTTTATGAATGATGTTTCTTAATGGTTTATTGATAATGCACTTGATGTAAATATAGACAAAACTGTATTCAAAGGAATTTATTTACAGATAAGTGATGATGAAGCTAACATCCTTGAAGCAAATGTTGTCATGCAGTTGTTTTCACCAATTTTTATGTCACAGTGGTTTATGATAGATCAAAGGAAAAATCCATGTAAATCTATAACATGTGAAAATGGTTTTGTTTTTGTCTTCCAACATGTAAGTTTATATAAATAGTCATGATATGATTTTTTATTCAATTTCTGTTTAATGCTAGTGGAGAAGAGCTGTCACAAGGGTTACATGGTAGTGGGTTAAGGGATAGAGGCTATAATGTGCCTTGCAACAGGCCACCTATGGACCCCAAGAGAGTTATTGCAATGGTTCTTTTACTTGCAGAGAGTGTGATAATTGCTCTACATGAGGCATCCAATTTAATACTCCCATTCTGACCAGATGTAGCTGCAAATTAGTACATCCTGCACATCCAAATGTACTCCCCACTCTAGCAAGAATGGAAGATGTCCAGGGATGACCATAATTTTATACCCAAATCAACCCTTAGGGTTTGGTGGGCTTGCAGTCACAATAATTTGGCCTAGTATGATGACATGTCCTACTTAATGTAGACTGTTAGCCAAGGCATTAAAAATTTGACTCCATGTAAACAAGTGAATCTATCTGGTACAAGGTTGGGTATATTCAAATGACATCAAAATCTTATTGTCTTGCATATATGCATGTAATGTTTGTCACTTGATATTTAAATAGTGAAGAGTCATATGTTTATAGGATACATTCTGTTAATATTAATACATTGTACTACTGATTTAGAACTGATTAGTTGTTCCTTGTTGTCAATATTTTGTTTGTATGTTTAAACACCACCTTCTGTACAAGTCATTTCTTTTTTATTCATATATAAGTTTTCCAGTGATTGGGACAATCTGGTCACTCAGGCCTTTGGTGTGGTTCTCTTTGTTGTCCTCTTTTTTCAAATGATATTACATGTATGAATATGATGACAAAATATTTTATTGTCACATTTTTCTACGAAATTTAGTATATATTCTCAATGGTAATTGAAAGCAATGTAGATGGACCAACCCATTGACAAAGTCAAATGAATTTTTTTTTTCAAATTATATTTGTTTGTTTTTTCCTTATTAGTGTTTTTTTTCACTACTTATGAGTTTTGATTATAAAAAAATGTAATTTTATTTAGGTTGAAGATTTATTGATTGTTTCTATAAATGGAGACGGAAGTGAGACTGAAGAGTACCTGACTAGAAAAACAAATATGTTTGTACGCATGGTAGAATTTCTCTTTGGACCTGTTACTGATGAGTAAGTGTAAAGATAGTCATTTTCAGACTTCAATCTCTTTAACTAATGAATTTATACAAAATCATTGTCTACTTACCATAAAAATGCATAATTAAGTCAGCTGTTTCCTTTCTTTGGAAATAACTATTGAATTGACTAAAGAGAAAATTACAATGTATTTATTAATGAATTTCAGTAATTTGTTGTGTGATAAAGGCAATCACCAAGTTAATCAAAAACTGTAAATATAAAAATAAGAAGCTGTGGTATAATTGCCAATGAGACAACTCTCCACCAGAGACCAAATGACATAGACTACTTACTTATCCTCTTCATTCCCAGTGGTATATAAGGCCACAACAAAGTGACATAGAAGTTAACAACTACAGGTCACTGTACAGCCTTAAACAATGAGGAAAACCCATACTCATAAAAGGCCCCGAAATGACAATTGTAAAACTATTCAACCAAGGAAACTAACAGCCTGATTTATGTAAGAAGCAATGAACGAAATACAAATATGATATACAACAACAATTAGCAAAACCCATACTGTATTGTAAGCAATTAAAGGACCCAAAATTACGAAATGTAAAACTATTCAAATGAGATAACCTTAAATTGGGATATATAAAATTGAGAATGGAAATGGGGAATGTGTCAAAGAGACAACAACCTGACCAAAGAGCAGAAAACAGCCCAAGGCCTTTAATATAATTTACTTTCAGGTTAAATTCTATTTTATCTAATGAATTAACTAACACAATTTGTTGGATGAGGTCAGTGTCCACTAGAAATGTTTCCTGTGGAACATAAAAAAAAAGCACTTCTAAAGTTTATTATTTATGATGATCTGTTGAAATTATACGTTCATTAGTTTGACTCATTAACTTGACAAATATCCACATTTACAGGAGTTGTACAATGTATAACATCATACATTTATTTTGTGCTCCTTTATTTCAGAATAGGATACAGCAAATTTAGTAAAAAAGCAAACAGGTGGAATCTTCTGAAGGGTATTATGAAAACATGGAATCAACTTTCTTTGGAAGAACATGCTTTTCTAGTGGAGGTAGGTATGGGACAGGGAGCAAGAATTACATATTTGTTTTGTTTTTTATATAGTGATTAGTTGCTGTAAACCAACTTTTTTCACGCATACTTTATTTCACTTTATTTTCTTTCTTGCCAACTTAACAGCGATTTGTTTTTTCGCAATCGTCTCATTTTTTTGATGTATTAATATAAGGGAATATCAAAATTTTACATATTCACAAAAATTTTAATTTGCATTACTTTTCTACTCGGGAAAGTCAGGAAAATAAATACCTCCCCAAAATAAGTTGGCTTACAGTTCAAGGTTTTTATTTTTTCTAATTGTTTAATTTATTAGACCTTCCAATTTCATATATATAGATACTCCTAAATACTTCATGCATTTTCAAGTCTTTGGTTTACATGACCACTTATAATTAATGACCTCCAGCACCTGAGGAGGCCACCTGACCAAAGGTAAGTGTCAAAAGTGCAACTTAACAATTAATTAGTTTCAGCATATTTTATTGTTCAGAAACCAAACAAACGGATGAGACACAAGTTTTATAACTTAGTAATGTCTTCTCCAGAAGGATTTTCTTAACTTTCTGCCAAATATATGCATGATGGAAGGGACTGGTGTCATTCAAATAAATGCAAACATGTATATATTAATTTAAATATAAGAATGCATTATTTCAGGCAATTGAAAGAGTACATATTAATATGATAGTTAATGAAAGATGTGTGGATGTATTAGACCATGCTGTCAACAAATTACAGAATGCAGGAGAGAAGAACACATACCATGGCTTACTTTTTGTTAACAGTAAACTGCTTACTTTGTATTCTGGGTAGGATAGCAAAATAATCTGAAAAACATCAGATATGAAATGATCTGAAACAGATATGAATAAGAAAACCAACAACAATGAAACACTAGACAGATTAAACAGCTCTTAATTGTGAACAAAGTATTAATACCAAAGAAATAGAAGCAATTTTCTGAATTTAAATGATCTTTACATATTATTTTTTTTAAAGTTAATTGTCATTTTTATATAAATTGTAATTATGTTTAAAATCTATTTCTTAAATGATATTCAAAAATTAAGTAAAAAAAATAACCAATTTACAATCATTGTGTAATAAACTTTATATTCATGACAGATCTATGTAGATACATATATTTAGATATATATTCATGACAGATCTATGTAGATACATATATTTAGATATATATTCATGGCAGATCTATGTAGATACATATATTTAGATATATATTCATGGCAGATCTATGTAGATACATATATTTAGATATATATTCATGGCAGATCTATGTAGATACATATATTTAGATACATATTCATGACAGATCTATGTAGATACATATATTTAGATATATATTCAATGTTTCAGAATCTAAAGGACTATGGGTTAAATTAACTGTTAACTCCAAAATAAAAAGTAATCGGTTGAATTTCTATTGCCTATGAGGTATATAACCAATTGGTGTACCCTTTTTGTCTTGCCTGTGACGAAAGTCTCGGTATGCAAGACATAGGTATAACAATGCGGTGGCGAAGGTGTAAATTATTTGTTTATAGCTTCATATTTCAGAATATAAGAATACTTGGATGCTTCATACCTTGTGTGTGCAGATACCTTATGTTACAAAGTTTTCATGGTTCAGTGACTGCTTGAAAAAAATTTACAGTTTATTTGTCTCGCCGTTGGCGAAAGTCGCGGAAAGCGAGACATAGGGATTGCTTGTCTGGCGACGGCTGCGATGACAGCTTCAACAATTGTTAAGTTTTCTTCTTAAGTTAGTTTGATAGGAACTACTTGTGATATATCATTGATATTTTGTATGAAGTTACATTACTATCAGTACATATCAGTTTGACAACAATTTTGAGGCCCTGCTCCCTAGGCCATGGTCCAGTGTCTGAATTAATTAGCAATTTTAAATGTTAAGTTTTCTGCTTAAGTTAGATTGATAGGAACTACTTGTGATAGATCAATGATATTTTGTGTGAAGTTGCATTGCTATCAATACATATCAGTTTGATGACTATTTTGAGGCCCTGCCCCCTAGGCCATGGTTCAGTGACTTTTAATTAATTAGTAATTTTCAATGATAAGTTTTCTGCTTAAGTTAGTTTGATATGAACTACTTGCGATAAATCAATGATATTTTCTATAAAGTTGCATTACTATCAGTACATATCAGTTCTACTACTATTTCAGGGCCCTGCCCCCTAGGTCATGGTCCAGTGACTTTCAATTAATTAACAATTTTCAATGTCAAGTTTTCTGATTAAGTTAGTTTGATAGGAACTACTTAAAATAGACAATATTTTCTATATAGTTAAATTGCTGTCTGTACATCTCAGTTTGTCAACCATTTCGAGGGCCTACCCAATAGTTGGTCCAGGGACATTGAATTAATTAATAATGTTGCTGTCCATCAGATTGTCTTTTTCTGAATTTTATGCTGACAGGGGAGACATATCTCTGTGTCAACAGTTTATTTATTAAGTGAAATACTTACTTATTATGAGTAATAGGATTACTATATTTGGTTTATGGGTTGCTTGCACCTGACCTCAACCTTATTCCATGGATCTGTGATCAAGGTTAAAGTTACATGGATAAGTCCGTATTTCAGATATTTTTAGCAATAGGTCAACTATATTTGGTGTATGGAATGATAGTAAGGTTGACATCTCCGACTGACAGGTTTCATCTGACCTTGACCTCAATTTCATGGTTCATTGGACATTGTTTAGTTTTGGTCTATTTCTCAGATACTATAAGCAATAAAGCCACTATATTTACCTGTAGTGTATAGAATGATTGTCAGATGTACATGTCCGTCTGGCAGGTTTCATCTGACCTTGGCCTCATTTTCATGATTCATTGGACAATTTTTAGTTTTTTGTGGTTTGGTCTATTTCTCAGTGATTATAAGCAATATGTCAATTATATTTAGTGTATGGGACAATTGTGAGGTGCACATGTCTGTCTGGCAGGGTTCATATGACCTTGACCTCATTTTCATGGTTCATTGGTTAATGATAAGTTTTTTCGTGGTAATGATTTTGTCAGTTTATCAGATACTATTAGCAAAAGGTCAATTATATTTGGTGTATGGAATGATTGTAAGGTGTCTGTCTGGCATGGTTCATCTGACTGTGACCTCATTTTAATAGAACATTGATAATGTTAAGCTTATGTGATACTTGTAGTAAAACCTTCATATGACAGACTTGCAACATGAATTCAATGATAAGTGACACAGGCAAAACATTTCAGCATGTGCACTCTTGTTTAAATAATTACCCAGAATGTATTAAATTCTGAAATTGCAAATTGATTACTATTTCAATAGTACATGTGACAATAACTAATAACAAAAGCTTCCGATTGTAGGAGAAATGTACCTGAACTGAGACCCTCTGATACTCTAGCTATAATATTGCTGATAAAACACTTATTTCCTACCAATGAGAAGCTGGAGGATTTGTTCTCCTTTTCCTATAGAAAGTCTGAGCAAGGATCCTCCTCCACAAAAATGGAATACCAGCCCAGCAGCCCAGTTTCAGACAGATATGACAGTGCACAAGATGACATAGAGGATGATGATGAAAAGGTGAGAAACTTCAATTGTTTTGTTATGACATTTTGACTTAAAAGTCTATTTTGATCTATAACAAGCACAGTTATTCACTTTTCATCCATCAGTGCCAGTGTGAGTTGATTGTATATTGATTCTGATTTAGAAGTATCTGGTATGTCTGATGACTTTAAATTGTTGATTCTTTTGGTTTTCAAAACATTCATATAGATTTTAAAAAGCCTGCCATTTTTAAGCTCAGACTTTTGAGTGAAGTTCAGGTTTAATATTATTGTATATTATTGTATATGATATGAGTACAGTTACTATCCACATCAACGTCATCTATTTAAGAAGTGAAAAAATATGCAAAGAAAAATGGGTATCATTATTTTTGTATGCTAATTATTGCTACATGTATGTTTAGACATCTTAATCTTTATAATCTATGAAATAACTTATGACACAGTTTAACAATCATGTTGCCCCTTATATTTGCAGTATGCTAGTGCATTAGAATCACCAAATCCAGAAAAAGGGTCAGATTCAGGTAAATTAAACCTAATTTGTTAACAGGATGGTGAAAATTTTGTTGTGGTAATTTAAAATTTAATGAGTGTTTAAACTGCTGTTGCTATGGATCCTCAATTTATATGACATCATTGTCTGTATATGCTTGTACGATTCTGTTAGAAATACAATATGCTGTCGGGTTATGGTTATGAATTAGCGAAATACTGATAACAGAGGAATTTTATTACTATATGAGTAAGCTTGCCTCAACTGTATCAGGTTGAGATCAAGAACTATGCCAAACAAAAGATATTGGAATTATATTTGAACTTCTGTAACATCATGCAACATTCAAGAGTGAAAAAGCAAGAACTGATGGACTCAGAATATTGTGTTCATGTGGAATGGAATGACTTCCTGTAGACTGATGCTGTACTGGCATTAAGTTAACATAAAAATCTCAACTTTGTCCATTGTATCATACAAACATGTTCTTATTCTACATATGGTTAAACAAAAATTAAATTCATTGAATTAAATCAGTTCACTTATTTTTTTAGTCACCTGTAAATTTTATGATTATTTGATAGGAACAAATAGACGTATTTACCCTTGTACACAATTTTGTCTGCCATTACTTTAAGTCTCACACTTGTTCCTGCAAAATTTTGCAACACAAATAAAAACATTTGACATCATAATTAAAAGTGATTGTTGCATGAAGTCGGAAGGTTATTCAGAGCTAGACCTGGGGTCATTCAGGCAAATACAGCCAAATACCCAAAAGTGTAAATACGTCAATTGAAAGCCAGTTATATTAAGATGTCTATTTACACGCTTATATCATTATAAGATAATCCTAAACTATTAAGCATATTATTGCTATTTCAGATAATCCTTTTCCAGAAATGTCAATATCACTGACAGATGAGAAAAGATCCACACCAATAGAATCAAAAACACCAACTAGAACTCCTACTCCAGAGGTAAATGCATAATGAGTTAGTAATTATAAACTATTGTCAATAGTAAACTTTATTGATACAAGGAGTTACAGTCATATAGAACAAAATTGAATTGTAATAACCAACTTTTGATATGCTATATGAGATCTTCTCTAGAATTTCTATACGAGTGTAAGAAGTTAAAATTTCTTTGTCATCAAACAAAATGCTTTAAGCTTACATTCAGTGATATGGTTTAAATTTTATACGCCCGTTTACGGGACATATTATGGTATACTGTTGTCCGTCTGTCTGTCCGTCATCAACATGTCGGACATTAACTCAAAAACGCTTTAACCAATTTGCATAAAACTTTGATGAATTGTTTATATCTATTGACGTGAGCTCCCTATCGTTTTTTATAAATTTTAGATTTTATGTTTTAGAGTTATGGGGTTTTATTCATTAAAAAAAGGGGGATTTTCCAGTTTTCAGACAATAACTCAAGAATGCTTTCACCAACTTGCAAGAAATTGTGGTGAATTGTTTATATCTGTTGACATGAGCTCCCTTTTGATTTTTTCATAAAAAAAGGGGGATTTTCCAGTTTTTGGACAAAAAAATCAAAAATGCTTTCAGCAGTTCTTATGAAACTTTGGTGAATTGTTTATATCTATTGATGTAAGCTCCGTTTAGAATTTTATAAATTTTACATTTTACATTTCTGAGTTATGGGGTTTTATTCATTAAAAAAGGGGGGATTTTCCAGTTTTGGGACAATAACTCAAAAATGCTGTCAGCAATTCTCATGAAACTTTGGTGAATTGTTTATATCTATTGATGTAAGCTCCCTTTACATTTTCATAAATTTCTAATATGACATTGAGAATTAATTGAACTTTAATTGTTTATAGTCTGACAACAGATTTACTTAGTATTGTGCAACAGCACAGTGTATTGCACAACAGCAAGAAATCTTTAATTGAATATAAATTCAATTCATATAACCAATTTCAAGTTCTTTGACTACATTTATTCTGAAACCTATAATATGTCAAATATTTAATACAATTCAAATTCAGACCTGTATCAAGCTTGAATATTGTGTCCATTTTTGCCCCAACTGTTCAGGATTGGACCTCTGCGGGCGTATCCAGCTGCTCTCAGCGAAGCAGTTTATTATAGTATTTTGTTTGTACATGTGCTTTTGGCATGTACTTGTTTCGTTTTCTCCTCTGTGTCTTATGTTATTCCACTTATCAAAATTATAAAGAATGAGGGTTGAGTATATATAACCCTGTCATTGATAATGTGCCTTACCCATGTCAGCAATGTCATCAGTGTTTGTCTTTGGATTATAACTTAATTGGGTTTTTTTTTGTTCCATTTAAGAATTTGATGTGGAAGGTCTCATAAATTTATTTACAAATTGCCTAAAATTTGGCACGAGACATTAGGCAAACAACAATCAATCAGTCCTAAATATGGGGAGGCGGAGGGATGGGGATTAGAGATTGACATATGGTATGGACACTTGTCTATTGTTTTAGGTGCTGTGTGACCGTTAGATGCCCTTTTGTTGTTTATTATATCATTTGGGTGCTGTCTCATTGATGTTTACCCCACTGATGTATACATTTCTTATATAACTCATATTTAGAAACAAACTAAGATAAAAGAAACATACACAAACACATGAATATTGAGGGAAAGAAAAAATTGTAACAAATGTCAATTAATTTTGAAACGAGAAGATACATATAGAATTGCACTGACAGTAAATTATAGTTATAAACAATGAAACCAGGAAATTGTATTAATTATAAAAAATGGGGAATATGTCCATGGGACACAGATGATGCCCCCGCTTGCATATAATGTTATAAGGGGCCATAACTCAAGAACTGTAAAAGTGACACTACCCAAATTTGAACTTGATCTGAGTTTTGTGGTAATAAGCATTGTTTATAAGTTTCATAACATTTAGTTGACGTAAACTTAAATTAAGAGAACAGAAAAACAAATTCAGCAATTTTTCCATTTTTAAAAGGGCATAACTCTGGAACAGTAGAAGTGATGCCACCAAAATTCAATCTTTATCTGTGTTTTGTGGTAATTAGCATTGTGCATAAGTTTCATAACATTTGGTTGAGGCAAACTAAGTTAGAGAACAGAAACAAATATTTCAGCAATTTTGAGATTGTAAAGGGGCATAACTCTAGAACGGTAAAAGTGACGCCAACAAAATTCAAACTTGATCTGTGTATTATTGTAATTAGCATTGTGCATAAGTTTCATAACATTTGGTTGAGGCAAACTAAAGTTAGAGAACAAAAACTAATATTTCAGCAATTTTTCCATTTTTAAAGGGGCATAACTTTAGAACGGTGAAAGTGACACCACCAAAAAGTTGATCTGTGTTTTGTGGTAATAAACATTGTGGATAGGTTTCATAACATTTGGTTGAGGCAAACTAAAGTTAGAGAACGGAAACCAATTTTGGGATGTACGGACGGACGGACGTACAGACAGACAAGGGTAAAACTTAATGCCCCCTCCGCTACGGCGGGGGCATACAAATCTCATATGTTTTTAGCTCACCTTTCCAAAGGAAATGTGAGCTTTTGCCATGACTTGGCATCCACAGTCTTCAGTCGTCGTCCGTCTGGAATAAACTATTTCAAACATCTTCTCCTTTGAAACTACTGAACCAATTCCAACCAAACTTAAGCTGAATGATCCTTAGGGTATCTAGAATAAAGTTTGTGTTTTATTTTCTGTTTCGTGAATAAACATGGCCGCCATGGCTAAAATTAGAACATAGGGGTAAAATGCAGTTTTTGGCTTATATCTCAAAAACTACAGCATTTATAGCTAATCTGACATGGGGTAAAAATGTTCATCAGGTCAAGTTCTATCAACTCTAAATTTTCAGATGAATCTAGCAAAAATGTTCAGCAAAGAAAGATCTACAAATAAGTTTATATGACCAAAATTGTCAATTGACCCCTTAAGGAGTTATTGCCCTTTAAAGACAATTTTACACAATTTGTTTATCATTTTTTTCTAACTTTAAAAAATCTTCTCCTCTGAAACTACAGAACCAATTCCAACCAAACTTAAGCTAAATGATCCTTAGGGTATCTAGAATAAACTTTGTGTTTTATTTTTCCCATATGTTCATTAGGTCAAGTTCTATCAGCCCTGAAATTTTCAGATGAATCTAACAATCCATTGTGGGTTGCTGCCACTAAATTGGTAATTTTAAGGAAATTTTGCAGTTTTTGGTTATTATCTTGAATATTATTATAGATAAAGATAAACAGTAAACAGCAAAAATGTTCAGCAAAGTAAGATCTACAAATAAGTTTAATGACCAAAATTGTCAATTGACCCCTTAAGGAGTTATTGCCCTTTCAGGACAATTGTACACAATTTGTTTATCATGTTTTCTAACTTAAAAAATATCTTCTCCTCTGAAACTATTGAACCAAATTAAACCAAACTTAAGCTGAATGATTCTTAGGTTATCTAGAATAAAGTTTGTGTTTTATTTTCTGGTTCCTCTGAAAACATGGCCGCCATGGCTAAAAATAGAACATAGGGTAAAATGCAGTTTTTGACTTATATCTCAAAAACTAAAGTATTTGGAGCAAATCAGACAAGAAGTTAGAGTATTCATTAGGTCAAGGTTTACATGCCCTGAAATTATCAACCAAATCGGGTATCTGATTTTTAGGTTATTGCCCCTGAATTGATGATTTTAAGGAAATTTTGCAGTTTTTGGTTATTATCTTGAATATTATTATAGATAAAGGTAAACTGTAAACATCAAAAATATTCAGCAAAGTAAGATCTACATATAAGTTTTTATATGACCTAAATTGTCAATTTACCCCTTAAGGAGTTATTGTCCTTTAAAGACAATTTTTCACAATTTGTTCATCTAGTTTGCTTACTTTAAAAAACCTTCTCCTTTAAAACTGCTGAATCAATTTCAGCCAAACTTGGGCTGAATGAGTATCTAGTATAAATTTTGTATTTTATTTCCTTGTACGTCAAGAAACATAGCCACTATGGCTAAAATGGAACATAGGGGTAAAATGCATTTTTTTGCTTTTGAAGAAAATATGACAGATACAAATAACATTTAAATGGCATTTTTAAGCCACTCATTAATTTATATTGAAAAGCAAAAATAATCATTGATGAAAGATTTAAGCAAAAAATTACAGGTGAGCTATTCAGGCTCTTGAGAGCCTCTTGTTTTTTATTAGATCATTTTTATATCAAACAACATTTTAATAAAAAAATATTTATTCAGATAAGAATTGTTGGATTTTACTGAAATAGATAAAATTAAAAAAGAATAGAAAATCTAATAATTCTTTAATCCATGACATAATTTAAAATATTGAAATATTCATTATAAAATAATGAAATTAATCAAGGTGTCATGCAGCAAGTAATATCAGAATAATAGTCTAAGCAACATTCACGTTTTATCCTAGATAGAGCCTTAATGGTATATTGAGCAAACTGGGTCTGGCAGCAAGAGGGAAAAATAGTTATTGGATAATGGGTACCAGCCTTAGGACAGATTATGGACTAATTCTATTGAGGATTTTTTAAGATACTAATCATTGTTTTGTAGGTTCTTCATAAAACCAGCTCTCTGCCTTTGTTTGGTCGAAGAAGAAGTAGGACATTTGAAGGTGAAAAAGTACCTGGTGTGAATGTTGCTAAACAAATTGTAGGAAGTGGTAGGGCTAGAAGTCGTAGTTGGGTAGAACCAACATATGGTACATTTTACATTTTGTAACTTTCTTGGAAATAACTCCAACTCAAATAATGTCATGTTGAAACTATTTATTGTTATTAGTGAGGTAAAGTTTCCATCATGTTCATTGTATCAATATCTATAAAATTGGACACATGTGGCAGTATTGTTTACTACATTTCATTAGAGTCTATGTTTCATTTACATTATTTTTTATGAGTCTGCATTTTATATAGTATCTTTTAATTATACCATCTTGAGGCAGTATATCATAGAAGTCTCACATTGACAATAACAAGTTCACGATCAAAAGGAAAATAGTAAAAAAAATTTAACAACAATTACTTAAGTAAGTCTCAATCAAATCATTTCAAATTTGAAATATGGGAATATTAGAATGGACCATTAAAAACAGCTCTGGATTGAATATGAATGATATCACTTTTGTCTTTCTAGAATTATACTCCTTGATAAAGGGGAAAATGACATATTTTTGGTTTTCAGACAACAACTTAGGAGGCCTTCATCAAGTCATTATGTTTTCATTTTATAATAATGCTATCCTCTTTTCCAGATGACTCCAGAGCTACACCACCAGAAGTTGGAACCAAAAATGTAACACCACCAGTACCAGAGGAGGTGGAGTCGATACCATTTTACATGTCTCACATAGTGTTTCTACAGAATGAACTGTGTTCCCACTGTCCACATCAGCTCCATTGTATACAGGTGTTCCCTGGTATCACACTTGTTCTTGTCAGTGAGGTAAAGTTCCAATCATGTCCTGGGTATACAGGAGTTCCCTGGTGTCACACTTGTTCTTGTCAGTGAGGTAAAGTTCCAATCATGTCTGGGTATACAGGTGTTCTCTGGTATCACTCTTGTTCTTTTCAGTGAGGTGAAGTGCCCATCATGTCCTGGGTATACAGGTGTTCTCTGGTATCACTCTTGTTCTTGTCAGTGAGGTAATGATCCCATCATGTCCTGGGTATACAGGTGTTCTCTGGTATCACTCTTGTTCTTATCAGTGAGGTAAAGTTCCCATCATGTCCTGGGTATACAGGTGTTTTCTGGTATCACACTTGTTCTTTTCAGTGAGGAAAAGTTCCCATCATGTCCTAGGTATACAGGTGTTCTCTGGTATCACTCTTGTTCTTGTCAGTGAGGTAATGATCCCATCATGTCCTGGGTATACAGGTGTTCTCTGGTATCACTCTTGTTCTTATCAGTGAGGTAAAGTTCCCATCATGTCCTGGCTATATAGGTGTTCTCTGGTATCACTCTTGTTCTTGTCAGTGAGGTAAAGTTCCCATCATGTCCTGGCTATATAGGTGTTCTCTGGTATCACTCTTGTTCTTGTCAGTGAGGTAATGTTCCCATCATGTCCTGTGTATACAGGTGTTCTCTGGTATCACTCTTGTTCTTGTCAGTGAGGTAATGATCCCATCATGTCCTGGGTATACAGGTGTTCTCTGGTATCACTCTTGTTCTTATCAGTGAGGTAAAGTTCCCATCATGTCCTGGCTATATAGGTGTTCTCTGGTATCACTCTTGTTCTTGTCAGTGAGGTAAAGTTCCCATCATGTCCTAGCTATATAGGTGTTCTCTGGTATCACTCTTGTTCTTGTCAGTGAGGTAATGTTCCCATCATGTCCTGTGTATACAGGTGTTCTCTGGTATCACTCTTGTTCTTGTCAGTGAGGTAATGTTCCCATCATGTCCTGGCTATACAGATGTTTCCTGGTATCACACTTGTTCTTGTCAGTGAGCAACAGTTCCCATCATGTCCTGGGTATACAGGTGTTCCCTGGTATCACACTTGTTCTTGTCAGTGAGTTAAAGTTCTCTCTGTTCCTAATGTCCACATCTGCTCCATGTATACAGGTGTTCCTTGGTATCAAACTTATTCTTGTCAGTGAGGTAAAGTTCCCATCATGGCCTTGATATACAGATGGTCTGAGGCATACACTTAATATCAATGACAAATAAAGGTGTACATTATATCCAATTTATACAGATGTTCTCTGATATTCATTGATTTATATTATATCAATGAACGAAAAACAATTATGGCAGACTGAAACTATCGTCAATCACTGTATTTTCAGTTTATTTCTGTACATCTAGAAAATGTAAGCTTCATTGCATTTTTAATAATTGATTTATTTACTAAGAATTTATATAAAAATTTAGGGGACGCTTTATTCGAATGAATTTTTAATAATTTAAAGTATTGAGGATGTGCCTTATAAGTACTAGTTCAATTTTATTATTCACTCTTTGAAAATGGTCATTAAATTATGAATAGTTATTTAGAAGTTATGTTTGTAATTAGCTTCTAAACTCAAACTGTAATATGTTAATATTCAAAAGTCAGTGATAACTTTTTTTTTCTTCAGATGCCTAGAGCCAGTTTAGCCAACACCCTCTGCCAAGTTTTATATTTGCTGAAACAAGTTGTGTTAGGAAAAACAGGACATGGTCACTGGGCTCAGGGACAGAATATGTATGACACTGTAAACACCTTGATAAGCAAACTGTCTGCACCTCTTAAAAGAGCAAAGGTAGGAAATGTTATTTGGTCAGCTGATATGTTCTACAAAATTAAACTCAGAATTTATATTAGCATAGATTTGTAACTTTGACCTGTTTTCTTTTTTGCAGGTTAATTGATGTGTTTTTGTTTTGTTAAACCACATGCACTTTGGCAATTGCAATCCCCTTTTTCAGTAATTTTTTGAGTTAAATATAATTTCAATAGTAAATATTATGGAAGCAGTTTACATATGCCACCCTTCTACTACACAATAACAGTCTATATATGTCGCCCCTCTACTACACAATAACTGTTGGAATGACACATGTTTACATTTTTTTTGTTAACCCACTACTACACAATTACAATTGGAATGGCACATGTTTACATATGTCTCCTCTCTACTACACAATAACATTTTGAACAGCACATTTAACTTGATTCCTATAAAGGTTAGGTTGCTAATATGAGGCAGGTATTACCAGGTGAAAGGGGACAAAGTCAGCAAACCTTTAGAATACTTTACAATATCCTGTTAACAGCAGATTTATACATATAAACATTTATTGTAAAAAAATTCCCAGCTTAATTTCTGGTGAAAAAGTAACTGAATTACAGAAACGTGTCCAAGGTTGGTCCTATTGTTAGGAATTTTATATATGACATCATTTTCAATGTAAACAATGAAACGCTATCTTCAGGTAGCATTTTGTTTTCTTGTTTTAAAGTATAGTTTAATTAAAAACATAATGATTCATACATAAAAACAACAAATATACAAAAGTCAGCTTATTACTGATCTTTGTACAGATACAAAATCTGCCTGATTGATCTGAGGTGAGTTTCCCCAAAGAACTCATTTTGTTTGCTATAAAATCATATGTTGAATTAGCTCTAGACTCATTTTGTTGTCGAGCCTGCGACTTTTGTCGCAGAAAGCTCAACATAGGGATAGTGATCCGGTGGCGGCGGCATTAGCTAACTTCTTAAAAGCTTTATATTTTAGAAGCTAGAAGACCTGGATGCTTCATACTTTGTATAAAGATGCCTTATGTTACAAAGTTTCCGTCTGTCATATGTCCATTGTCCTTGACCTCATTTTCATGGTTCAGTGACTACTTGAAAATAAAGTCAACATTATTTGTAATGTTAATTTCTTTCTTATTATGAGTAATAGGATAACTATATTTAGTACAGTCAAACCTGAGTAAACCAGACCCTGAATAAACTGGTTTCCTGTCTATTCCGGCCGAAAATTAAAGTCCCATATTTCCCCTTCAAAGTCTTTGTTAAAATACCCTTTGTAAACCGGACCCTGTGTATTCCGAATTCCGGTCTAATGATGCAGTCCCAAAATTCTTAATTATTACCTGTCAAAACCAGTTTGTCTAATTAATTTAAAATGATAACAGTAGTGATCGATATGCAATCAAAACATTTGTTTATACAAGATGGCTTTTCAGGATAATCAATAAGCCAGGTGTTAAACCGTGAACTTAAAAGGTACAGTAGTGAGCTGTATTAATAAAACACTCTAAAAGTGTAAATTAAACTAAAAGACACGCTGAATATATCTCGGATAGAACTTACGTTGTAACTTAGATCATTTTTTTTTTTCAAATCGCGGAATTAGAAAATTTACATCTTGGGTTGCCTATTGTGAACCCCTAAACCAATGACCCTGATAATGAAGAACACCCAGACGACAACAATTAATCAGTATTGTACAATGTACGACAATGTTTGATCGTGATGAAATTTCATTTAATAAAATTCTGGCTTTTTAATCGGCTATACCAACGTCAGAAATGAACGATGGAATTAAAACGAAACTCTCGTGTCACAATTCAAACAACGCGAGGATTATGATGCAAATGAAAACAATGAACACAAAGTGAAAGTGAAAGTGACATGTCGAATTCTGATGCTACCGATGTCTATTTGACATACTAGGATATGTAAAAAACGGTTAAAATATTATTAATTGAATTCGAGGAACAACCAGTTTCTTAAATTTATATAGCCAATGAATAAGAAGATTCAAAACAACGATCATGCAAAGTTATTATGTTATTGCGTTTTGTATTAATGAGTTTATAGCTTACAATCAGACAGAACTCTTACATGCAATAAAAAGTACGTCAGAAGTCATTAACTTCCTGTCAAAACGGAAACCTGAATAAACCGGCCCACTCTTCAAACTGGCCCTTTTTCGTAGTCCCGTAGCCGGCTGGTTTATACAGGTTTTACTGTATGTGCGTACCTTGCAAGGTCCTCATGCCCGTCAGACAATTTTCATTTGACCTCGACCTCATTTCATGGATCAGTGAACAAGGTTAAGTTTTCGTGGTCAAGTCCATATATCAGATACTATAAGCAGTAGGTCTACTATATTTGGTATATGGAATGATTGTAAGGTGTACATGTCCAACTGGTAGGTGTCATCTGACCTTGACCTCATTTTCATGTTTCAGTGGTCAAAGTTAAGTTTTTGAGTTTTGGTCTTTTTTTCTAATACTATATGCAATAGGTCAACTATATTTTGTGTATGGAAATATTTTATGATGTACATGTCAGTCTCGCAGGTTTTATTTGACCTTAACCTCATTTTCACGGTTCATTCTCAGTGTAAAGTTTTTGTTATTTGGTCTGTTTTTCTTCAACTTTAAGCAATAGATAAACTATATTTGTTGTATGGAAGGATTGTAAGGTGTATATGTCTGTCTGGCAGGTATCATCTGACCTTGACCTCATTTTCATGGTTCATTGGTCAATGTTAAGTTTTCAAGGTTAAGTTTGTTTCTTAGATACTATAAGCAATAGGTCAACTATATTTAATGCATAAATTGATTGTAAGGTGTACATGTCTGACTGGCATGGTTCATCTGACCTTGACCTCATTTTCATGGTTCATTGGTCAATGTTAAGTTTTCTTGGTTAAGACTGTTTCTTGGAAATTATAAGCAATAGGTCAACTATGTTTGGTTTATTGAATGATTGTAAGGTGTACATGTATTTCTCGTTTGGTTTATCTGACCTTGACCTCATTTTCTTGGATCATTTTAAGTTTATGTGTTACTTGTAGTAAAGCTTTATATTTAGGACTATCAACATAAAATCAATAGTTAGTAAAGAAGGCGAGACATTTCAGCGTGTGCACTCTTGTTACATACTCAAACAGAATAAATTCAAAATGTTCGTCCTCATTATTCTTTTTGGAAATCAGTTATACAAATTTGCGGTACATTGTTTGACTTACAACATGGTAGCGGCGGTCAACAAAACCGGAACATGGTAATGCGCAAACTCAACTTTTGGAAAATAGTTAGAAAAAAAAAGTTAATGATTTTGAGTTCATTAGTTCAGTTAACTCTCGTTGTCTGGAACTCGGTTGACTCGAAATTTCGGATGAGTCGAAGTTTTCTCGTGGTCCCGAACTTTGTTCCATATAAATATATGTATTTCGACTCTTGATGAGTCGAAATTGGATGAGTCGAAATTTCGGTTGACTCGAACTAAATGTATGGTCCCAAGGTTAACAAAACCATTCAAAATTCATTATTTATCTCGAACCAAAACACATATGTCTAAACATGACCTCGGGGATTTAAATGGATTGAAGAGTTAATCTGACAATACATGTGTAATTAAATTTCCGGTCTCTGACAACTGTATTGATTTATGACATGCTTTTTCCATGAGTGTTTACCTAAGATTCTTTGATCACCATGATAAATAATTAGTGATACATTGTTATAGATTATGTAAAATTATTTAAAATGTTTTAAAAACAATCAATCGTAATCATACACTAATGAGCTTGGCTGTGTATAAAGTGGGGATTAAGACTTCCATTGGTGATCAATCCAAAACTACTCAATCGGCATCTTTATATGTTTTTTTTTTTATTTTCTCTTGCAGAAAAATATTTTATGGAAAGAAAATAAAAGAAATCTAAATTTTCTAAAATCTCTTGTATACAAGAATGAACAATTTTGTCAACTTTAAATAAAGCTAGATCGATTGGAAATGACTCTCTCGGCTAAATGCCACAGGGACAAATTGTAACTGTACAAAGAAATAAATATGAGACATAAAATGTTATTATAATAATAAAAGACCATAACATACAAAAACATCGATCTGAGACCAGAATATTGATCCCCTTCCCATCCGGATTTATTTTAGCCTTACCAAGCTAAGCAAGAGTTATGTCCCTTGGACTGTCAAGCTTCCGGTTTTCGTTTGAGTCGAACTACGGGTATCTCGAAATATTTCTCTGGTCTGGCTGACTTCGAGATAACGAGAGTCGACTGTATATTGATTATTCGTTTTTTGATTTTCTTACTGTTATTGGGGACTTCGTCCCCATATAAACAAGAAGTTGTTAAATAAAGATGAAATAGCATTCAAACATTCTTGCAAAACAGATGTACCAAAGAAAAATAATAAGGATCAATATCCTTAGCACCTATAGATTAAACACTGTTTTCATCATAATTCTATTTATTAGCATCATATTTATTGTAATAGAAGAATAAGGTATTACATTTGGAAAGTAAAAAATCATGAGATTTAAACATGCTTTATCTGTTTGCTTTATATAATTCTAGCATTATTTTCAGGGAAATGTTCCTGCAATATTTAATGATGTTTTGAAGAAATGGGATGATCCAAGTTTCAAGTCACATCTTTTGAATTTCTTAGAACAACCAAGAGATAAAGAAATCCCTCCAAGGTATTTAGTTTGAACCAAAAATATACTAGAAAATAGAAATGTCTCAGGTTAGGGGAGGGTTGGCGCCTTCAACTAGTTTAACCCCGCAACATTCTGTATGTGCCTGTCCCAAGTCAGGAATCTGTAATTCTGTGGTTGTCGTGTGTTTCATATTTGTTTTTTTTCGTTCATTATTTTTTACATAAATTAAGCCGTTAGTTTTCTCGTTTGAATTGTTTTACATTTGTCATTTCGGAGGCTTTTATAGCTGACTATGCGGTATGGGCTTTGCTCATTGTTGAAGGCCGTATGGTGACTTATAGTTGTTAATTTCTGTGTCATTTGGTCTATTGTGGAGAGTTGTCTCATTGGCAATCATACCACATCTTCTTTTTATAGATATTGATATTTTTTTGGGGGAAATTTCTTGATAATATATATCATGAAATGGTGATTAAGGGTATGTACTTTTTACTACACAGTTGCATTGCTATATCTATTACCCTTTTTAGGTGACAATTGGAAGATTAATGTATAAAAACAAATTGTGATTTTATTAGACTTTCAGTAGCTTCCTAAATGTGACATGTGTGTTTTGTGATTGGTGATAAAAGATATTATTCACTTTAAAAAAATACACAAAAAAAAACAACAATATACATTGGAACTAGTGTTCTTATTTTCAAGATATTTGGTAATAACAATTCGAAAAACAGATTTTAAATTTTTTGACCAGTAAATCTTATTAAAGGGAAATAATTCCATGATAGAACTTAGATTTGATTTTTGTATTTGATTAGATAGCTAATTACTGATGAAATATGAGAGCAGTATAAGAAAAAAAAATAGCATTTTCATGGGTACTTGATTTTGTGATTATGACATATCCTGCATACAGATATATAGGCAAATTTGCATTTCTTTGAGCATTTAAATTCTTGTTTACTCTGTATCTAGGAAATATACAAAAATTAGTACCCAACAACTGATAATAAATCCATAGTTCATTATGTACTCTTTAATCTCTTTAACAAAAAAAAATGGTGACATATTGCATTTCATTTTAGTATTGAAAGATCTCTTACATATCTGTTGAAGAAGATGAAGGATCTGTTTCTATTCTTGTACTTACTTCCACGTCCACTGACGCCACAGCTGGAGAGAATGGTGACACAGATCAGAGAAAGAGCAGGGCAAAAATTAAAGGATTTCAAAGATTATTTGTGTGTCAAAGCACAGCGTAATATAACAATGACATCATATCCTTTAAATATTATCTGTATGTAAAGTGTTACATATCAAAATATCTTGAAAGCTATTTAAATCAAAGCTAATTTATTAAGGAGGGACCCTCAGAAGCAACAATATATCTAGTCACTTTAGAAATTTCTAGAAAGTGCATAATACACCAGTTACTAAGTTTGGCAGTGGAAGCCAGAGTTACTTTTGATATGGAGACCACAAGTTTTTGTATTGATGTGTGACATGAAAAATGACAACAATATTTTTGTCTTTATAGCTGACTATATGGTATGGGTTTGGTGAAGGTTGTATGGTGACCTATAATTGCTTGTTTCCACATCATTTGAACTCTGGTAGATAGTTTTCTCATTGGCAATTATACCACACCTCCTTATTTTTATATCAATGTAAAAAATTACCACTTATGATAAGTCAGCAATATTTGGTATATATATATGTAGTTGTGTTAGCATCCTGTTTTTGTGGAGATTATTAAGATCATTCTAAACCAGTGAATATGACATATATGCTATAGAATAATAAAATGAACTACAAGACAATATTTAAATTTTTTAAGGTTTTATTCAAGTAATATTAACATACTATTATTTCATTCATTCTTTATCACAAAACAACAAATAACAAAAGTAATAAGCACTATTTTGTTTATATCACAGTTTAAGCACAAGATAAGCTCATCATTGTTCATGTAGAAAATTACAGCATGTTCTGCACAAGGGAAGGAGTCAGCTTCTTCTGTTTCTTCTTGTATGGACGAGCATTCTTGCAGCGATTACGTTTGTTGCCAAACCACTTCTTTATCTGCTCTTCTTTGAGGTTGGTCTGTTTAGCCATGTACTGGATGACGGTGTTGTTTGGGTATGGGTGGTGGATGTTGTCATGGTACCAGGTCTCCATTACGTTGACTGCTTTCTTGGACAGCACTGGTCTGGAACGGCAAACTGGTTGTTGTTGTTGTATAGGAGTGATAACATGACAACTACTAGTAACACCATTGGAATAATCTAGAGCTGCTAAACTACACTGTAATGTAAAAACACAGTTAACATAACATTTAAATAGAAATCAGTTAAAATATCGCTGAATTAAAATTAGTTAAAATATCATTAAATTAAAATTGATTAAAATATCATTGAACTAAAATCAGTTAAAATATTATTGAGTCAAAATAAGTTAAACATGTGAAATTGAAATTATTATAATTAATTCATATTTATTTTTAAATAATAAATTTTCAATAAACAGGCAAACATTAATAACTTACGTATAGGTCAAGGGAAATAATTTAAAATAAGAACCAAAAATAGCATAAAATATTTTAAAAGCAGCTGAATTATTGAAAAAAGTGTTTAAAAAAAACACAAGAATTTTACCTCTACTTTATCAATGATGTGATGGAGCTGGTTGTCATAGTAACTGTTGAGTGAACCATAGTAGTATGGATAGTTTGAGTACTGCTGAAGAGCCTGGAAATGACTTGTCTGTATAATTGCTGACTGGTACCGGTAGAAGCTGGATAACTGCTGAATCTGTATAGGGAAACTGTATTGAAGCAGATGAAATCTCTTTTGCAGTTGGAATTCTCGGTTGTTGACACTGTGGAGGTTGGCCGTTGTAGGTTGTTGAGGTTGAAGTTGAGTAGACTGCATAGATTTTGTCTTTACATCCGATCTGATTAGTATCTGGAGTTCTGTAGCAGAAACATGCTGAGTAGTTGGTGTTGGTGATCTCAGTAGATTTGTAAGTGACTCACTGAGTCTGCTGTCTGGACATGGACTGCTACAAGTTGGTGGTTGAGTCTGAGTTGGAGCTGTTTTCTTTGTTTGTTTTGGAGTTGCTTGCTGAGTAGGTGGATCATTGAGTAAGCTGTTGAGTAGAGTATCTAAGTAAGCATCTGGGTTAGATCTGAGTGCTGTCATGGCCATGTCATCTAAAGGTGGGTTGTCAAGTATGGTGGCTTTGATAACATCATGTAGTGTAGAGGTAGATGTGATGTTCATGGCTGCTGGAGACTCTGGTGAGGACTGATAGACTTCTGTCATTCTGTACTGATTAATATTTCTTAGCTAATAAGTGATTTTTTGTCTTTTAATGAAAACTGAATATCGACCATAATGGATTTCTATTTATACTAACTTGAAAATTGGCTTGGGTGGCATACACTGACTTCCCATTGGCTGAACTGGACATCAAACCATTGTTCGGCTTGTACATGATTATGGGTGATCATAATGTGAAAGAAATCATTAATGATTAATAATGAGTGATAATCACTTTGAAGTTCCCTAATAATTAGATCTATTATTAATAAATCACATTTGTGATTAAAGCTCAAGACAAATGAAAATTGTTAATGATGATTAATAATCACTTTGAAGTATGTAATTATCATGATTATTGAATTGACTTAAAAAAAAAAAAAAATTAAGAAAATTTACTAAATTCATAGAAAGACATAATAGTTGTGTTTAGTGTCATGGATATGAAAAAAAAAATCTTTGAAACTTGGAATTTTGAATGTTGCAATTTAAAAACTGTAAATCTTAGTTGTTTGTATTATAACTAATAACTATTATTTTGAAATGAAGAGATATTTTTATATTGATATTTCAGCAATATAAAATTACTTCATATTTTGTCTTATAATTTCTGTTTTGGTATTTGTAATGAAGATAGAAACTAAAAATTTTTGAAAACAGTTTGTTAACCTTTAAAAATCTTCTTTTATATTATTTTGGGGTTGCTGTCTGATTTGTGTATTTCATTGATCTCTTTCTTTTGGAATGGAAATGGTATGAATTGATACTTCAAATTATCTCAAGTGGTGAAAAGCAGTCAAATTATCTTCCTATATAACTTTTTGTTTGTTGTTCTTTTTCATCTTATTTTATCCCTCATCCTTAAATTTCTGAGCAAGTTTTAAGACAATTATACTTAACTCTTTCATATTTTCAGTGCAATGACCTCAGTGTTTTATGGAAGATGATGTAAGGTATTCATAAGAAATTAAATTTAATCATGTAGATTGATGTTCATACCAGTAAGATAATCTAACATTATAAAATTATAAAATGAAATACAAAACAATATTTAAATTTTTTAAGGTTTTATTCAAGTAATATTAACATTCTATCATTTCAAATCAAATCATTCATTCTTTATCACAAAACAACAAATAACAAAGTTAATAAGCACTATTTTGTTTATATCACAGTTTAAGCAAAAGATAAGCTCATCATTGTTCATGTAGAAATTTACAGCATGTTCTGCACAAGGGAAGGAGTCAGCTTCTTCTGTTTCTTCTTGTATGGACGAGCATTCTTGCAGCGATTACGTTTGTTGCCAAACCACTTCTTTATCTGCTCTTCTTTGAGGTTGGTCTGTTTAGCCATGTACTGGATGACGGTGTTGTTTGGGTATGGGTGGTGGAGGTTCTCATGGTACCAGGTCTCCATAACGTTGACTGCTTTCTTGGACAGCACTGGTCTGGAACGGCAAACTGGTTGTTGTTGTACTGGAGATATAACATGATAACTGGTAGTAACATTGGAGTACTCTAGAGCTGCTAAACTACACTGCAATGTATAAAAAAAAACACAGTTAAAATAACATTTAAATAGAAATCAGTTAGAATATCACTGAATTAAAATTAGCTAAAATATTGTTGGAGTTAAAATCAGTTAAACATGTGAAATTGAAACAATTATGATAAATTCATATTCTTATTTAAATAATGAATTTTCGATAAACAGACAAACATTAATAACTTAAGTATAAGTTGTGGGAAATAATTTAAGATAAGAATGAAAAAAAAGCATCAAATATTTTTATAAGCAGTTGAATTATTGAAATAATTGTTAAAAAAAAATAAAAAAGGATTTTACCTCTACTTTGTCAATAATGTGATGGAGCTGGTTGTCATAGTAACTGTTGAGTGAACCATAGTAGCATGGGTAGTTTGAGTACTGCTGAAGAGCCTGGAAATGACTTGTCTGTATAATTGCTGACTGGTACCGGTAGAAGCTGGATAACTGCTGAATCTGTACAGGGAAACTGTATTGAAGCAGATGAAATCTCTTTTGCAGTTGGAATTCTCGGTTGTTGACACTGTGGAGGTTGGCCGTTGTAGGTTGTTGAGGTTGAAGTTGAAGTTGAGTAGATTTTGTCTTTACATCCGATCTGATTAGTGTCTGGAGTTCTGTAGCAGAAACATGCTGAGTAGTTGGTGTTGGTGATCCCAGTAGATTTGTAAGTGACTCACTGAGTCTGCTGTCTGGACATGGACTGCTACAAGTGGGTGGTTGAGTCTGAGTTGGAGCTGCTTTCTTTGTTTGTTTTGGAGTTGCTTGCTGAGTAGGTGGATCATTGAGTAAGCTGTTGAGTAGAGTATCTAAGTAAGCATCTGGGTTAGATCTGAGTGCTGTCATGGCCATGTCATCTAAAGGTGGGTTTTCAAGTATGGTGGCTTGGATAACATCATGTAGTGTAGAGGTAGATGTGATGTTCATGGCTGCTGGAGACTCTGGTGAGGACTGATAGACTTCTGTCATTCTGTACTGATTAATATTTCTTAGCTAATAATTGCTTTTTTGTCTTTCAATGAGAACTGAATATGGACCATAATGGATTTATATTTATACTAACTTTAAAATTGCCTTGGGTGGCATACACTGGCTTCCCATTGGCTGAACTGGATACCAAACCATTGTTGGGCTTGTACATGATTATAGGTGATCATACTGTGAAAGAAATCATTAATGATTAATAATGAGTGATTATCACTTAGAAATTCCTAACAAACAGAATTATTGTTAATGAATCTTATTTTTGATTAAAACTCAATACAAATGAAAATTATCAATGATGATTAACAATCACTTTGAGATTCCTAATAATCAGAATTATTATTAATGAATCACATTTGTTATTAACATGATTAAAGCTCAAAAGAAATCAAAAGTATCAATGATGATTGATAATCACTTTGAAGTATGTTATTACCATGATGATTGAACTGACTATGATAATTAAAATATAAGATTTTTTAGTATTGAGAAAACATTGCTTAATAGATTAAAGAGAAATCATAATAATTTGTTAGTCTTGAGTATGATTTTTTTTAACTTTTGAAAATGTTGTACCTTGAAATTTGAAATGCTATAAATTATATATTTTGAAATAAGTGATGTCATAATGTTGATATTTTAGATACAAAAAAAATGCTTTATATTTTGTCTCGTAATATCCATGTTTTGGTCAGGTCTTTATATGTGATTAATCTGTAGATCAATGTAATACAGTTTTATTTTTTTTAATTTTTATGCTATAATTATTTGTAAATTTTAGTTTTAATTTTGATTTTAAAAAAGATACAACAAAAGTTTAGTAATAATAATTTGTAGCACTAATGATTGTGAAAACGATCTGAATTCATATAACTCTAATCAAGTGTGGCTTGTTTGTGATTAAAGTGATTATGATTTCTTTGCCAATGACGATTAATAATCACGGATTGTTTTCTTTTTATTATTGAATGAGACATATGATTAAAACTTATTAGAAGTCAATTGAAAACCAATAATGACAAATGATCACTTTGAGGGAATTAATAAAAGTAATGTCATTGATAATTTAAGTTTGTGTTTATAGTGAGTTTAGCTCAAACTAATGAGTCATTAAGTTGAAAAGAAAACTGTATTATGTATAATGAAAATAAGTTAACTAATCAAAATCTACATTATATATAAATTAAATCTTGTAAAAAATTTCAACTAATTAAATATTAAATTCACTTTAGACTAAACTTTTAGGAGTTTAATTAAATATGGGAACAGTATCACAAAATATATGTTCCTGATTAAATACAATTATGTTCTAAAAAAAGAAGTCCAAAATTACAGAAACATCTCAGTTAATTATATAAAGCAAATTTTCCTTAACAAATATACATATATAGAACAGTTTCCAGGCCTGGTGCATTTTATATACATTGATAGAAGGACCAATCAAGTAACTGCTCCATCATTTAACATTACTTCTGGAGAGACAACACTGGAAACAGGGGAGACAACTATGAAGGAAATGGATGCAACAAGACTATTAAAGGATAAGGTACATGTATTTAAAAAACAATTTTTTTTTTTAAATTGCACAAGCAGTTGGGTGCTAAAAAACGAGCTGATTAATATCTGCCATCTGATTGGCTGAAAATTCCTAAAAATTTCTTAGTCCTCTCATTTTCATTTCTAAAAATATCTGTCCTCTCATTTTTATTTTAAAAATATCTCATCTGATGTAGGCAGTATTTATCTTACTGTAAATATTCTAATTGTCCCCCATTCATCAGGTAGTGGGGATATGGTTTCTGTCCTTTCTTCTATCCCACCAACTGTTTGTATGCCTCCATCCAAACACATCAATACTCAGAGACCGTTTGTGTGTGCCTCCATCCAAACACATCAATACTCAGAGACCATTTGTGTATGCCTCCATCCAAAACACATCAATACTCCGAGACCGTTTGTGTATGCCTCCATCCAAACACATCAATAATCAGAGACCATTTGTGTATGCCTCCATCCAAACACATCAATACTCAGAGACTGTTTGTGTGTGCCTCCATCCAAACACATCAATACTCGGAGACCGTTTGTGTATGCCTCCATCCAAACACATCAATAATCAGAGACTGTTTGTGTGTGCCTCCACCCAAACACATCAATACTCAGAGACCGTTTGTGTATGCCTCCATTCAAACACATCAATACTCAGAGACAATTTGTGTATGCCTCCATCTAAATACATCAATACTCAGAGACCGTTTGTGTATGCCTCCATCCAAACACATCAATACTCAGAGACCGTTTGTGTGTGCCTCCATCCAAACACATCAATAATCAGAGACCATTTGTGTATGCCTCCATCCAAACACATCAATACTCAGAGACTGTTTGTGTGTGACTCCATCCAAACACATCAATACTCAGAGACTGTTTGTGTATGCCTCCATCCAAACACATCAATACTCAGAGACTGTTTGTGTGTGCCTCCATCCAAACACATCAATACTCAGAGACCGTTTGTGTATGCCTCCATCCAAACACATCAATACTCAGAGACAATTTGTGTATGCCTCCATCTAAATACATCAATACTCAGAGACTGTTTGTGTATGCCTCCATCCAAACACATCAATACTCAGAGACTGTTTGTGTATGCCTCCATCCAAACACATCAATACTCAAAGACTGTTTGTGTATGCCTCCATCCAAACACAGCAATACTCAGAGACTGTTTGTGTATGCCTCCATCCAAACACATCAATACTCAGAGACTGTTTGTGTATGCCTCCATCCAAACACATCAATACTCAGAGACTGTTTGTGTATGCCTCCATCCAAACACATCAATACTCAGAGACTGTTTGACAGAAAGCTTTTATAACTGGTAGGATTATTTATTGTCATAATCTCTTGACCATACTTTACCTTCAGTTTGAATTGATTATTTTTATGTGAGTCATTGGAATAAGACCTTTTTTTTTGGCATTGTGACAATGGTACCTTGTGAATACATTCTTCCGAGTTCTTTTTACAGAAAGTTCTCAAATTTTGTAGGATTTTTTTGCCATCATGTGTAATTTACCATATTGTACCACCATTTCGATTTGATTATTTTTATAGGAGTTATGGGACTTTGAACATTTTTTGGGAGTATTCTAACAATAACAACATGTGAATATGCAACCCGAAACCATTTTCCTGAAAGCTTTCATATATGGTGGAATTGTTTGCCATCATGTGTAGTTGCCCATTTTATATCGTCAGTTTGATCCAATCATTTTTACTGGTGTTATGGTAGTTTGACGATTTTTATGCCCCTGTCGTAACGGAGGGGGCATTAAATTTTACCCTTGTCCGTCTGTACGTACGTCCATCCGTCCGTATGTCCCAAAATTGGTTTCTGTTCTCTAACTTTAGTTTGCCTCAACCAAGTGTTATGAAACTTATACACAATGCTTATAACCACAAAACACAGATCAAGATTTAATTTTGTGGTGTCACTTGTACCATTCTAGAGTTATGCCCCTTTACAAATGGAAAAAATGCTGAATTTTTCATCTCCGTTCTCTAACTTTAGTTTAACTCAACCAAATGTAATGAAACTTATGCACAATGCTAATTCCCACAAAACACAGATCAAGTTCGATTTTGGTGGTGTCGCTTTTACCGTTCTAGAGTTGTGCCCCTTTACAAATTTAAAAATTGCTGAATTTTTTGTTTCCGTTCTCTTACTTAAGTTTGCATCAACTAAATGTTATGAAACTTATAAACAATGCTTATTACCACAAAACTCAGATCAAGTACAAATTGGGTAGCATCACTTTTACAGTTTTGTCCCTTTATAAAGTTATATGCAAGTGGGGGCATCATCTGTGTTCCATGGACACATTCTTCCCCATTTATTTTAAGTATTTTAACAGTGACACCTGGTAAAATACAACTTCTCTGAGACCATTTGACAGAAAGCTCTCATACTTTGTAGGATTGTTTTGCAGCATGTGTTGTTGACTGTAATTTACCATCATTTTGATTTAATAATTTTTACATGAGTTGTGGGACTTTAACTTTTTTCACTGTTGTAACAAAATGACACTTTGTGAATGCAACTCCTAACACCATTTGACAGAAAGCTCTCTTACCTGGTAGGTTTGAATGTCATTATGTGTTGATGAATTCAAGTAATGTTGGCAAAAACACTGTTTTTTCTACCAGAGAGATTTGTAACAATTAAGCATTTCATCCACCTTTACCTTATGAACTCACTGATTTCTATTTCTTAGACAGGATTATAAAAACACATTTTGTTGGCCATTTATAAATTATCAACCATTGTATTGCAATTGACTGGATAATGTTACTTTGCATTCACTTAGCTTTTGAAATAGGACTGCAAAGTGAGTTGCCAAAGACAAAATCTGTAGAATCTATTATAGCCAAACAGATAATGACATGGGATTTTCTTTCTAACCATTGAAAAACAGTAGACATGCTATGTATTATATTCTAATATGACGTTCTTCAAATGCTTTGAGCACACACCCATGGTAAAATATGAATATATTGATTTGTCACCTGATCATCATCAACATGGATTGTTTGAGCTGTTCATATCTAACTCCCACATCGTTTTATGAATGAGTTACCCAAAGTCAGACGGTGTAAATGATGTCATTGAACAATGGCCTAAGAATATAAGCATTCTACGAGATAATGCATGAAACTGGAAGTTGTCCAAACATGAAAAAATAAACAAACGATAAGAATTTGTTGAATTCCAATTATCCTAAATAAAAGTAAGATAATCGTCCAAACCTGTCTTAGTATGTTATTGTAAATCGTTAAAGCATGTCACTAATTCAGTTCTCTTTGTCTTTTACATCAAATATATATAGTGTGTTCAGTTACAAAAACAGCAAACATTTCCCTTCACTTAGAGCGCTTCGATCCAAAATAATTGCTGTCTTTGTCCTATTAGAATAGAAATGTTTCATGGGGGCTTGAATTTATATTGATTTTACCATGGGTTGGCCCTTTATGCTGATATTGTGCCCATCGCTATTGCTCGTAGTTAAATATTTAGCACAAGGGCCAAATTCAAGCCCATGAATTATTTCTTAATTCTTGTTCAGCAGAAAAGCTCCAACCATTAGATATATCAACAATTATTAATATGTTTGAAGGTTTGGAAAATGATGGAATTCATGCAGCTGAAATTGAAAAATGGGACCACCTGTGTAGCCGCCAGAGAAGGAGATTATTACTTCTCATATTTCCTGTGGTTTGGGGATTCTTTGGTAAGTATATATATCTGTCAGAAAACATAACTTTTCTGTTCTTTAATGATTTGTAGATTCTTTAGTATTTGTAGCAGTGAGAGAAGGAGATAAATGTATATTGCTGTACTAGAAGGAGATCGTAACTTCTCCTTTTGCCTATGATTTGATTATTTTCTTGTAGCAATAGCTATAAGAGGATACTTCCATTAATTATGGGTTGGAGATTTCTAGTATATGTATAGCTATAAAGTTGCGAGATAAGAATAATGTTTCAACTATTTCATACAATTTGAGGATTCTATGAATATGATTAAAGAGACATGTTGGATATATGTAATTGAGACAGTAACTCAACAACAAAAATATCCAAAAGTCATCTAGAGAGCAACATACAGTCTTCAACAATAAACAGATATTTGACAATAAGTTAAACTCTAAATTGTTCAGAGTTTTTAAAAGTTGTGAGCAATAATCAATTATCTGCCAACAAAAGTATCATAATCACAAGCAATTATTTTATACTTACATACAGTGTCACTGATAGACATTTGCTTTATAATATCATGTTAGTTCGTTATAAAATAAGATATTCATTATATACACTGCTTATTGAAGCTGATTGTATATGTTTACCATTGTGTTCATCCATTCATTTATTTGTTCCATATATATATAGATTCTACCACTGCATTGAGTGTGATACGATATTTATCCACTCGAGACAGTTAAATCTTCAAATTTAAAACGCGAGGCTAGCTGAGCGTTTAAAATATTTAAAATTTAACTGCCGAGAGTGGATAAATATCGTATTACACAAGATTTGGTGGTGGAATCTGTTTCTATAATGATTTTCAAACAATACGCAGGCAAATTTATTCCTTCTTTTCAAATGATCTGCAAAAAGATGCGTTCTTTCTATGTGACGTCATCAGGCATGGTCGCCTTTTTTCATGCCATCACAATAGAAAATTCAGAGGAAAGCAAGAAAATTCGACGTCATAATCAGATTTTAACCAATGAAGAACTGAGATCAAACGAACCACACGTTGATTAAATTTTTTTTATACAATGGGTGCACAAAGGGATAAATTGACGAAGAATTAGAGAAATATATTTATATGTCCATCACTCCACTTAAACAATTGAATGGACTTCAATGAAACTTTTAAAGAATCATATGCACCTAACAACATTGATTTTTGGGGTCTTCTACAGTAGTACAAAAAATATAGAAGTGTTCATAAATGTATAGCAATACATATGTAGTTATGTTTATAAGTCATTTTTTCATATCGACTTTTTCATATTTTAGAATTTTTTGCAAAGGGAAACAACACCTTGGTAGGATAAACTGTATCACTATCTACTGTGGATTCCTTAAAATTCATGGGTAACAGATTTTATGGATTGAAGAAAAATTGTATTTTCGTGGATATTTTATTTCTTGGTTTTGCCAAAGTTTGTATATACCGTAAGCCTTTTGAAAATGTGTACTTTGTTGAATATTTAAATTTTTTGTTTTCACTTATACCTAAGAAATGAACGAAAATTGGTATTCCACAAATAATAATGAATCGACAGTCATTCAACTGTGCACCCTTTATTTTCATCCAAATGATATCTGGGGTTTCCAATAACTAAACTGGGACATTGTCATATCTTATCATATACTGGGGTAAGAATTTGTGAACTATGCTCAGTTTTTCTCATTTTGTACATATTTTCATTGAAAGTTCTATATCTGTTATTTAAAATCAATACATATATTTTCAGGGTAATATTATAACACCACAGCAGCCTCTACAAGTATCTATACCCTTATCAAGCCCTGGTGTATTAACCAGTAACTTTTACAGCACACTACTGAGACGATGCTTCCCTAATATGGTTCCAGGATCTATTGCTTGTTTTGAACTTATGATGATGCATGTAGGATTAGTCAGTTTATCATACATTACAGAAAACAGGACACGTCTGACTGCATTGTTAAGAAGTAGTTCTGGAGAATCAGTATCACCAATGACTCTAGCATTATAAAATGATATTATTTTACAGAAAACAGGACACGTCTGACTGCGTTGTTTAGAAGTAGTTCTGGAAAATCAGTATCGCCAATGACTCAAGCATTATAAAATGATATTATTTTATATTATTATCTATGCTCCAAAAAAGGAGAAGGTACTGTTCAGACATGACCCTTAAATTAAAAAATCAAAAAGTATTATTAATACCGGTATACCAAAAAGCATCCTTCAGATGTTCATAAGATATGAAGTCTGTCAAATATAAGTATTTATATTTTTTAATCTTATCTCATTTATTTGCATAAGGGTTTCAAATTTCTTGCATTTAGTGCAAAACAGTCTATTTGAGATCTTGTCATTGATATGTAGATGTATGCCATTATTCTTTAACTAAAAAGATGAAATTTACAGAGCTGTTACTGTGGAAAATATCTTTTGGGGTAAGACCTAAGATTATATATAATTTGTCCAAAATTTAAGTGCAAAATGGCAATTTTTTTTTAAATATGTCAATTTCAACATGTTTATACCATACACTGTGAAAGTACTTTTATTCGTGGGGTACCAATTTTCGTGGTTTACGTGGATGCCTTTACCACGCAATTAAGTGTCCAACGAAATAAAACAACTGCTATCCAAATCAAGACATAGAAAGATCCCCATGTAGGTTTGACTACATGGATACCGGCATATAATCTAGAGAATACATCGAATAAACTGTACGACATTTAATCTTTTAATTCTCATGAAAAATTAGTTTTGATCAATGAAGTCAGACTCTAGTGATGATATACAATGAAGTGATCATTTTATCTCCTCAGAATTCTAATACATAAAAAAAATGATAATTTGATATTGGACTTGCTTTTTTTGTTTTATAAGAATTAATTCTACAATTCAACATACATTTGTAGCATTTTTTTTATGTAACTGTTTTCTTTAAGTGACATGTTTATGGCCCAATTAACACCTTTGATGATCATTAATCTGTTGATCATTCAATCTCGGGTTAATTAGTGTCACCACTTCTGATTACACGTGTGCAACGATAAAAATGTTTTCTTTGCAATTTCCTTCAATTGAGACAATTTGTAAGCATAGATGAATAAGATTATTTTCAAAAGCAATTATTCTATTAAAAAATTGATGAATGTTGTCAGTAATGAAAGAGGAACAAGTAAATGAAAATCAACGCCTTATTTTGCTGTCCCACAAATCATTATAAAACACCACATGATTATTTTCAAGAATCTTTGTTTCTGATTGCTTCAAATTCTTCACTCAATTTTTTTTCAGAAAACAAAAATCAAAGAATTTAAGAACCCACGACCATGTAACATTTTCTCAAACCACGAAAATTGATACCCACGAATAAAAGTACTTCACAGTAGTGACATGGCAAATAACCTTTCTGCACTCAGATGTCTAGATTTTCATAACCTGATCGTTTATCAATAAAATTAATGTAATTTTGAAAGTGTAGAATAATTTTATCTATTTTTGCAATTTGAGGAGCCAATGAATGGCTCTAATTTAAGTTGCTATTTTAGGGGCAAAAAGTATGTTACTTCGAAATAGAAAAAAAATTTCTAACCAACAAAAATAAGTGAATCCTCAGAATTTTATTTAGATTAGTGTGTCTGATGTCAAGGTTAGGCTAAAACATTTCTGCTAGAAATCCATGTCACAAAAATTAATTGAAAAAATGGTAATAAGCATTCCAGACCCTCATGTGTAGTCAAGGAGGTTAAAAACCACCCCTGGTAAGTTGAACATATTTATTTTTGTAAGTTGAACTGTTGAACATATTTTTGGGGGCATATTATGTGGTTGAAATAATTGTTTTTAATCATTTACTATATGAGTGAATTAGTCTTATTGATTTCTTCATCTTAGTTAATTTACAAGTACTTTGTATTTGTACTTTTTTTATTAATTTATTGTATCTTTTTAAATTGAATTTTTATAATTGTTATTTTGAAAGTGCAATATTTAATTGTTAAGCAATTGAACATGTTATTATTAATTATACACAATAAATTTATTTTGTTATAAATAAGCATTTTTATTCTGACCTGAGTCCAAAGTGGCTAGAAACAAAAGTCATCTAACACAGGAAAATGAAGTTGAAAGGAATTTTGAACTAGCTTCAGCTTTAAGCCAACGTCTCCTTCTGTAGCTACATAAAAATGATGAGATCTGGTATGATTGCAAATGAATATCATTACAATAAATTGCCTTTAAGTTGATGGAATATACAATTCAAACATCAACAAAGGTATACAATGGAGCTTGTAGTAAATTTGATGGTTTCTTTTCTGACACTGATTTTGACAACATCCCCCATAGTTGAGAGGATATTTATTCTAAATTGTCTGATTTTAGTAATTTTAGTTATCATACTTCCATGGATCAATAAAGAAACTCGTAAATAATTTCAACAAGAGTATACAGGCTGAAATGTCTCGCCTGCTTTAATGACCATTGATTTTATGTTGATAGTCCTAAATACAAGTATCACATAAACTTAATATGGTCCAAGAAAATGAAGTCAAAGTCAGATTAACCAAGCCAGAAATACATGTACACCTTACCATCATTCCATATGCTGAATATAGTTGACCTATTGCTTATAGTGTACAAGAAACAGACAAAACTATGAAAACTTTATAATGACCAATGAAAAGAAAATGAAGTCAAAGTCAGATTAACCAAGCCAGAAATACATGTACACCTTACCATCATTCCATATGCTGAATATAGTTGACCTATTGCTTATAGTGTACAAGAAACAGACAAAACTATGAAAACTTTATAATGACCAATGAAACATGAAAAAGAGGTCATGGTCAGACGAACCATGCCAGACACAAGTGTACACCTTACAATCATTCCATGCATCAAATGTAGTTGACCTATTGCATATAGTATCTAAGAAACAAACTTTACCAAGAAAACATATCATTGAGCAATGAACTGTGAAAATGAGGTCAAGATCAAACAAAACCTGCCAGACTGACATGTACATCGTAAAATATTTCCATACAACAAATACAGTTGACCTGTTGCATACAGTCTTAGAAAAACAGACCAAAACACAAAACCTTAACTTTAACCACTGAACCATGAAAATGAGGTCAAGGTCAGATGACACCTGCCAGTTGGACATGTACACTTTACAATCATTCCATTCACCAAATATAGTAGACCTATTGCTTAAAGTATCTGAGATATGGACTAGACCACGAATTTTTTTTTCAAGTAGTCACTGAACCATGAGAATGAGGTAGAGGACAATGGACTATGAAAGATGCAAATTTCATAACATAAGGCATCTATATACAAAGTATGAAGCATCCAGGTCTTCTACCTTCTGAAATATTAAGCTTTTAAGTAGTTAGTTAACGCCGCCGCCAGATCACTATCCCTATGTTGCTTTCTGCAACAAGAGTCGTAGGCTCAACAAAAATGAACAAGATCAATACTGGGTCTGGACTTGCTTTGCTGCATGCAATTGATTGAAGTAACATGTATACTGGAGCACAACTGATTATTCCCATACCCAGGATTAAAATCATTCACTTCGATAGGAACCAAGAAAAGTTTGATGAAAATTTTCCTTGTAAAATTACGAACTATCAGCAAACAGGAAGTAGCTACATGGCAGATGTAATAAAATGCTCCCTGGGCGCAGCTTGATATGACCGCAGAGGTCGAACCCTGAACAGTTGGGGCAAGTATGGACACAACATTCAAGCTTGATACAGCCCTTAATTTGGATTGTGATTAAATATTTGACACAGCATAGGTTTCTGACACAGAATGAATGTGGTCTAAGAACTTAAAAATTTTTAATTTACCTATTCAAACCATATCATTATTATTTGCTTTTATATTATATATAAATCAGGAAAATTTTAAAGGGAAAAAAAGGAACCCCCCCCCAATTTTTTGAACCCCCTAATGATTCATCATCCCCAAACTCAATCCCAGCCTTCCCTTTGTGGTATGGTGCCTTGCAGTACAATTTCAGAGAGATCCATACACTTGAACACAAGTTATTGTCTGGAAACTAGAAAAAATCTTGTTTTTTGGCCCCAAATTCCTAAACATTTAGGGCAAATATCCCCAAACTCAAACCCAGCTTTCCCTTTGTGATATGGAACCTTGTAGTACAATTTCATAAAGATCCATACACTTACACACAAGTTATTGTCCTGAAACTAGAAAAATACTTGTTTTTTGCCCCTTTTTTGCCCCTAATTCCTAAAATTTTGAGGCAATTACCCCCAAAATCAATCCCAGCCTTCCCTTTGTGGTATGGTACCTTGCAGTACAATTTCAGAGAGATCCATACACTTGAACGCAAGTTATTGTCTGGAAACTAGAAAAATGATTATTTTTGGCCCCTTTTTGGCCACTTATTCATTAATGTTTAGGGCAATTAACCCCAAACTCAATTCCAGCTTTTCCTTTGTGATATGGAACCTTTTAGTACAATTTCAGAAAGATCCATACACTTGAACACAAGTTATTGTCATGAAACTAGAAAAATGCTTGTTTGTTACCCCTTTTTTGGCCCTTAATTCCTAAAATTATGAGGCAATTACCCCCAAAATCAATCCCAGCATTCCCTTTGTGATATGGAACCTTGTGGTACAATGTCAGAGAGATCCATACACTAACACACAAGTTATGTCTGGAAGTTACAAAAATGCTTATTTTTGGCCCCTTTTTGGCCCCTAATTCCTTAACTGATGGTACCATAACCCCCAAAATCAATCCCAACCTTCCTCTTGTGGTATTGAACCTTGTGGTACAATTTCATAGAGATCCATTCCCTTAAACTAAAGTAAGAGTGCGAAAACCAATGTGTCTTCGGACGTCGACAACGACGACACCAACGTCATACCAATATACGACTGCAAAATTTTTTTGCGGTGGTATAAAAATTGCTTACTCACTGCAACTCAGCATTAACAAGCTGTAGACCAAATATTAAATCATCCCCTTTCATAGAAGCCAAGAAAACTTTTAGGAAAGTTTTCTTTCTTTCTGATAGACAAACAGACAAACAGAGTCAAGCGGTTACTAGACATGCTTCTGCATTGGGCGATGCAGGTAATGAAGCTAGAAAGCCAACTTCACTGGAATCCCTTATCAGCCTTGCTTTGTGCATTCAGATCTTTCAACAAGTGATTGTGCATCACTGAAGTCAAATAATAGACTTTGGATCAACCTCAATGTCACACTTGACAAAGTATGTGTGAAACAAGAATGTGTCCATAGTACACAGATGCCCACTCTCACTATCATTTTCTATGTTCAGTGGACTGTGAAATTGGGGTCAAAACTCTAATTTGGCATTAAAATTAGAAAGATCATATCATAGGGAACATATGTACTAAGTTTCAAGTTGATTGGACTTCAATTTCATCAAAAAATACCTTGACCAAAAACTTTAACCTGAAGTGACTAAAAACTTTAACCTGAAGCGGGACAGACGGACGAATTGACAGACCGACGAACAGACGAACAGACAGAAAAACATAATGCCCCTAGGTGGGGCATAAAAAACTATGTTACTCTCATCCTAGAATCATTTTTTAAGTGTTTCTTTTTACTCTTTACTGAAGTTTATTCAATAATACATAATTTTGCTAAATTATCATTGCCTCAGGCTTAACAAGGGTGGTTAATTCTTATTGTTGCAGGTGAAATAATCATAATTGAGAAGACATTAAATGTGTTTTCTAAGCATACACCACTTCTAATTCAAAGTATCATAAAGAAGGTGAATGACAGATCTGAAAAGCACTTACCCGGTACAGATAACAAATGATCACTGTCAAGCTGCCGACTAAATATGCCATCATTCTGTTCAGTAAAAATAGAGATATGTGTGACCGAAATATAAGGTCATTCAACAAATTGAAAATTCAAAGTATCAGGAAATAAGAAATTGCTGTCAGTCAGATCTGCTAAGTGCTCATATGATACAAATTATAACTGTCAAGAAAATAAGAATATGTTCTGTTGAGTATAGTACCTGAGAAAGTGTGAGGGCAATATTTGTTGGACGAAAGGACCGAAAAGTGTATGTTATGTAGTCCCAATCACTAGAGTGAGGGCATAAACAATTTTTGGTTAACTATTTTATCCTTTTTGTGGAAATGTGAGGGCAATATTTGTTGGACAAAAAAACAGACAAGTAGAGTGTAATGTAGTCCTATAGTTTGGGTATAATTATTATAAATCCTTGAGGCTCATCTTGGGGAGAATATCAACAATGTATACTTTTGATTTTTTTTGTATTTTATAATTTAACACAAATAAGAATATGTTGAACATTTTATTTCTGTATGCTCACATGATAGTAATTCACTGATTGCACATAAAATGATATCAATTTCTAAATACATGACAGTAAAACAAGAATAACATGTTTGAAACTTATATGAAAATATGCCCTTTTAGCAAAGCACTACTGAAACAAAATGTATGAATTTATGTCATTCAATATAGACCAGTAACCAGTTTGATATATTATTATGTACCTTTAAAAATATATTTAGATTAATTTTTTGTAGAATTTTTAAGTATGATGGTTACTGAAACAAAACGTATATGTACAAGCAAAACCTGTGGATACAAATAAAGAGACAAATATCTCTGATAACATTGTTATAACCATTCAAGGTACTACACTGTTTTTACATCCCTGTCCTTATATCAAATATGTTCATTTAAGGATGTTCGCTAATCTTGTTTATGATTTTTTGTCAGTTATTAGGAATCCTCTGGTTTTATCCATGTGGTGCCATTAAAAGCATTTTCCTGATAACCCTTACTGTACTTTATATTATTTTATTACATATAGTTTAAGGATGTTCGCCACTCTGTTTTAAAATAACAAGCTTTTTAAAAGACTGTTCTAAATTTATAGTATATAAATAAAGGAACCAAAAAAGCAGAAAAAAATTAAGGGTCCGTGTGCTTGCTTTTGAGATATAAGCCATTGAAAATTTGGCGGGAAATGATTCTCTCTAGATTTTTCATACTTTTAACATTGTCCGCTTTTCTCTTTTAAAAACTATGAAAAAATAACAAGGATTTTATAAGATTTTCAAATATGGCTATTAAAACTATATGAAATAAAATTATGAAAAGAAAAGTAGGGGTAAGTGGACAAAATTTTTTAATGGCAAAACATGGATAAAACCAGAGGATTCCGAAAAATCTGGCAAAATTTCAAAAACAAGAGGAGCGAACATCCTTAAAAAGGCATTTTTGGTAATCTTATAAAACCCTTGTTATTTTTTCATAGTAAGGTACCAATGTTAAATGTATGAAAGATCAAGAAAAAAATAATTTCCCGTCAACTTTTCAATGACTTATATCACAAAAACAAGGACATGGACCTTGCATTTTATTTCTCCTTTTTTAGTTCAGTTATATATATACTATCTATCTATAGCAGTCTTATTAAAAAGCTTGTTATTTCAAAACAGAGTAGCAAACATCCTAACTTAACTTACAAGGGCTTAACAAGTCAGATAAAGCTCAATTTTGTTTTCTTTTAGTAGTACCCAAAAAAACTTTATTAACCTATTTACCATAAAAACTATGTCGCTTTATTTAACTTGACAGTAGATACATGACAAAATCAAACATTTTGTAAATGGATTCTACACACATTTGTCCCTTTCTTAATTAGGTTGTATGATTAATATCCAGTATTTGCCAAAACCAATTCTTATTTTTATAAAAAAAAAATAATTAATTTGACAGAGGATGTGGAATTATTATTAAATTTTTTTCAAGAAATAATATTAAAACAAAGGTATATGTCCAAAATGAATTACCAAGCACAAAAGTTTTAAGGAATCATTATCTTTTGACCTCATGTTATATAAAATAAGCCAAGTTTCAAAAACGAAATTTGTAAATGTTCTATCTAAGCAATTCATCTTACTGTAATGTTAAATTTAAATTTGATTATTTCAAGACTTCTGTAACACAAGATTGGCTATCTAAAATCCTAAATTAAACGTTCAGTGCAAAAGTTTGTTGAATATCTATTAAGTTTGTGTTATGCATACATTTATAGTTTTCACTTTATGAATATTAATAAAATGCTCCACTGGGCACAGCTTGATACGACCGCAGAGGTCGAACCCTGAACAGTTGGGGCAAGTATGGACACAACATTCAAGCTTGATACAGCACTGAATTTGGATTGTGATAAAATATTTGACACAGCATAAGTTTCTGACAGAATGAATGTGGTCTGAGAACTTAAAAATTTTTGATTTACCTATTCAAACCATATCATTATTATTTGCTTTTATATATAAATCAGAAATAACCAATTTGAAATGGAAAATTTTAAAGAAAAATAAATGTGGATAGTGTCCACATGTGGACACAGATGATGCCCCCGCTTGCATATCATATAGTTATAAAGGGACATAACTGAAGAACGGTAAAAGTGACGCTACCCAAATTTGAACTTGATCTGAGTTTTGTGGTAATAAGCATTGTGTGTCGGTCTCATAACATTTGGTTGAGGCTAACTTAAAGGGAAAATCCGCAATTTTTTTACTTACCATCAAAAGATGTTCCTTATAACATAAAAAACACATTCACAAAGTTTTAAATTTATATTGCCTCTAATAACGGAGAAAATCAAGTGTTTGTAACTTTTTTGGTTGACATACGTCATTGGGTTGTGACATTTTAACCTGATTTAGTGAATGATGGGAAATAATAAAATCAGTTCAAGTCTTAATCGCGTATCGAATTTTTCCGTAATTAAAAGCGTGCAGATAACTGTTTCTCGTAGCTAATAACCACAAAAGAGGAATGAAAGATGTGACGCTACCCAAATTTGAACTTGATCTGAGTTTTGTGGTAATAAGCATTGTGTGTCAAGTCTCATAACATTTGGTTGAGGCTGTGTGTAAGTCTCATAACATTTGGTTGAGGCTAACTTAAGTAGAGAACAGAAACTAAAAATTCAGCAATTTTTCTATTTGTTAACACGCATAACTCTAGAACGGTTGTGTATAAGTTTTATAACATTTGGTTGAGACAAACTAAAGTTAGAGAACGGAAACGAAAAATTCAGCAATTTTTATGTTTATAAAGGGACATAACTCAAGAATGGTAAATTGAAGCCACCAAATTTCGTACTTAATCTGTATTATGTAGTAATAAGCATTGTGTATAAGTTTCATAACATTTGGTTGAGGCAAACTAAAGTAAGAGAACGGATACAAAAAAATTGTACATTATCTTAGTTTTGAGGTAATGAATATTGTGTATAGGTTTCATAATGTTTGGTTGGGGCAAACTTAAGTTACAGAATGGAAACAAAAAATTTTGCAATCTTTCGATTTATAAAGGGCATAACTCAATAATGTTTAAAGTGACACTACCCAAATTCAACTTGATCTGTGTTTTATCAGTGGAAGGCAAAATTAAACATTGCATTGTATAAAGCATTGATTGTAGTTGATTCAATTATAATCATGGACAAAGGAAGATAACTCCAATTTTAAAAATGACTTGATATTTCGAAGAAAAAAAAGAAAAATTTAACAATTTTTCCATTTGTAAAGGCCATAACTCTAGAACAGTAAAAGTGATGGCACCAAAATTCAAACTTGATCTGTATATTGTGGTAATAAGCATTATGTATAAGTTTCATAACATTTGGTTGAGGCAAACTTAAGTTAGAGAACGGAAACGAAAAATTTAGCAATTTTTCCAGCTAAATTTTTCCATTTGTAAAGGAGCATAACTCTAGAACGGTAAAAGTGACGCCACCAAAATTCAAACTTGATCTGTATTGAGTGGTAATAAGCATTGTGTATAAGTTTCATAACATTTGGTTGAGGCAAACTAAAGTTAGAGAATGGAAACCAACTTTGGGACGGTCGGACGGACGTACAGACGGACAAGGGTAACTTAATGCCCCCTCTGCTACAGCCGGGGCATAAAAAGAGGAAAAAAAATCCACCCCCCTTCCAAATTTTTTGAACCCCCTGATGATTCATCACCCCCAAACTCAATCCCAGCCTTCCCTTTGTGGTATGGTACCTTGCAGTACAATTTCAGAGAGATCCATACACTTGAACACAAGTTATTGTCTGGAATCTAGAAAAATGCTTGTTTTTGGCCCCTTATTCCTAAACGTTTTGGGCAATTACCCCCAAACTCAATTCAAGCTTTCCCTTTGTGATATGGAACCTTGTAGTACAATTTCATAAAGATCCATACACTTTCACATAAGTTATTGTCCGGAAACTAGAAAAATGCTTGTTTTTTGCCCCTTTTTGGCCCCTAATTTCCTAAAATTTTGAGGCAATTACCCCCAAAATGAATCCCAGCCTTCCATTTGTGGTATGGTACCTTGCAGTACAATTTCAGAGAGATCTATACACTTGAACACAAGTTATTCTCTGGAAACTAGAACAATGCTTATTTTTTGGCCCCTTATTCCTAAACGTTTCAGGCAATTACCCCCAAACTCAATTCCAGCTTTTCCTTTGTGATATGGAATCTTGTAGTACTATTTCAGAGAGATCCATACACTTGAACACAAGTTATTCTCTGGAAACTAGAAAAATGCTTATTTTTGGCCCCTTTTTGACCCCTTATTCCTAAACGTTTCGGGCAATTACCCCCAAACTCAATTCCAGCTTTTCCTTTGTGATATGGAACCTTGTAGTACAATTTCAGAGAGATCCATACACTTGAACACAAGTTATTCTCTGGAAACTAGAAAAATGCTTATTTTTGGCCCCTTTTTGACCCCTTATTCCTAAACGTTTCGGGCAATTACCCCCAAACTCAATTCCAGCTTTTCCTTTGTGATATGGAACCTTGTAGTACAATTTCAGAAAGATCCATACACTTGAACACAAGTTATTCTCTGGAAACTAGAAAAATGCTTGTTTTTTGCTCCTATTTTGGCCCCTAATTCCTAAAATTTTGAGGCAATTACCCCCAAAATCAATCCCAGCATTCCCTTTGTGATATGGAACCTTGTGGTACAATGTCAGAGAGATCAATACACTAACACACAAGTTATGTCTGGAAGTTACAAAAATGCCTATTTTGGCCCCTAATTCCTTAACTGTTGGTACCATAACCCCCAAAATCAATCCAAACCTTCCTATTGTGGTATTGAACCTTATGGTAAAATTTCATAGAGATCCATTCACTTAAACTTAAGTTAGAGTGCGAAAACCAATGTGTCTTCTGACGATGATGATAACGACGCCAACGTCATACCAATATACAAACGGCTGGAGTACTTAACAAGTTATTATTGTTGAATGAAGTATCATAAATACTTAATACAATATTTTCTTAATAGAATGGTCAAGTATGACCACCACACAAAATGTTAAGTGGATTTCAATTATTTTAACCTATGAGTGAGGCATTTATATGACAATATGCTAGATGGATGCATTTTAAAGAAAATTCTATAGTATATACAATAATGATAGATCGTATCTCTAAATACGCAGCACCAAACTGGAATAATTTAGGATGACAGAGGTGATATGAAGTTATCTACATGTATAAATGATGCACATAAATATTTATAAATTATGTGAAAATATGGTCAAAGTTTAAATGACTTACAACACTGAACTGCAAATGCTATCTAAAAATTTAACATATTTAAAATTCAAGCAATGTTTATCATTACAAGTCATTTCAAAATTCTTTATTGGGGCAATGAAGTCAATTATACATGAAAATGAACACAAATGATATAATGGTCATTTATTCTAAAAAAAGAACCAAACTAATGAAAATATCTTAAAAAAAAACCTTTTCAATGATCATATTGTTATATGTTCAAGAAATTTCACATGGATGTTAAAATGTATTGTGTTTTATTATTCCAATCGTCTGACTTTCAAAAAAATTCTTAAGGGGTTCCCGGAACCCTGTGTCTCGCCTGCAATTGCTGCAGTCAGTGTAAAAGTATAATGTTGACTTAAAAAGTGAGTCCATTTATCAGTAAAATACAGAATTTAAAAATAAAATCCTACTTTTTCTTTAGATGCTATTTCTTGATCTTGAAGATTAGTTTCTGTCCAAGTTCCATAACAATCCATGAAGGTTTACAAATTTATCATGTCAAAAAAAATTAATCCCAGACTGTCCATATGTTAACTGTAAAAAACAAAGTCCATCTATCAGAAAAATATTTAAAAGTGAAAAAAATATATTTTTAAATGTTTTGTTCAGACATTACCTCTTAATCATTAAAAAGATTTGACAAAGTTATTGATGACTGAAAAACTTAAACCTCACACTCTATCTGAATGTTAACTGTAAAAAAATTAAGTCCATTTGTCAGCAAAATTCGGAAAAATGAAAATAAATATTTCCAAAATTTTGCTCTGGATACTGCATTTTGGTCATAAACAAGCTTCTGTCTAAATTTCATAAAATTCTATGTAGGTTTGATAAAGTTATTGATGTCTAAAAAAAAACTAGGATCGCTATGTCTCGCTTTTCGCGAAATAAATTTCGCAGGCTCAACAAAAATGAAGATTGATAAGACACAGACAAAGAAGTGGACACCAAAACAAACTGGATGATAAACAGCCATTTGAAAATTACCCGTTTTGCATAACAAATGCAGGGTACTAAAAAGTATACAAGTACTGCATTGGTTTGTTTGTACAATTTTATTGGTATAGTAAAATGGCTGACTACAGGATATATTTTGTATGCACCAATTTTTATGGTTTCATGGAAATGTAGACCTATTTCAAATTGCTAAGAGTACCAAAAATTACTATACAATGTTCAATAAGGAATCAAATGATTGCCTGTTTATTTTAAAAGTGTGAAGCCAACTAGCTTTCAAGTCGAGAGTTAAATAAAATACCATTTATTATACATTAGATTTATAGCATTCAGGGAAACCATTTAAACATTAAATCCGTAAGTTGGTTCCTACATCTTTTCTCCTAGAAATAAAATTCTTGAAAAAAGTTGTTTCTACAAGAATAAATGAAGAGATTTTACCTCCACTCAAAAGTTTTTATTTACGTTATCTGAATGAGTTTGTAATTTTAATTCAAAAAATAAGAATTTTACAGTATCAATTTAATAAAAGGAGAAAATTTAAATTAGTGGCTGATTAATTGATTGTTGCTTGCTTGTCCAGGTGCAATAATCAATGAAGTTTTTAGTAATTAAGTTCATTTGAATCCCTCAAATTTTTTTAATCTTTAACAATATCTCATCATTAGACTTGCCATATAAACTGCACTGAAGTTACTGTGACATATGGACATTTTTTGTCATAATAAAAAATCCTATTAAAGTATTAGAGAATAAAATATAAAAGGGACCTCAATCTATTTGAAAAACTAAAATATCAATTATGAGATACCTGTAAGCTTTATTTCAAGATTTGAGCAGGGGATAAGTTTTTTTTATAATTTCCTTTTAAAAAAGTACAGACGATAATTTTGTTTGTGCTAGTTTTGATGAAAAACAAAGTAAACAATCACATGAAGCTAAAATATCAAGCAATCATATTTATATACTCAAAAATAATCTATTTGTATATCCATAAAAATTCCCCAAAAATGACCTGTTCTTTCTTAAAGTTACCTAACCTAAGAGAAGAAAACAGACTTGCATTTCAAAAAGATAGATAACTTCAGCTAGAATCACTGAACTGTATCATTAACAGTAGAAACGAAAAAAGCTTCATTCACTTTAAAACCATGAAAAACTGGAATTCCTTCTCCACATTAAATTAATTATAAAAAATATTAACTTGGACCAATTAACTTCGAGCACTTGAATAATTGAATATAAAAATTTCAAGAACTCTTAAAATTTTCAACATCACATGTTCTTACATGTTTTTCTATTACATTTTGTTCTGATTGACAGAGTTATAGTTGAAATAAATTACCTGAAAATGAAAGCTGATTTGGTGATGATATGAGGATTACATGTAATAAATGAAACATAGAACAACATAGTAAAAATCGGCAAAAACTTTAAATAATATTTACAGTTCACTCTGGTTATTTATGTTCTAAAACAACAAGTAATATTTCTTTCAATTTAATAAATAAATCAAGTAATGGCCACTGAAAAGTTACTGCATTCTAACATATTATGAATTTATACAGAAAACTGGCAGTAGTACTTTGAGATTCATCTTTAAGCACTATTCTCCTTTTCTATAGATGGAAATGAATTAGCTGTTTTCAAAAACTAACGAAACCATGGGTAATATCGAAACCAAATATAAAAACTTTGTGACTAGACGATGATGCCCTAAACAACTGATATCAAACTAATAATGTAATGTTATTTTCATTTTGTGTAGGAACAATGACATCACCCACATATTTTCTAGATTTTGATACAGTCAACACAATATAAGGTAGGAAATTTATTGTCACTCAATGTGAGCTCTGCAGAAATGCATGAAATTATGTAAATTAAATCTAAATTGGAAGTTTGCAAGATTGGTTAAAGCATCCATTCACTTTTGTTAAGTTTGTAACCAGATTGTTCAGTTAAAACATACTTATATTCATAAAAAAACGTTTGATCCTTATAATTCCTTCACACAAAAACATAGTTAAATATTAAGTTTTTTACTAAATATCAACTATTGGCTAGTACCTTTCACCTCAGACACGTTCATATAACACATGTACACTAACAAATGAAATTTACAACATAATAAAAATTTAATGAACAGTATCTGAAGTATTTTAAAAATCAACAATAATTTAAAGCAATTAAAACAAAACAGAACAGAACAGAACATCAACATAAGTTTTAGATTCTGACATTTATGATTGTCAGAGACTGAGAAGATAAAGTTTATCCAGACACAAACCACTTTTAGTAAAATTTATAAAAAAAAGTGGCCAAAGAATTAGAAATAATTTTTCAAATGTGCAAATTCTGCATAATGTCAAAATATCTGAAAATTCCATTTTTTACTTTAAAAGAAGCTAAATGAATTTCTAATTCCCCAAAAATCAACAGTCATGGTGTTTATCCAATGGTGTTCAGCATTTTAAATAATCAAATAAAATTTTGTTTGTTTGTTTTATAAATTCTAATAAGAGTATATCAAAATTATTTAATTTGTTAAGGTTTTTGTTCTGAATACCAATATTTATAAACAACCAAAATAAATGTTTATGTTTTGGTTTAGTTTCTGTTTTTTTATAATCTTAACCTATATATTTTGATCATTTTACCCTAAACAATTTGATTATGATTAAGGTACTTCATTTCAATACATAAAATAGTATCTTCATCTTTCCTAGACAAATCTATTAAATTGAGGTATTTATGACATACGCAAGCACACTTAGCAAGTTTTTGCTTAGAAGAGCAAATTTAAGGAAGATGTTAAAAAAAATTAAAATATCCTCTTCAGTCCTCCGGTTCCTCTGCTAACATATCATACGCTGAGATTTTTAACTGAATTTCTACAGTTCCATTATGATAACAAGATCCATCTCTAGAAGGAGCAGAATCAAAACATTCATTGTTGATAACCAACAACTGGGATCAAATCTATCACATAAAACTATATTTTAGGGTGCTGTTTGAGGCTGCTGTTGTCTCTTTGCATGTGGTGTCCATTTTAAACATGCTGCATCAATTGTTTTAAAGTCAGTTGGACGTTTCACTTTCTTCTCCAAGTAACTATCAATAAGATCCTGTGAAAGAAAATATAGGCAAAATTCAAATATCATATATGTATTTATTTTATACATTTTAATGACCTTGTTTTTGACCTTCATTTAGTGGAGGAGAGAATTAAAATCTACAACAACACTGTAACATTGTAAGACTGAAATCAGTTTTAACTAGGTTTTCAATGAGTTTAAAACTGTTACAGCCGATTTCAATGAGTGTGTAGCTAAAGGTTATATCTTTGGTTAGCTTGCTTGCTAGCTGAACCATGCAGTCATTGTCAGGTAAAGTATACTACCCTCCTTTCGAAGTAGCCTAGTCCTACAGACAGATTGGTAATATGTCAGACTAGTCTACTCTTAAAGGAGGGTAGATTACCTAACCTAACAATGAATTCACGGTTCAGCTAGCAAGCAAGCTAACCAAAGATATTACCTTTGCCTACACACTCATTGAAATCGGCTGTAAATGTTCTTATTATTGATTAATTAAATCAGTACTGCATTGTAAATCATAGAAGATAAATGTGGAAAGTGTCCACATGTGGACACAGATGATGCCCCCGCTTGCATATCATATAGTTATAAAGGGACATAACTGAAGAACAGTAAAAGTGACGCTACCCAAATTTGAACTTGATCTGAATTTTGTGGTAATTAGCATTGTGTGTAAGACTCATAACATTTGGTTGAGGCTAACTTAAGTCGAGAACAGAAACTAAAATTCAGCAATTTTTCTATTTGTAAACACGCATAACTCTAGAACAGTTGTGTTTAAGTTTTATAACATTTGGTTGAGACAAACTCAAGTTAGAAAACGGAAACGAAAAATTCAGCAATTTTTATGTTTATAAAAGGACATAACTCAAGAATGGTAAAAGGGTTGCCACCAAATTTCGTACTTAATCTGTTTTATGTAGTAATAAGCATTGTGTATAAGTTTCATAACATTTGGTTGAGGCAAACTAAAGTTAGAAAACGGAAACAAATTAATTTATCAGTAGGAAGTAAAATTGAATATTGCATTGTATAAAGCATTGGTTGTAGTTGATTCAACTACCATTATGCACAAAGAAAGATAACTCCAATTTTCAAAGAAGACTTTAAAATATTTTTAGAAATGAAGGGTAAAAATTGCTTTAATTTATCAGTGGAAGGCAAAATTAAACATTGCATTGTATAAAGCATTGACTGTAGTTGATTCAACTATAATCATTGACAAAGGGAGATAACTCCAATTTTAAAAATGACTTGATATCAAGAAAAAAAAAAAAGAACAATTTTACAATTTTTCCATTTGTAAAGGGCATAACTCTAGATCAGTAAAAGTGACGGCACCAAAATTCAAACTTGATCTGTATATTGTGGTAATAAGCATTGTGTATAAGTTTCATAACATTTGGTTTAGGCAAACTTAAGTTAGAGTACGGAAACAAAAATTTTGGCAATTTTTCCATTTGTAAAGGAGCATAACTCTAGAACGGTAAAAGTGACGAAACCAAAATTCAAACTTGATCTGTATTTAGTGGTAATAAGCATTTTGTTTAAGTTTCATAACATTTGATTGAGGCAAACTAAAGTTAGAGAACGGAAACCAACTTTTGGACGTACGGACGGACGTACAGATGAACAAGGGTAAAACTCAATGCCCCCTCCGCTACGGCGGGGGCATAAAAATTGTGTAGCAATATAAATGAAACAAATGTGGATAGTGTCCACATGTGGACACAGATGATGCCCCTGCTTGCATATCATATAGTTATAAAGGGACATAACAGAAGAACAGTAAAAGTGACGCTACCCAAATTTGAACTTGATCTGAATTTTGTGGTAATAAGCATTGTGTGTAAGTCTCATAACATTTGGTTGAGGCTCACTTAAGTCGAGAACAGAAACTAAAATTCAGCAATTTTTCTATTTGTAAACACGCATAACTCGAGAACAGTTGAGTATAAGTTTCATAACATTTGGTTGAGACAAACTAAAGTTAGAGAACAAAACGAAAAATTCAGCAATTTTTATGTTTATAAAGGGACATAACTCAAGAACGGTAAAAGTGACACTACACAAATTTCAACTTGATCTGAGTTTTGTGGTAATAAGCATTGTTTGTAAGTCTCATAACATTTGGTTGAGGCTAACTTAAGTAGAGAACAGAAACTAAAAATTCAGCTATTTTTCTATTTGTTAACATGCATAACTCTAGAACGGTTGTATATAAGTTTTATAACATTTGGTTGAGACAAATTCAGCAATTTTTATGTTTATAAAGGGACATAACTCAAGAATGGTAAAAGTGTCGCCACCAAATTTTGTACTTAATCTGTATTATGTAGTAATAAGCATTGTGTATAAGTTTCATAACATTTGGTTGAGGCAAACTCAAGTTAGAGAACGGAAACCAAATTTGGGACGTACGTACAGACGGACAAGGGTAAAACTTAATGCCCCCATCGCTACGGCGGGGTCATAAAAAATTCTGTATGTGTAAATTATTGTAAAAATATGAACTATATGTTTTCTGCTCTTTGGTCGGGTTGTTGTCTCTTTGACACATTCCCCATTTCCATTCTCAATTTTATTATTATTCACTGGTGCAGTAATGATATCAAGAAGTGAAATATTTAGAAGTGATGTTTTTTAGTTAATAATTTGAAATATAGTTCCTATACATTTTTGAGTTAATAATTTGTTATGAAGTGTCAACGGAGATTAAATTTCCAACATTATTGTCCCCATTAATCAATTTAAAAGTAAACTCAGATGTTATGAATGATGACGCAAAGAAAATATAGGCATCAGCTGAGAGATCTAAAAGTGCACAAACTTACTCTTGAATAAGAAGTTAAGAAGTGATGATCAATGATGTAAATGTGATATATTCATACAGCAATCATAATCAACTTCTTCTAATAATTAATGTTTTTTTCTTTCAAAAATCTTTCACCTTGACTCTCTCATTAAATTACCTGTGCTAGGATCTTATATCAATCAGGATATTCTTTATGAAGAAAAACATAAACTTTTTTACATATACCACACATTTTAATTACCTGTCTCCGTAAAATTAGATGTTTTCCCTTCCAGTATTTCAACATGCCTAAAGCCTGCAGAGTACTGACAATATCATTGGCATTTATGGCTGTTTCTGTGCTAATATCTGTAATTAAAATGTATACCGGTAATGAAAATAGGGTTTACATTTTGAACAAAAATGATAGGATTTCCTACACAACCAAAAACGTCAATTTATACAAAACACAATTATGAGGGTTTATTTTCAGTAAACTTACAACAAAGCATATTTGCATTATTTGCAAAAAACTTTGGTAAACAAGAACAGTTGCTGGTTTAACAAATTAAACATGAAGTGATACTCTTCATCAATTATTGCGAACCAAATGAAAGTTTTCCAGAGTCATCTCCTATTGGTCAAGGTTTTTAAACTTTTGTCAGTTCACTTGACCCATGGAATGAATACAATAGCTATTGTTCTCTGTTATTCACCACAACCTTTAAATTTCTTCTAAGAGAAATCCATCATTCATTGATTAATTTACCTAACCAAAAAAATGACCTTCTTAGTTGATGAAAATACCTGTTTCAACTCACAAAAGTGCATGTGATGTGGTATTTATTCAATATCCATTATATATTTTCAATCTGTTCAATATAAACACTAATTTAATTATTAAAAGTTGATTTCTGACAAAGTTTTTAGCATTGTTCCTATTGAAATTTGCTTTTTTTTTGGTGTTTTTTTTAGTTATAGAATACATTTAGGAAGGCCGGAATTTAAACATCCTCATTTTCCAGTTTTTATTTGTCAAACACACAAAAAACCAAATTTCAATAGATATAATATTGAAAATTTTGTCAGAAATCAAATTGTAATGCTTGAATCAGTGTTTATACTGAACAAATTAAAAATGTATTATTGATATTGAATAAATACAACATCACATGCAGTTATGTGTGTCCTTATTTAGTATTGGTACATGTATTTTCATCATTGAAAGTTAAATTTTTTGTTCAGGTAAATTAATCAAAGAGTGATAGATTTCTCTTATAAGAAATTTAAAGATTCAATTGAGTGAACTCCACAGAGAACAAGAGCTGTTATATTTATTAGAAAAGTTTAAATCGACAGGTAACCTACAAGTGAATCTGTGGAAAAGTATCATTTCTTCCCAATAAAGTGTTTTGCATCTCAAATCCTAGTGAATTACGCCATCCAACTTATCTAAAGCCTGCTGATGTTGAGGTCAATCTAAAGAAGAACCAGCATCAAAGAACAATAATCATTTGTATATGTACTTTAAGGCTGTAGATCTCCTTGATTGGCTTGAAATCTTTTAAATGCAAAGAAAAAATTCCACAGAGTAACTTTTTTTTAATTGAAATGAAGTATCAGTCAATTTAAAAAACAAACCTTTGATACAAATTTCACTGCCTTTATACTTGTGGATATATCCTAATAATGTATCTTTCCAGTAGCTACGGTAACTAAGCAGACCAAGGTCAGATAAAGGTCTTTCAGGTGATCCTACTTTGTTTTCTGTTTTACTTAATAAATAACCTGAAAACAAAAACATAAGTCCAGGAATTGTGCCTTAAACAAGTCTGCAATGAAATACCTTTAGTAGTACAAAACTACTATGCAAAATTTGTAAATGAGCATATTGAATATATTGTTCTTCACCATAATACAAAGAAAAACATTATTTGTAGTTAAGCAACTGATTTAATTGATATTTTATAAAAAGGTTGTGAACTTTTGATGACTAAGGACATGTGATAAATGCTATTCAAAATTTGTAACAAAAAAATGGATACACTTTAGCAAAATCATATTTATATAATTACATTACATGTATGTTTCATTATAATACGTTATTTTGATTCGCTAACCTAAATCTCACGTCATTCTAAGATCATCCTTCATTTCAAAATTAAATGTAACATTCATGATAACACAAGCTTCCACAATAAAATGCAAAGGTAAATAAAAGAAAAACTTGATAGAAATCGTGTTTTCATGATCCTAGCAAAAAAATATAATTACAAATACTGAATGCTTGTTTTAGTAATTTTAAAGGGTTGTAAAAGCATTGACCGCATATTTTTAGAATGAACCGCTTCCGCTTCATACAAAATGTACTTCGGTCAACACTTTTACACCCCAATAAATTTACAAAAAGAAGCATTCAATTCTTAAATAAAACTGAATGAGTTGTAAAGAGATGAAGTTCTTCTAAACCTGATATGATTTCCATTTTTTTGTAATTGCAACATTAAAAGTTTTCACATGTTTTATCTAAGTCAAAGAACTTCACTCAATAACATTTCTTCAATGATATTATGAGAAAACAATAGATCATTTACAAGACTAAATCAAATTAAATCTTCATCATTATGAAAATTATTTAATAAGTTCAGTTATTTTGACGCTGAAGGAAATGCAAAAATAATATTTTATATACAAATATTATGTACTTTTAAATTTTTTTTTTACAGAACTAGAACATATTAAATTGATTACTGTCAATTCAGAAATTATTTCAAGGTTTTTATTAATGTGAATAATGTGAAGAGGTGCATACATACCCAATAATAAAAACTCACATTCTGATATCTGATACATATATCTGTATGCAGATTTTCCAGGATTCACAATAATTAATCTTTCATTTTTGTCCATTTTTCAAAAATCGCAATATCAAATGCACACAACAATTTGTGAATTTACAGTAATTGATCGCTGTTTAACATCCAACAGCAAATATAACATGCATAAACAGGATAGCAACATGTCAATGGGATGTTAACACATCATTATTTATATAAGACTGACACAATGAATCAGATTTTTATGGTGCTAGCTCAAAAAGGTATCATCTACCCTACTCTGAAACCTTATTCACAAGTGGAGTCAACCAGTTTTTAATCCTACTACTAAATGCCCTATGCTTGGTGAAGAGGCAAGAAGCATTTTGTTTGAGCTGAGTGTCATAGCAAGCATGCTACCAGAAGACATCAATGGTGGTATTACTATTATCATTACTATATTATAATGAATTGGATGCCATACTTACTAAAATCTATTAACATTTTTCCAAATCCTTGTCTCATGTATTGTGGTAAGGTTAATATACAGGATACATTGTAGTTAAGAAAGGAATTCTTCTCCTGAAAATGCAAAAGAAGAAAACAAGTTATAAAAACAGGAGTTTGTGGTTTCATCAATTATTCTATGAACAAAACCCTTCTCTGTAATAATTTAAGTTTGTAAGAAAATTGCTTTTTTTTAAATTGATTTAAAAAGACTAAAGTACCTTATTGTGTCAATTTAAGAGCTGAAATTTTCCATAAACAGAATTTTTCATCCAAAAAAGTTGATTAAACATGATTACTGACATCAAATATGACCAATTTTCATTAGAATAGGTACAACTTCTAAAAATTGAATTTCTGGTCATTCTCTGTAATAGGAAGTACACCACTAATTCATGGCCCCATTGCTTTCTATGTTAAATTCCTCAATTTCAAGCAGGCACAGCTCTTTTGTTTTAAGTTCAAATAAAGTGACAATTATTGCATGTCAAAGCAACACTTTATGGTGCCTTGTACTGAAAAAATCAACATACCTTTAATGGCATATAAGAAGGGCATTTGAAACACAAAGAAGAATATAAAAGGAACTGAAAATGTGCTACATGGCATGTGAACACCTGGTGAATTCTGGTGCTACATTTAAAGAAGCAATGACTTCTAAGAAATATGGGACAAAAAAAATCATGTATTTTGTATGACATTTTAGATACAAGTTTTCTACAAATAGGTAGTAGGATATCAAAGAATTGAATACAAATTCACATGAAAAGGCATAACCTGATGAAGCTTGGTGCCATCACATGTTTTCTTTACTCTTATTAAGAAGCTTGGACTTGTACTTGGTGACAAAAATATGACAGACAAACAGACAGATGAACCAGTATACAACCTCCACCAGAGCTGGGGTAGAATAATATATACCTAAAGCATGAAGAAATTTAAAAAACACACAGGAGACTTGATAAAAATTCAAGTCCAATTTGAGGCAAACAATTTAACTTAACATCATGATCAGAACAAAGAAAGAAAATTCTGGTTTACACAACATTTTTTTTTAAATCAATTTAGATCTGCGTATGATATATATCATATAAAGGAAAATACTTTCATATCAAATGCATGTTTACTTACCTTAGAAAAATACCCAACAATGTGACAGCCATGTGAATCATTTTCTGTCATTACATAAAACAAGAATGGTTCCACATCAAAATATAATGTTTTATGGTCTAAAAACAGCTTTGCTAATAAACATAAATTCTGACAATACACCTGAAAGAAATAAATGTATATTAGAAACGATACATATGACTTCATTCATTTATGGGAATAACAGTTTTTACATCAACCACAATGTCTACAAGTTTATTTTCTATTTAATTTAAACTGCATTAGTAATTTTGGACATTGAGTTTTAAGCTTTAACCAATATGACATGAACAATAAATATAAATAGGGTTACTGCATGAATACTGGTGAATATTTTTCTAAGTAGATTTATATATTGCACAACCTTACAAGTATATTCTCCAAGGGATACTTTTGACCATTATTCATGCAATAACCCTTTTATTGTAAAGCAAAGCTTGAAAACTGTTAAAAACATATTTTTGTCAATGATGACATCACTAATTTGTAGCTCTTTCTGCACTAGTGAAATACTATACAATTACTGTCTTTTGGTGAGATAAATATGCAGTTTTATTGACTTTAGAAAAAACTGATATTCACAGAGGACGATGGCCGAAGTGAATATCAGTTTTTCAAAAGTCAATTAAACCACATATTTACCGAATCAAAAGATAGTTATTTTTTTATTCCATTTTCCGAGAGAAAACAATGTATTTGGTGTCAAATATTTACCAAAACCAATTGTATATCAAACATTTTACCACAAAGTTACAATCATGTAAACAAATGTGACGTTCAGTGCAGTGGACTACACTTTTCTACAGGTGATTTTACTTTTCTATTCAAAATCCAATTCATAAAAAGAAAACATACAAAATAATACCAATATGGAATAAGATATATTATTGCATGATACTTTTTGGTTACATTCTGTGCAAAATATGCTATTGTTAATATACAATAAAAAAAATTGTGTTCAAATATGAATTTATTCTAATAAATACATAAAAAGGATATGTATGTTTTTAACATTGTCCTGTTTTTCTTTTTTTGACACACTATTTTGTTATTCATTAACTTTAATATGTCATGAGTATTGTTTTTAGTTACCTTATTCCTTTTACCATCAACTTCAAACATAGACATATTGTTTTTACGATAAATCTCATCTCCTGGCGGATGTCTCCATACACATTTAGCCTGCAAAACAAACAGTAAGTTATTATCTTTCCAAAAAGCTTTATGATCATATTTCACATCATTTTACATCTTAAACTTAGTTTCGAGACAGGAAGTAAGATCCATTAACAAAATTTAATCACTATAAGAATGGATAATTGAAACTCAGATGAGTGTGGACAAACCATTTTCAGACAGGAAAATTTAGATTCTTGAAATGTTAGAAATCACCACACTTTTTGCATGGCTCACTGAATAAAATTTCTACAAAAATCCTTGAAAGGTTTGTTAATGTTACATTCAACTTTAAAAACATATAAAAAATCAAGTGATATTCAAAGATACTATAAATTGACTCTGATCAAATCAGTCTTTCCTTTTTCTCCAGCATGTTTATAATTAGCAATAGCAAGAAATATCAATTTGAAAGTTTTTTGATTGCTAGGGTTTGCCAAGAGATAGCTCCAATGACTCCCAAACTGAAAGTGAACATTTTACAACTGGAACATGGCAGCAGTAATTTAATACTTCATAGAAATCACAATTCATTTCAAACAGCATAAAAATCAGTCATTTGCATTTCCTTATAATTCAAGGTCATACAAAAGTGAATATAAAGATAAAAAAAATACCATACTTGTGCTAAAAAATTTACAGTTACTTTATGATTTATCACTGAACTAACACTTATACAAGGTAGAAGGTAATATTAAAGCATAAAAGCATGTGCTTATAGGAACAAGTATAGATTTAAAACAAGAATATTTTTACTTACCATATGTCGCCTTAGAATTGTGGCAGTTTTCATATATTTGAGACAAAATTCACACAGATATATTTTAGGCAGTCGAGCATATTCCTCTGGGTAAGGACTAGCATACCATGTTGTCATTTCAAACCTTCCAATCTCTAACTTCTTTATTCTGTATTCTGAGAGATCACTTTTAGTATAGTGTTGTGTTATTTCATGTTCCTGGAAAGTAAAAATATAGAAATCAAAATCTTAAAAATATAAATTCATACATCATGTACATATGCATACGGATGTTACAAATCTGTTTTTTATCATTTTAACTTCATTTAAAACAAATGTTCTAATATGAAGAATCATCAAATGACTTCTTTAATCGCATGCTAATATTGTTCAGAATTAATTAAAAATCTTATATGATTATTGTCCAGCAGTAAATATTACATGCATTTCAAGATGATAACATGCCATAAATATGAAAGTACTCTCATTTGTAAAAGATGGGCATGGTTAGCTGTTTTTTTTTTTAAATATTTAAGCTCTTAAAAGTTACAGTCTGCAGAAGAATATGTCAACCACCAACAACCTCCCCAAACTCTAAGTCAATCACATTACCAAGTCTTATTCCATGGGTTAACTATTTAATAAGTGTTATCATGAGTTTTATTATAAATCAAAATTGAGAATCCCATAACAAGGAAAACCCCCAAACTTTTAAGCTATTTTTGTATGATGAAGCACTATCATGTGATGACATATATGCCATTATAAAATAAGGAAGAAACTAGTATCTACTGTTTCAATCTATCACAATGTTTTATTTCGATTGAATTTTCAATTTTTTAAACCGGTTTTTTTTTTTTCAATTTAATTTTGATCCTTATTTGATGGGAATTTCCCTGTACTGTGGTCATTCTATCAATCCAAATTTGAGCAATAAAAACATCAGTCACATGGTCCCTTTATAAAAGGTCAGCACTTTGGTAATTTTTTACCGTTGTACAGTGTTTTCTTCAAAACTTTCCACAATCAGGATGCTGCAATCATGTTGTCAAATTTAATGTTGGGATGCAATATCATTTGCTTAACAATGCAAGCTAGGCTGCATACTTGGGTCGAGGAAAATGTATCAAACCATGGCCCTTGTTTTGAGTTTAAACAGATAAATATATTTTTTCAGCCTCAATATAAAATAACTTCTTTTACATAAAGAAAAATTGTATAACTACCAGTACTTCACAGGCCTTTGCCTGAGCTTCCCTAAACAACTTGAGATCAAACTCTGATGCTAGGCCCTGCAGCAATGGTTCTCTAGCTCTCTCATATGTGTCCTTGTATTTTCTGTGTTCAACTTTGATATCTTCTGGTATATCTCTAAACTTTTGTCTCATCCCTCGAATTTTGATCACTTTGACTTTCTGTTCATCTGTTTGAACCTTTAGGTAAAAATATGTGTAATATGGTAAATGAGCATATATTGTATAAATGATACCTGTTATTTGAACAGAAAAAGCTTCATCACCTATAGCCACACAAATTAACCCCACATCATTTTAAATACTTTTATTTATTAATAATAAACAGTTAATTTAACATGTGTCACAAGTTTTTTCAGAAATGTTTCTCTATGCAAGTGTCTTTTCACTAAAATGTAAATACCATATGAATAAATCAAATTAAAGAGTCAAAACCAATATTATATGTTATTTTTAATATAATAAACTGTTGACACAGAGATATGTCTCGCCTGTCGGCATAAATTTAAGAAAAAAAAGACAATCTGATGGACAGCAATATTGCTTATTAATTCAAAGTCGCTGGACCATGATCTAGTGGGCAGGGCCTGAAAATGGTTGACAAACTGAGATGTACATACAGTAATGTAACTTTATAGAAATTATAGTGTCTATTGAAAGTTGTTCCTATCAATCTAACTTAAGCAGAAAACTTAACATTGAAAATTGCTAATTTATTCAAAGTCACTGGACCGGCCCCAGGTCACTGGACCATGTCCTAGGGGGCAGGTCCTCAAAATAGTCATCAAACTGATATGTACTGATAGTAATGCAACTTTATACAAAATATCATTGATCTATCACAAGTAATTCTTATCAAACTGAATTAAGTAGAAAACTTATCATTGGAAATTGCTATTTTATTCAGTCACTGGACCATGACCTAGGGGGCAAGGCCTCAAAATAGTTGTCAAACTGATATGTACTGATAGTAATGCAACTTAATACAAAATATCATTGATCTATCACAGGTAGATCCTATCAAACTAACTTAAGCAGAAAATTTTACCATTGTTGACGCCGTTATCGCCGTCGCCAGAAAAGCAATCCCTATGTCTCACTTTCAGCGACTTTCGTCGCTTCAGCGACTTTCGTCACAGACAAGGCAAAAATGAAATTATACTAACCTTCCTTCTAAAATCTCGTTTATCTTGTAATGATTCCACAATTTTAACCCTGTCTAAAATATTCTTCTGTCTTTCTTCATATCGAGCCTAGTTGTTAATATAAGTTATATTTGTTTAAACATGTAGTACAAAAAATGTATATAAATAGCACCAATAGAATAAAATTCATTAATAATAATAATAATAAATTCTTTATATAATGAGGGTAAACCCAGTTAGTTACAACAAACTATTCTTCCCTGAGGCCCTCACATACTAATGACAATACAATCAAAAACAGATATTTACACATAGTTAATTTACAGTCAAGTAGTTCAATGTATTATTATAAACATGATTAGAGATAGAACTGTTCAAGAGGTACCAGTTTTTGAGTATAAAAAATATAATTTTGTCTATTTATAAGATAATTTTTTTACTCTGGTAAATTAATCAATGAGTGATAGATTTCTCCTAGAAGAAATTTAAAGGTCCCAGTGAATAAACTACACAGAGAACAATAGCTATTGTGTATTTATTCAATGGGACAAAAGAACTTGCAAAAGTTTAAATCGACAGGTAACTTTCAAGTGAATCTGTGGAAAAGTTTCATTTGGGTCGCAATAGTTCATTTTTTTTTTTCGAAAAAGTTGGTGGTAGGTGTTGTCTGTTGTACTCTTCATGTTTTTTTTTTATAATTCCTGTTACCTTTTTTTATATATTAATGTACTATCATTTAAATAGATAACACTAATACAAATTTAAAGAGAAAAAGACTAAACACTTTAAGATATATATCTATATCTTGGAAAAGTAAAATATTGCATACATATGCTAAATTTTAAATAAATATTAAAAATAAACAATACACATGTACTTACTTTACATTCATCTGCTGTTGTGTTGTGGTAAAGCGGACAGGAGGCTAATGTTCTGTGCCTATCATGCCTTCCTGTCAAGTGACCTAATAAAGAGAATTTGAATATTAAAGTAAAGATCATTTTCTATTAAAGTTAACTATAACAAATATCTTAATATGCAACAAAACTACAGTACTTAGTACAGCTTTACTTCATTATGTATCATCATAAAACTCAAAAATTATAACAGTTTAATTAATACTCACTACACCATCTTAATTTACTTGATTTTTTAATGTCAAACTAAAGTCATTAATTCATCTGCTTCTTGTAAAAGGGATGTACTATATTTTTTGCACTAGAATTGCATAGTAGTAAATATTAACGAACAAACATCTTTAATAATCCATGTGAGTCGATGATGTGACTGTTATAAAATACAGCCAATTAGGGTACTGCTAGGAAATCATGCATGTACACAAATTCATTGTAAACCAAGATGTATTTTCAGGTTGTACTTGAACAATAGATACTACAGTACACTCATGATGTCTCAGTGACTCATCCCTCTTGCTGATAATTTTCAATAGAGAATGCTAGTGATGGTGTATCAGTTTATTAAACAGATAATAAATAGTATCAATCAGAGTGTTACCTCAGAGTACTAGTCTTATCACCTTGAATCACAAGTTACCCAGTAATTCACTCAACACAAGCAAGAGTGATTGTTGACTTATTTAACATGTGTGTTAATTGTGTATAAGAAATCATGTACTTAGTTGTGTGTTTTACCTGCAGAGTCACAGCCAGGTAATGGACATTTTGCATTACTTTCATTGTAATCTAATGATGGTGTAGGTCGTTTCTCAGTCCATATTGACAAGAATCCATCCTCTGCTGTCATTTCAATGGTACGTTTTTTCTCTCCATGTTTACCACTCTGCTTTCCTTTAATGGATTTAGAGTGCTGTTTTCCTTTTCCAAGTTTTTCACCTTTACCACCACGTTCTGATTTACCGACATTGTTTTTATTTTGTTTCCCACTTTTGTTCACCTTTTCTACCTTCACATCACAGTCAAGTGTTTGTTTAGCAGATTTTATTTCTTTTTCTGGGCTTTGAGATTTTTGTTTTCCTTTCACTTTTTTTCTTTTTGGTGACAAAGTTTGTACTTCAGATTCTGATTCAGATGTTGAGGTATCAAGCCTCTTTCTTTTCTTGACAGGTGTCAACTCTGTGAATGTCTTCAAATCTGTAAATACAATGTATCATTAATCACATGTACTGTTTATCTATACATAATATGTATTACATATCAAACAAATATTAACTTCAACTGCATACATGCATTTAATCCAAAAGCCCAAGTATCTTAACATTATGAATTTTGAAATCATAAACTCATTATCATTATGAAACAACTTTAATGCTCAGCTTACATGAACTGCATAGACCTTCTTGAATTATGATTTCATAGAGTCAATATTATTTCAGATCCATCCTGTCCATAGGGTACTGTGTGAATATTCATATCACTTCTTTTTTTAATGTCCTAATTATGCTAATATAAGTAGTATACTTTTTAACAATCTGGACTGGTTACCACAGAACTGTCTACTTAATTTGATCATAACCTTTGGCAATATAATATTAATTAGTGCAGACTTTAAACATTTATATGTTTGATTAACTAGTGTCTCATCCCTTTTGCATATTTAAGCAAATAAAATATGTTTAAATTGCATGTCCTAAATGAAATTTAAATCACTGTACCTGGTGCTGATCTTCGTGTAACTCTTGATGTTGGTTCTGAATGCTCACTCTCAGAATCACTTGGTTCACTTTCAGCTTCTTCTGTCACCTCTTTTGAATGCTAAAATCAAATTATGTAAACAAAAATAATATATCAACTCAAACATTGTCAAATTTACCTCGTCCAAAAATTGGCTCAAATAAACTTATCTATACTACTAAAATAATAAGGTCCAACTTGTAAGCTGGCATGACGTAAACACGACGAATCAAAGAATTCAGCTTTATATATACCTAATATAGAACAATGGTGTTGTTTAAAAATTACGCCATTTCACAATGTTTCAGGCCCTTTTGTTTTCCACATAATTAATATTACCAATAATTAACAAGTTCCGGGTCCAATTGGATACCAATAGTATGCATCACATGTAGTTTCCGGTTGTAACCTGTTACCTTCTGTAGATCCCTCCTCTATCAGGAGAACCTGGAATTCTTCCAGTAGTTGTTTAATATCTATGTTACACTATAGTACACTATTTAACAAGTCTGTTTTCTTCAACCTCAATACCACTATTAATTTTGGTTAATTAGTTAACAAATTAAATTTAGTTTATAGTAGGTTTTTTGTAGTCATGGTAGTTAGAAAACCAGGACGGGTTCAAACAAAAATATTTTGAAAGCAGAGAAAAGTGTGCACCTTACAATCAGCATGACTTTATCAGATGACAAATACGAATACTAAAAATCCAGGCTAAAATAAGGCATAGGTACTTTCAGTCGCGGGTGTGTTCTAGTAGTATTATAAAATAATTAAAACAGTTCTGGAAATGAAATTTTAGCGAAAAAAAGAAGCAAATGTTTTCACCAAGTACCTAAGAAATGATCTTGAACATTAAATGCAGAAGCATATAATACAGTCAAGAGTGATTTACTTTTTTCACCTTAAAAGAAACTATATGGCTATATGGATCACTCATTTTCACAAACACTTTTATCAAATTATACTCTTGTTGACCGTGTGTCACCTGGTATGGCTTGTAATATCTTTAGTTATAACCAATAAACAGAATAATCTGACTGTATGCTCCAATTCCATTTGATTATGTCTAGGTTTTTAATTAAAATGCAAATAATGTAATTTATAAGAGTCTAGTAACACACCTTTCCTTATTTGGAGTTATGTCAATGCATGTCATATACTAATATTTAGTATTGAAGAATAGTTACTCAAATATACCGATGTATAAATGCAGTCAGAGTACAGTTAAAATGTATATCAATTGATTTTCCTTATGAACTAGGGAGAGGACGTCACTAATGTTGTTATAACTTGTATCCTATCCCTTTTGCTACTTTTGAAAATTAAATATGTATAAACTATCTAATTTTCCATTTTTATTGATAATTTAACACAGGTTCATAATTATTCATTAAAAATAAGACATCCTGCTGGCCTGCTGAATTATCTAAAGATTTGCAATGATCATATCTCCTTGACTCTAACGGACTTTACTTAAATAAGTAACTCAAATAAGGAAACATTTACTTAGACAAAACTTTTATTTCCTTGTTTCTATATGAATATATATTAATTTAAGAATTTCTTTAAATTTCCCAAAGAATAATATACATACTAAACATGTATACATGTATCAACTTCTATAGACAATATACATTTTTATGAAGTTACATTTTCTTTAGGCAAAAAGCAGCATTTAGGGTTTTTGGACAAAGAAATGCATGGAATTATAGTGTACATAGGGTAGGGTTGTTTTGTTTCTTTTTTGTTTTTTAAGGGGATGGGTCACAAGACGAAACATTTTGTGTCTTCACTGAGTTCACTTCAGTTCTATTATATATTGTTTCACCAGCATTTACCGTTTGTATCTGTCAGTAAACAAAGTACATGTGACAATAATAAACAAGTTTTTGATCAATTCTGTATTTTGATGGAACAAGTTTTAGGGGCATTAGCCGTCAAATTCATGTTCATCGATTTGACTCAAATCCTAATACATTGTGTATTTGCTTTATAATATACTAAAAGGTATATACAAATTACAAAAAGTCTTATTTAAACACTGTAACAATGCTTGGACTCGATGATATGTATCAGCATTTCTTGTGTATTTTAGTCTAAACACCATCTAATTCACCATCTAGCTGACCTCTGAAGACTGCCAATGGTCATATAACCAGATATAAACATAAATATAAATAGATGGCGAGCACGTGCAATTGGATTTTTCTAGGTCTGTTTGATTTCATATGATAGGCTAATAAACTGTAAACACAGAGATATGTCTTGCTATTTGTTATTTTGATAATGCAAATGTTGAAATTAAAATAGCAATACTTTATTAATATGTAAGTTATACAAATATTCAAAGTCAATGAACCATGACTGAAGGTACAGGGCTAAACAATCTCCATCGAAATGAGATGTGCCAATACTAATACAACTGTATACCAAATACCACTGAAATCTCATAAGTCGTTCCCTTTAAACAAACACAAACATTAACTTGTAAACTATGTAAAAGTTTCAAAGTCAATGAACCATAATGAGGGTGTGGGGTTATATAATCTTCATGGAAATGAAACTTGCAAATGCCAATACAATATCATTGACTTAGCATTAATGGTTCATCTTAAACTGACCTAATCACAAACGAATACATGTAAACGAAGCAAAAGTTTCAAAGTCAATAGACCATGACTGAGGGGGCGGGGCCAAATAATCTCCATGGAAATGAGATATGCCAATGCTTATACAACTGCATACCAAATATTATTGACCTACCACTAGTGGTTCCCCATAAACTGACCTAATCACAAACTATACATGTAAACTAAGCAAAAGTTTCAAAGTCAATAGACCATGACTGAGGGGGCGGGGCCAAATAATCTCCATGGAAATGAGATATGCTAATGCTTATACAACTGCATTCCAAATATCATTGACCTACCACTAGTGGTTCCCCATAAACTGACCAAGTCACAAACTAATACATTGCTGACAACGCCGCCGACACCGGAAACAGCATACCTATGTCTCGCTTTTTGACTCTGTCAAGGCGAGTAAAAAAGTATGTTAAATAAAATTGAGAATGGAAATGGTGAATGTGTCAAAGAGACAACCACCCTACCAAATAGCAGAAAACAGTAGAAGGCCACCAATGGGTCTTCAACACAGCTAGAAAATCCCGCAACCAGAGGCGGGCTTTAGCTGGCCCCTAAACAAAACTGTACTAGTTCAGTGAAAATGGACATCACACTAGACTCCAAACAATATAAATGAACTAAAATTAAAAAACATACAAGACTAACAAAGGCTATAAACCGCATTTTTACCTGTATAAGAATGGTTTTTGTGGATAGAATCAGTCAACAGAATGGTTCCCCCTTGTTTCACTTTCAATGTTGACTTTCTTTTTCTTTAAAAGCTGAACATGTCTAGTACATGCATAACTTATCTCTCAAGCTAAAGGGTTAAATGGAAGGTCACATGAATATGGATTCAATGAGGTTAAATTATTAACTTGCTAGTCAATAATACATCAGCAATGTTTTGGGGCTTATTTTGACAAATTTAGGCCAAACTGACAGCTTTTAACAAGGAAATATTTCTAAATTTGTGTCTAAATTGTAGCTAATGCCCCTTTGAACATGTACATGCAAGTTACAACAACTGATATGTGTAAACATTAATAATAACATGGATAGATCTCAGTTACAGGATAACAGTCTAGTAACCAGGAATGAAGTCCTTTAATAAATCTACCATCTATTCAATGGGATATTATTATACCGGGATGAAAATTATGTAAAGGTGCTTTAATTTGTAGTACATGTATAGTCAAAGAGTATTCATAAAACTGTCAACTTCTATTAAAATTTGGATGATTATTAAATGTATATAGTGGACGACTACTGTCGAGTTAAAAGTAAAATAACAAAAATACAGAACTCCAAGGAAAATTCAAAACGAAAAGTCCCTTATCAAATGGCAAAATTAAAAGCTCAAACACATTATACAAATGGAAACAACTGTCATATTCCTGATGGTCCCAATTTTTTTTTCTCTTTAAAGTTGGAAGTGAATATGATGACCCTTATACTCATAACAGAATTGCTCTATTAAACATGTTAAATGGTAGTCATGACCCATCAAGAATTCTTCAAGAAACCATGAAGGGGACTACAAGTATGAGAAAGTAATTGAAATTTGGCAGTCAAATATAATATGGAATGAAAAATCTGCCCTTTAATTATAAATTGGCATTGAAATAATGGGGAAAATAATTGGGACCCCTTCCATATGCTTAACAGCTGAGAGTCAACAATGGTCAAGATGATTTATTTTTAACAGTAGAAAGTTTTTTCTTCATAGACCTAAAATAGAGGAATCAAGGTCCGTACGCACCCTTTAAAAGATTTGTATTGAATAAATTCTTAATCATGTTTTAGTTAGTGTTGCTATCATATAAATATAATAATTTTTTTATTATTGTTTTAAAATAAAATAAAATGCTTCGCTGAGTGCAGCCTGATACGACCGCAGAGGTCGAACCCTGAACAGTTTGGGCAAATTTGGACACAATATTCAAGCTTTATACTGTCTGAATTTGGATTGTGATCAAATTTTTGACATAATATAGGTTTCTGACACAAAATAAATGTGGTCAAAGATCTTACAAATATATTGCGCAATACTGTCGATTGAAGATTTCTTCTTGAAACTTTTAAAAAATTCGAAACTTGAAAAATTTTGAAAATATAAAATATTTAATTATCCCTTAAAAAAATTGGAAAAAAAATCCCCCCCCCCCCCCCAATTTTTTGAAACCCCCCTTGGAGCAATAACCCCAAAACTCAATTCCAGCCTTTTCTTTCGTAGTATGGAACATTGTAGTACAATTTCAGAGAGATCCATACACTTAAACACAAGTTATTGTCTGGGAACTAGAAAAATGCTTGTTTTTGGCCCTTTTTTGGCCCCTAATTCCTACATGTTTGGGGCAATTAACCCCAAACTCAATCACAGCTTTCCCTTTGTTATATGGAACCTTGTGGTACAATGTCAGAGAGATCCATACACTTACACACAAGTTATTG